GGGGGGGATGGAGCTCTCTGTATAAGGAGGGGGGAGATGGAGCTCTCTGTATAAGGAGGGGGGGGGATGGAGCTCTCTATAAGGAGGGGGGTGTAATACGGGGTATGTGAGATATTGGGGAGTCAGAGCCAGGGGCCACACCTCCCGCTCCCTGGGGCCCCTGTGACCCCCACTCTCTCACCTCTGGCGAACTTCCGGTGCTGAGAGCGCGCCGGGTGATGACGTCATTGCAAGCGCCGCCCCGGTTACCATAACAACGGAAAGCTTCTACCGAGTGTCAACAGCTAATCCCGAGACATGGTGAGTAACAACCGACCTACCGCGTGCCCACCTACCTACCGTGTACCTACCTACCGCGTGCCCACCTACCTACCGTGTACCTACCTACCGCGTGCCCACCTACCTACCGTGTACCTACCGCCTACCGCGTGCCCACCTACCTACCCTGTACCTACTGTCAGACACCTACCGCCTACTGTGTGCCCACCTACCTACCCTGTACCTACCTACCGCGTACCTACTGTCAGACAGTCCCCCTGCTGGTGGGTAGTCTAAAAAAGAAAAATCATTAAACATGTTTAAAATAAAATAGAAATTTTATATATATTTTATGTATATCTATTATGTGTGTGTGTATTATAGATATGTAACGTCATACAAAGTGTATTTTAATATAAGTACATATTAGTAATAAAATACACTTAGAATTACGTTTTATATATACACACACACACACACATTATATATAAATACGTATAATTACAATATTAAATAAAATATTGAAACAAAATTTAATATAAATTATATACTCATATGTAACTTCATTCTAACTGTATTTTGTTATAAACAAAATACACTTAGAATGACATTCTATATATATCTATCTATATATAAAATACAAATAACCGCAAATATATATAGATAAATACATATAATTACATTAGTATACCCGTAGAATTGAAATACCTATAAATTCATATATATTAAAATTCTACGTGTATATTTAAGTAATCTTTTACCATAATGATGTGATTTGATTGACATGCCTGACAACACAGAGAGAAAGTGCAGAGAATTTAATTCGCAAGCACTATATTTGACCCTGTAACTCTCCAAGACACCATAAAACCTGTACATAGGGGGTACTGTTTTACTCAGGAGACTTCGCTGAACTCAAAGTGGTAAATTGTATTACAACGATGATATTTTAAGTAAAAGTGAAGTTTTTTGCAATTTTTTTTTTTTTTACAAGCAAACAGCACTTTTATGGACTATATTATTGTTGTAATATGTTTTACTGTTTTAAAACACTAATATTTGTGTTTAGTGAAGTCTCCCGAGACCAACAGTACCCCCCATGTACAGGTTTTATGGTGTTTTGGAAAGTTAGAGAGTCACATATAAGGCTTGCATTTCATTTTTTTGACATTGAAATTCGCCAGATTGGTTTTGTTGCATTTGAGAGCGTATGGTAGCCCAGGAATGAGAATTACCCCTGTGGCAAACATAGCCACTTGGACACTATAAAGAGACTGTGCCTTTAAGGGTTGCCTATATGGTTGTGGGATATGGGCTTAACTATGTAAAATGTATGCGGGTTGTAATTTACATGTATTTGCTGTATTGGCTATCTGCCGATTGCAGATAGCTGTTTGTATTGGATTTTCTTTCGTTTCACGAACGGCACTTTTGCGGGCCGTTCGTGAACCAAAAATACCCCCATGTATTAGCCCACACACTTAGAGGCGTGTGGCACTTGTTAACCGATTGCAACAATGTTGCAATCGGTAATTAGAGGCTCTCCTAGGTGGCCGCCGTTCGACTACCGACCATGCGGCGGTCGGCCATCTTGGATCCTTTGTTCCCTCAGCGGTGTTAGGTCATCGAGCGCATGGTACTAAACACGGCTACTCGTCGGCACGAACACCGCTGAGCCTCCAGGCCGTTTGGGAGTTCGGGGCCGTTCGGTACTTTGTTCCCTGGAAGGCAATCGGTCATTTTAATATGTTTTTCAACTAATGTGTTTTTCGTGCGGCGTTCGGTTGTTTTAGCTGGGATCTGAGCGGTAATCTCACGAATGAGGCGCTCAGACCCCAGCTATCTACCGAATGTCCATTCGTGCAAATAGACCGTATATTACCACAGTTATGCATTTTAATATAAATTGTCGGTTCTGCTGCACGGAGGGATAATCCACTTAACGGTACATTCCTGTGGGAGGATCCCTCTCGTGCAGCAGTGCCTGATGGGAGAAATGTCTTGTACAGTAAGTTCCCCATGTAGTCCACTCTGGGAATGCCCCTGGGAGGGAACTCAGGAAACCCCTTGCATGGAGACTTGTATAAATTGTGGAGCTGAAAATAAAGACCTCAGTTGACTCTCAGAACTGTGTTTCGTCCGGTTACTGGGAGGTTTGGGATATTGCCTTGCTTTTTCCAGCGCTTGACTGTGGATTCCTTCCTGAACCAGCGGAATTCGTGGATTTAATATTGGCGTTCCGCTACAACCCCCATGATGGCATACCATTTGCAAATGTAGACAACCAAAGGTATTGCAAGTGGGGTATGTCCAGTCTTTCTTAGTAGCCACTTAGTCACAAACACTGGCCAAATATTAGTTTTTTGCTTTTTTCACACAAAAACAAATATGAACGCTAACTTTGGCCAGTGTTTGTGGCTACTAAAAAAGACTTAACATACCCCACTTTCAATACCTTGGGTTGTCTCCTTTTTCAAATCGTATGCCATTATGGGGGTAATTCTCATTCGTGGGCTACCACACCGTCTCAAAGGTAACATTACTAATCTGGCAAATTTCAATTTGAAAGTGGAACGTTCTATATTTGACCCTGTAACTTTCCAAAACCCCATAAAACCTGTTAATGGGGGGTACTGTTGTACTCGTGAGACATCGCTGATAACAAATATGTGCATTTTTTTTCAGTAAAACCTAACAGTATTATGACATTCACAGCTAAAATGTCAGACGGAAATACAAATTTAAACAAATCTTATTTTCTCACTTTTTTTGAAATTTTTATTCATAATAAATTATGTTCCATATATGAATAGTTAATGATAAATTAAAGCCCTGTTTCTCCTGAACAAAATGATATATAATAAGTGTGGGTGCACTTAATGTGACAGCGGTGAATTACGGTTGAACAGACACTTAGCGCAAATTCCAGTTTTTGTTTTTGTTTTAATCAGAACGTGCACTATTGACTCCGTCCTGAAGGGCGTTAAACCCCTGAACCTATTCAAGTGAATTTTGGATATGTTTGTCCCCAAGTTATACTGGTTAAAGGAACACTATAGTCACCTAAATTACTTTAGCTAAATAAAGCAGTTTTAGTGTATAGATCATTCCCCTGCAATTTCACTGCTCAATTCACTGTCATTTAGGGGTTAAATCACTTTGTTTCTGTTTATGCAGCCCTAGCCACACCTCCCCTGGCTATGATTGATAGAGCCTGCATGAAAAAAAAAAATGGTTTCACTTTCAAACAGATGTAATTTACCTTAAATAATTGTATCTCAATCTCTAAATAGAACTTTAATCACATGCAGGAGGCTCTTGCAGGGTCTAGCAAGCTATTAACATAGCAGGGGATAAGAAAATCTTAATTAAACAGAACGTGCAATAAAGAAAGCCTAAATAGGGCTCTTTTTACAGGAAGTGTTTATGGAAGGCTGAGTCACATGCAGGGAGGTGTGACTAGGGTTCATAAAGAAAGGGATTTAACTCCTAAATGGCAGAGGATTGAGCAGTGAGGCTGCAGGGGCATGTTCTATGCACCAAAATGGCTTCATTAAGCTAAAGTTCAGGTGACTATAGTGTCCCTTTAAAATAATATAAGTTTTATGTATGTACGATGTAAACTCACAAAGTTATAAAAAGTGTAACTTTTCAGCTTGGAGATAATTGAGTGGATACAGTAATTGACTCAATTATCTCCTAAGCAGAGGGGAGGAATATTATGGGTGTGTTTCTATTGTCCCATTGTGTCTGATTGGCTGCTGTACTTGCATTGTATGTGTTGTAATGTGTTTATTGGTTGTTCTGAAAAACCCTGTGGGTGGTACTATGTGTGGAAAACCTGCATGAAAGAAGGCCCTTTGGTGCCAAGTAATAAAGTTCATCTTCACCCTCAATCTAGAGTCTTGTCTCTTATTGGGGGTAACTGGCTATATCACTACAAGGGATTGCTATGCTCTGCATGCTCCCTTGGATAATCACTTCTAAGCTCTTGTAAGAGCGTGTTCCTGCTTCCCTCTCTTGGAAGAGAGGTTCACCCACTGGAACCTGGAGCCTTGTCCGAGGTCCAGGGTGGGAAAGAGACCCCAACCAAGCTGCGGTGGTTATGGTGTCTGCTGGAGAGCTTGGAGCCCTCAGGAAGCGCTAGGAGCATCCTTCAACGGAGGTACCCAGTCAGGATGCCAGGTGATCTGTTACAGTACCAAACGACTACCTACCACCTACCTACCGGGTACCTACCCCCTGCACCCAGGCCGCACCGCGCTCCGAACCCCCTGCACCCAGGCCGCACCGCTCTCCGCACCCCCCTGAACCCAGCCCGGAACACGCTGCGCTCTCCTTGCACCGCGCTCTGCAACTCCTGCACCCAGCCCGCACCGTGCTCCACACCCCGTGCCCTCAGGCCGCGTTCCTCCCCCAGGCCACACCACGCTCCGCCCCCAGGCAGCACCGCGCTCTGCACCCAGGCCGCTCCGCGCTCCATATGCTCTGCACCCAGGTCGCACCGTGCTCTGAACCCCTTGCACCCAGCATGCACCCCCTTCACAGCACCTAGCCAGAACGCAGGCCGCACCACGCTCTGCACCCCCTGCACCCACACGGGTTCGGAGACGTGAGGCCGAATTAGTTCCAAACATTTGACAACCAAGTACCGCTGCCTGCGTTCTGGAGACAAAATTGCCGCCACCCAGGGAAAGCACTCAAGTGAAGGTGTCAAGTTGTTAATTTGTAGTTAACAGCCAGGGGAGGTTGATGTTTGTAACGGATCACCTGCCACCCCGACTGGGTACCTCAGTTGAAGGATGCTCCTAGCGCTTCCTGAGGATTCCAAGCACTGCAGCAGACACCACAACCACCGGACCGGAAAAGCATACGAATGCTCTCAAGCATATGAATGCTGTAAGCAGCTGAACAAGAAAAGCATACAATCAGCTTACACTCCTGGCAATCGGCATACAATCCAATTCCCCCAATAACGAGACGACACTTAATTTTGAGGTCAAGCAGAACTGACTGTACTGGCACATAAAGCCTCTTTTATTCACAATCCACAAACATAGTACTGCCCACAGGGTTTTGAAATACAACCAATCAATCCGTACAATACACACAAACACTCCCACACAAAATCCTCCCCTCTGCCTGTGATATGATTACTGAACACAATGGTTAATTTAATTATCAATACAGTATTATAAAACAAATCACAGGGACCCCAAAACATGCAATAACCCCATATATCCTCGGAACCGGGGGATCTGGGTGAACCACGTATCCAAAATTCACCCAGATCCGTTCAGTAGTTTGGAAGATACAGTTTAATGCAGATTCCGCAGAACATATACAGGCTATATGAAAAATAATTACTGTATAATGTGTCCCCTGTTGTATAGTTTAAAACTACTGCACGATGTCTTTGTGCACCAAATACCGGCGAGATTGCACCGTGTAGAAAAGTCCAAACAGTGTCTGTGAGTTAAAATGGCCGTCATCCATTGTTCTCACCATGTGCTTCATCCATTGTTCTTACCATGTGCCTCTGATACATGAAATGGTGGTCACCCAGTAACTCCACAGTTTGTCTGGTAGTCTATCCAGCCGGACCAACAGATGAAACACATGGGGAACAGTGCAACAAACGAAGGGAATCCTAAAAAATATGGACAATAGTCATATTTGTGCACAACCTCCAGTTTTGTTACAGGGCACAAATAGTGTTTTCAAATGCCATGTAACCCAGGCCCATAGTCAGAAGGTAGGAGGCGGGCAAGCAGCCCCCTCCAAGAACACGTGGCGAGGTCTGTTCCGCCACAATGTTCGCTGGGGCAAAACAAGGGGACCACACACCAGTCATTTGGGAGACAAACAAGGGGGTACGGACAACTGAAAACATGGGAATGCAGTCTTCTGCACTAGGTACCTCCTGTACCCAGCCCGTACTGTACTTGGTACCCCCTGCACCAAGCCCTAACCATGCTTGGTGTGACAGACCGCCTGGCACTCCGACTGGGTGCCTCCGCCCATTGATGCTCCTAGTGCTCACAGAGTACTCCAAGCACTCAACCAGACACCATTAGCACTGTAGTCCCCACTTCCAGTGTTACAGCTTGGTTGGGTTCTCGCTGTCTTCCACCCCCCCTGGACCCAAGACCAGGATCCAGCTTTCAGTGGGTAGACATCTCCTCCAAGAGAGTGTAGCAATATGCTCTTAAAAGAGCAAGTGATTATAATCCCAGGGTAGATACAGCCGTTCCAAGGAACTCGTTTAATGGGAGCCACAACTGGCCTTTTATGCAAGTCCCCATGCAAGGGGCGCTCCCACCTGGACCTGAGAGTAAACCACAGTAGAAACAAATACATTACATTGGCTCTCAGATATAGGACACTCCCACACATAATAGATTAATCCCTCCTCTGTAACCGGGAGATAATTGAGAGGAGCACTGAACTAAACTCCATTATCTCCAGACACAAAACACGCATTTTTATAAAACCCCCAAAATAACTTAAACCACACAAAACCCCCACAAAAGTTACATCCCCTGATAAGCCTGATCTGGGTGACCAACATATCCAAAAATCACCCAGATCCCTTCAAGGGTTCAGGAATTTCTTGGAAGTCATTTATTTGACCGACCGCACGCATGGTCCCATGCCCATAACCGTTCCAGAGAATCAGGGCTTGCGGTCGGTAGTTGAAAAAGTGATCAAACGAACACTTAGAACACTGCGGTGGAAATGTTACAAAGTATCAATTAGGCTTAACAAGCTCCAGGGTGATCTCCGGTTTGTGCGGTTGTTCGGTAACCGAACCATATAATCCTAATTGCACAAACAGTCTTTTTAAAGTATTTTAGCCATGTGTATTGCAGGGGCCATAGTCCTAGGGCAGGAGGCTGGCAAGCAGGTTCCCACAAAAGCCTGTGGCAGGGTTTCTGTTTGCCACACTCGGTACCCCCTGCACCCAGCCCGTACCGTGCTTGGTACCCCCTGTACCCAACCCACACCATGCTCTGCACCCCTTGTACTCAGCCTGTACGGTATTAGGTCACTCCTGCACCCAGCCAGTACCATACTCCCTGCACCCAGCCCGTACCACTGTTGGTAAATAGCTTTCATGTTCTTGACCTGGAAGAGGTGCAGTTAACCAGAATTAATTTTTTGTGACCATTATTTTTTGAGTCTCATTGAGTAATAATCAGCGATCCAGTAAGTAGTTACAGAGCTAATGGGATGAATAAGTGCTAGGGTTGCAACAGTAAAAATAGGCATGTGTCTGGGAAAAATTTTCGGTTCGCTTCGGCATTCCGAACTTCTGCAACTTTGGAACGTCTCTTGAAGCCGCTTGGTAGATAACTCCATAATTCCCACGGTATTAGGGAGTTATCTACCAAAAGGCTGAAAAACCTAAATTGGTTGGTTTGAAATCCACCAATCAGAGTGCTCTGTCATTTTACACAGCGTGGGAAAGTTCTTTGGAATTTTCCCACGCTGTGTAATTTGCCTCATAACACTCTGGTTACTTAATCCACCAAGCAGAGTGCTCTGTGTCATTTTACACAGCGTGGGAAAATTCCAAAGAACTTTCCCACGCTGTGTAAAATGACAGAGCACTCTGATTGGTGGATTTTCACTTACCTGTCAGTCTCTTCATTTACCTGTCAGAGCACTCTGATTAGATGGCTTAAACCCACCAATCAGAGTGCTCTGAGCCTAATTGCAGGGCGGGGCAAGGCTTTATAAGCCTTCCCCGCCCTGCAGAGCTCAGTCTGGAGCCCTCCATGGGTGAAGATGGATTTATTTTTATTTTTTATTTTTTTTGCGCTCGTTTGTTTTTTTTTGTTTTTTAATTGTGTCGGTTTATATGGCTTTTTATTTGGCCTTTTTTGGGTGCTGAAAAAGATTTTAGAAGAAAGAAAACATCAAATGGTAAGTTTTATTTTAATTTTTTTCCCCAGGTACTTAGTTAAATGGTTCCCCCTCATTATTTTTAGGGTGAGGTGGGTAGGTAGGGGTTTGGGGACCCCTAGTCACCCAGAGGAGGCGGGGGTTATTTTTCTTATTTAGGGCCCCACCCACCGCTCAGGGGTGGGGGCCAAGGGGGAGGACATTAGGTCCCCCCCTTATTAGTATTTTAGGGCCCCCACCCACCACTCAGGGGTGGGGGCCAGGGGGGAGGACATTAGGTTCTTCCCCCTCATTCTAATTTTGGGCCCCCACCCACCACTCGGGGGGAGGACATTAGGTCCCCCACCTAATTAGTATTTTAGGGCCAGGGGAGAGGCCCCCCCCCCAATTAGTATTTAAGGCCCCAATCCACTGCTCAGAGGTGGGGGCCAGGGGGTCCCTCCCTAATTAGTGGGGGCCAGGGGGCAGGACATTAGCTTCCCCCCCAATTAGTATTTTAGGGCCCCCACCCGCCGCTCAGAGGGGAGGACATTAGGTCCTCCCCAATTAGTATTTAGGGCCCCCACCCGCCGCTCAGGGGGGAGGACATTAGGTCCTCCCCAATTAGTATTTAGGGCTCCCACCTGCCGCTCATGGGTGGGGGCCGGGGGGAGGACAATAGGTTCCCCACCCCTTATTTTACTTTAGGGCCCCCACATGCTGTTCAAGGGTGGGGGCCGGGGGGCAATAGGTCCCCCCTCAGGTTAGCACGGTTTACTAGACACCGCGAGTAGGGGCATAATTTACTAATACTAAGTAATGTTTACTTAGTATTAGTAAATGTGGCTGAAAGACCAATTTAGGTCTTTGAGACTTTTAGTAGATAGCTCCCTAATACCGTGGGAATTAGGGAGTTATCTACTTATTCATTCCTGTCATTACATTGACTGGCTAAGTAATTTACATTTTATATGAATGTGTGTTACTTGATTGTAAGTGTTGCAAATGCTTACAGCTGAATCCTGGCTATGTTTGTATCCTTTTTTTATTTAAAATTGAATACAGTGTAACATTCTTCTTCCACTGGTTAAGTACTTAGGCAATACTGTACTTCGGAAATTCGGCTATTCGGACATTCGGAAGTACCCGAATATGCGAATTGCCCGAACTTCGTCCGAATTCATATTCGGCCCGAAACGAATTGCAGATGTCTAAGTAAAACCAATGTACGAGGAAATGCCTTGAAATCGGGGTCATAGTGAAGATGGAGCCCAAATCAGAAAGTGTTAGGTAGCCATACAAAGAGATTTAAAAGAAAAGTGGGTTAAGAAAGCATATGTGGGGTAAATTGAGGGGGAAGCAAGACATTATTCTGAAATTAATTGCTTGTAATTCAATATATGTGAAAACGAATTCTGATTTCTGCAATACAGTCCTCAAAAAGAACATCCGCAGCTTCAAAGAAGAAAGGAAAGCTTAGCAAGGCTGAAAAACTGAGACTGAAGAGAGAAGAGGAGGAGAAGAGGCAGCGGGAGGAAGGTTTGTGGCTCTCTGTATAGTGTGCTCTCTGTATACAGGCCAGTCAGTCCCATGTATTCTGCTCACAGGCTGCCAGGGACTCTCTGTATAGTGTGACTCTCTGTATACAAGCCAGTCAGTCCCCTGTATATTGCTCACAGGCTGTCAGTGACTCTCTGTATACAGGCCAGTCAGTCCCATGTATTCTGTTCAAAGGCTGCCAGTGACTCTCTGTATAGTGTGACTCTCTGTATACAGGCCAGTCAGTCCCCTGTATATTGCTCACAGGCTGTCAGTGACTCTCGGTATTCAGTCCCATGTATTCTGCTCACAGGCTGCCAGTGACTCTCTGTATAGTGTAACTCTCTGTATACAAGCCAGTCAGTCCCCTGTATATTTCTCACAGGCTGCCAGTGACTCTCTGTATAGTGTAACTCTCTGTATACAAGCCAGTCAGTCCCATGTATTCTGCTCACAGGCTGCCAGTGACTCTCTGTATAGTGTAACTCTCTGTATACAAGCCAGTCAGCCCCCTGTATATTGCTCACAGGCTGTCAGTGACTCTCTGTATTCAGTCCCATGTATTCTGCTCACAGGCTGCCAGTGACTCTCTGTATAGTGTAACTCTCTGTATACAAGCCAGTCAGTCCCCTGTATATTTCTCACAGGCTGCCAGTGACTCTCTGTATAGTGTAACTCTCTGTATACAAGCCAGTCAGTCCCATGTATTCTGCTCACAGGCTGTCAGTGACTCTCTGTATACAAGCCAGTCAGTCCCCTGTATATTGCTCACAGGCTGTCAGTGACTCTCTGTATACAGGCCAGTCAGTCCCATGTATTCTGCTCACAGGCTGCCAGGGACTCTGTATAGTGTGACTCTCTGTATACAAGCCAGTCAGTCCCCTGTATATTGCTCACAGGCTGTCAGTGACTCTCTGTATTCAGTCCCATGTATTCTGCTCACAGGCTGCCAGTGACTCTCTGTATAGTGTGACTCTCTGTATACAGGCCAGTCAGTCCCATGTATTCTGCTCACAGGCTGTCAGTGACTCTCTGAATACAGACCAGTCAGTCCCCTGTATATTGCTCACAGGCTGCCAGTGACTCTCTGTATTCAGTCCCATGTATTCTGCTCACAGGCTGCCAGTGACTCTCTGTATAGTGTGACTCTCTGTATACAGGCCAGTCAGTCCCCTGTATATTGCTCACAGGCTGCCAGTGACTCTCTGTATTCAGTCTCATGTATTCTGCTCACAGGCTGCCAGTGACTCTCTGTATAGTGTAACTCTATATATACAAGCCAGTCAGTCCCATGTATTCTGCTCACAGGCTGTCAGTGACTCTCTGAATACAGACCAGTCAGTCCCCTGTATATTGCTCAGAGGCTGCCAGTGACTCTCTGTATAGTGTGACTCTCTGTATACAGGCCAGTCAGTCCCATGTATTCTGCTCACAGGCTGCCAGTGACTCTCTGTATAGTCTAACTCTCTGTATACAAGCCAGTCAGTCCCCTGTATATTTCTCACAGGCTGCCAGTGACTCTCTGTATAGTGTAACTCTCTGTATACAAGCCAGTCAGTCCCATGTATTCTGCTCACAGGCTGCCAGTGACTCTCTGTATAGTGTAACTCTCTGTATACAAGCCAGTCAGTCCCCTGTATATTGCTCACAGGCTGCCAGTGACTCTCTGTATAGTGTGACTCTCTGTATACAGGCCAGTCAGTCCCCTGTATATTGCTCACAGGCTGTCAGTGACTCTCTATATTCAGTCCCATGTATTCTGCTCACAGCCTGCCAGTGACTCTCTGTATAGTGTAACTCTCTGTATACAAGCCAGTCAGTCCCCTGTATATTGCTCACAGGCTGCCAGTGACTCTCTGTATAGTGTAACTCTCTGTATACAAGCCAGACAGTCCCCTGTATATTGCTCACAGGCTGCCATTGACTCTCTGTATAGTGTAACTCTCTGTATACAAGCCAGTCAGTCCCCTGTATATTGCTCACAGGCTGCCATTGACTCTCTGTATACAAGCCAGTCAGTCCCCTGTATATTGCTCACAGGCTGCCATTGACTCTCTGTATACAAGCCAGTCAGTCCCCTGTATATTGCTCACAGGCTGTCAGGGTCCCTCTGTATACAGGCCAGTCAGTCCCCTGTATATTGCTCACAGGCTGTCAGGGACTCTCTGTATAGTGTGACTCTCTGTATACAGGCCAGTCAGTCCCCTGTATATTGCTCACAGGCTGTCAGTGACTCTCTGTATTCAGTCCCATGTATTCTGCTCACAGGCTGCCAGTGACTCTCTGTATAGTGTAACTCTCTGTATACAAGCCAGTCAGTCCCCTGTATATTTCTCACAGGCTGCCAGTGACTCTCTGTATAGTGTAACTCTCTGTATACAAGCCAGTCAGTCCCATGTATTCTGCTCACAGGCTGCCAGTGACTCTCTGTATAGTGTAACTCTCTGTATACAAGCCAGTCAGTCCCCTGTATATTGCTCACAGGCTGCCATTGACTCTCTGTATAGTGTGACTCTCTGTATACAGGCCAGTCAGTCCCCTGTATATTGCTCACAGGCTGTCAGTGACTCTCTGTATACAGAGGGTACGTGGACATAATGTGTCCCTCACCCTGATTGTTTGCTGTGTTCCTTACTGCAATGTGTACATTAAGCAGACTTTGTTACAATAAATCTTTACAGAGGAAGCTCGATTGCTGGCTGAACAATTAGAGGCTGAACGACGTGAAAAAGAACGTCAAGAGAAAGAGGAGAGAGAGAGACTCGAGGCCAAGGTTAGTCTTTAGGTTTAGGCATATTGGCCAAGGTTAGTCTTTAGGTTTAGGCATATTGGCCAAGGTTAACCTTTAGATTTAGGGATATTGGCCAAGGTTAGTCTTTAGGTTTAGGGATATTGGCCGAGCTTAGTCTTTAGGTTTTAGGGATATTGGCCGAGCTTAGTCTTTAGGTTTTAGGGATATTGGCCGAGCTTAGTCTTTAGGTTTAGGCATAGTCTGGCCCATGGTTAGTCTTTAGGTTTAGGCATATTGGCCATGGTTAGTCTTTAGGTTTAGGCATATTGGCCATGGTTAGTCTTTAGGTTTAGGCATATTGGCCAGGGTTCGTCTTTAGATTTAGGGATATTGGCCAGGGTTCGTCTTTAGATTTAGGGATATTGGCCAAGGTTAGTCTTTAGGTTTTAGGGATATTGGCCATTAGTCTTTAGGTTTAGGGATATTGGCCAGCTTAGTCTTTAGGTTTTAGGGATATTGGCCGAGCTTAGTCTTTAGGTTTAGGCATATTGGCATGGGTTGGCGTGGTTAGTCTTTAGGTTTAGGCATATTGGCCATGGTTAGTCTTTAGGTTTAGGCATATTGGCCAGGGTTAATTCTTTTTAGATTTAGGGATATTGGCCAAGGTTAGTCTTTAGGTTTAGGCATATTGGCCAGGGTTAGTCTTTAGGTTTAGGCATATTGGCATGGGTTCGTCTTTAGGTTTAGGGATATTGGCCAGGGTTAATCTTTAGGTTTACCCAGGTGGACCTTGTGGGGCACTGTGATACAAAGTTAACCGACCAATGAAACTGGGTTATACATAGACACTCCCATACAGTATGTACTAATCCTCCCCTCTGCCTGGTAGATAATTGAGGTAGATAATGTAATAACAATTATCTCCAGGCAGGAAAAAACACATATTTCCAATTTTCTAGAAGTACCACAAAAACACATCCCTGGATAGCTCTGATCTGGGTGAACAACATATCCAAAAATCACCCAGATCAGAGCAATGGTTCACAAATTCTGTGGAAGTCACATTTGACCGACCGCATGCTTGATTTCATGCCCAAAAGAGTTCCAGAGAATTAGGCTGTGTGGCTGGTCTATCTTCTTAGTCAAATAATGTGTAAATTGCACGAACGGATCCTTTCGTTCCTAACTTTATTGTATGTATCCCGTTCGGTAGTTTGTTTTTACTGAATAGTGCTCTGTTCGTGCACTTTTAAGTGAACTTTGATGGAGGTGGAAGTCCCAGCGGTGTTCGCGCCGCCAAGTTTTCCGATTTATAGTTCCATGCACTCGACGACCAAACACCGCTGTCTTTGTTCGTGTCCCAAGATGGCCGCCGCCACATGTTCGTCTATACGAACGACTACCACCCAGCTTTAGAACATTCATGTGGTTGCGGTTTGTGGAGGTGTGAACTGAGTGGCACACTCCATAGGTGGGTGGTCTGCCGTTCGGTAGTTTGTTCGGTTGTTGTACAAAACCGTGGGAACAACTTAAGGGAATGGATTTTGACTAACGGCCAGGCGAAACAGGGGAAAACTTGGGTAACAAAGCCAGGGGAGTAAGTCTTGCACAGTTAGGGTTACTTTCTCACACAGGGGAGGGGAAAACAAAGGGGATACGGACAGCCCAGAGTTGGTATACATAACATAGCACGGTCCATTCTGCTACAGTTTGTCTTTAGATTTAGGGATATTGGCCAAGATTAGTCTTTAGATTTAGGCATATTGGCCAAGGTTAGTCTTTAGGTTTAGGCATATTGGCCAAGGTTAGTCTTTAGGTTTAGGCATATTGGCCAAGGTTAGTCTTTAGGTTTAGGCATATTGGCCAAGGTTAGTCTTTAGGTTTAGGCATATTGGCCAAGGTTAGTCTTTAGATTTAGGGATATTGGATCTGTAAAGTAATACAATGTGAGCAAGATATTGCTTTGTTGCAGAGGGATTTGGATAGATTGGGGGACTGGGCACTCAAATGGCAGATGAAATTTAATGTTGAAAAATGCAAAGTTATGCACTTTGTCATAAAGCATGCACAAGCAACATATACTCTTAATGGAAGTGAATTCGGGATAACAACACACGAAAGGGACTTGGGAATTGTTATAGACAACAATGTGCAATGTCAATCAGCAGTGGCTAAGGCCAGTAAGGTATTGTCATGCATGAAAAAGGGCATTCATTCTCGGGACGAGAATATCATATTGAATATGCTGTGCAATTTTGGGAACCTGTTCTAAAGAAGGATATTATGGCACTAGAAAAAGTGCAGAGGCGGGCTACAAAATTAATAAAAGGAATGGAACATATCAGCTATAAAGAAAGGTTAACAAATTTAAACCTCTTTAGTTTAGAAAAACGTCGCCTGAGAGGGGATATGATAACATTATACAAATATTTTCGGGGCCAATACAAACCATTGTGTGGAAATCTATTCACAAACCGGACTTTACATAGGACACAAGGCCATGCATTTAGACTGAAAGAAAGAAGATTTCGTCTAAGGCAAAGGAAAGGTTTTTTTTTTTACTGTAAGAACAGTCAGGATGTGGAATTCTCTGCCTGAAGAAGTAGTTTTATCAGAGTCCATACAGATGTTCAAACAGCTGCTAGATGCATACTTGCAAAAACAGAATATTCAAGGATATAATCTTTCAATGTAGGGTAATAACGGCTTGATCCAAGGATAAATCTGACTGCCATTGCCATTCTGGGGTCAAGAAGGAATTTTTTTCCTAGCTTGTTGCAAAATTGTGCTTCAAACTGGTTTTTTTTTTTGCCTTCTTTTGGATCAACAGCAAAAAACAAATGTGAGGTAGGCTGAACTTGATGGACGCAAGTCTCTTTTTTGCTATGTAACTATGTGATGGTGGACATAAAATATCCCAGCAAACAGAAAAAAAACAGATTCCAGCATGAGCCAAGAGATGTGTCATTAAAGGAACACTATAACCACTGAGATAAAGTGATCTGAGTTTTCAGACTTCGGTCCCTGAAGGTGTAGACCTCACTGGAACCACATCCTTGCTGCCTGCTACAGTGAGAGCACACCATATTACGGAATTAAGGAATTTTTATTTCCTAGTTTGTTGCAAAATTGGAAGTGCTTCAAATTGGGATATTTTTGCCTTCTTTTGGATCAACCGCAAAAAACATGTGAGGAAGGCTGAACTTGATGGACGCAAGTTCAGCTATGTAACTATGGACCGGGTTAGTCTTTAGGTTTAGGCATATTGGCCAAGGTTAGACTTTAGGTTGAGGGATATTGGACACTTCCAAGTCCCATCTTATGTCTAAGTCACCCTGTGCTTATTAGGGGCACAGGGTGCAGATCTGCAGATGAAAAGTGTGTCCAGGGCTATAAACACAGCCTCCTGGTCCAGGGTGGAAAAGGCCTTCAGTGATCATAGTCAAGCCTCGGCCACTGGGTCTGAAGTACAGTACAGCTATGAGAAAGCAGACTTGACAGAGGTACTCGATCGGAGTACTGAAGCTATGTCACAGTTAGTCTTTAGGGTTAGATATATTGGCCACTGTTAAACTTTAGGTTTATGGATATTGGCCAAGGTTAAACTTCAGGTTTAGGGATATTGGCTAAGGTTAGTCTTTAGGTTTAGGGATATTGGCCAAGGTTATTCTTTTAGGTTTAGATATATTGACTGAGGTTAGACTTTAGGTTTAGATATTGTGACAAACTCCCCTTTCCAAGTGAGTTTGCCACAAGCTCCTGGAGGAGCCTGATTGCCAGCCTCCTGCCCACAGACTATGGACCCTGTAAATATAATGTAATATAAAATTCTCTCAGTTTGTGTATTTGGGCTATATGGTTAGGGAACAGAACAGCCGTAATAACTGGAGACCACCCTGGAGCTTGTTAAGCCTAATTGATACTTTATAGAAATTTCCACCGCAGTGTTCGTCTGGGTGGCTGCATTTCCTATGGACGACCATGAGGTGGCGACCATTTTGTTCACATGAACACAGGCAGCGGTGTTTGGTCGTCGAGTTCATGGAACTATTTTCGGACACTGAAACTCCCGAACACCGCTGGACTTCCATGATCGCCTGTGTTCGGTTCTACAATGCTTAGAAAGACACTGTTCGGTGGAAACATTCCCACGAACAAGGGAAACAAGCTCCAGGGTTTTTCAACTACCGAACTAGACCGACCGCAAGCCCTGATTCTATGGAACTGTTTTTGGCATGGGACCATGTGGTCAAATTAGGACTTCCAGGAAATCCCTGAACCGATCTGGGTGATTTTTGGATATGTTGGTCACCCAGATCAGGGTTATCGGGGATGTAACTTTTGTGGGGGTTTTGTGTGGTTTAAGGTATTTTGGGGTTTTTGTAGAAATTATTTTTTTGTGCCTGTTTAATACAGTGCTTGACTCAATTATGTCCCAGGCACAGGGGAGTGATTATCTTGTTTTGTAAGGGAGTGTCCTGGACCTAAGAGCCCATGTAATCGTATGCAGGTGGGCCACCGGCACCTGGGTCTGCTGGCGGCTGCTGGGGGAGGTCCTCTGGCGGCTGCTGAGGGAGCTGTGCTGGCTCTGCTCCCCAGCGCGCAGCTTAATGAGACCGGGGCCTGAATATGACGTCATATTCCGGCCCCGGTCTCATTCAGCAGCGTGCGAGGGTGGGAGAGCAGAGCCAGCGCACCTCCCCCAGCGCCCGCCAGAAGACCTCCCCCAGCGCCCACCAGAAGACCTCCCCCTGGCAGGTATTAATAATGTGTGTCAGTGTGAGTTTGTCTGTCTGTTATGGCGTCTGTCTGTCCGTCAGGGTGTGTGTGTCTGTCCGTCATAGGGTGTGTGTGTGTGTGTGTGTGTGTGGGTGTCTGTCATGGGGTGTGTGTGGGTGTCTGTCTGTCATGGGGTGTGTGTGGGTGTCTGTCTGTCATGGGGTGTGTGTGGGTGTCTGTCTGTCATGGGGTGTGTGGGTGTCTGTCATGGGGTGTGTGTGTCTGTCTGTCTGTCATGGGGTGTGTTTCTGTCTGTCATGGGGTGTGTGTCTGTCTGTCATGGGGTGTGTGTCTGTCTGTGTCATGGTCTGTCATGGGGTGTGTATCTGTCATGGTATATGTGTGTTTCTGTGTCTGTCATGGTGTATATGTGTTTAAAAATAGTGTTTTTGCTCACCTTTTTTTTCCCCCCCACGCAGCGTGCTGGTCTCCCCTCGACAAGCTTGATGATCTCAGTCAATCCAATGCTTTGCCATAGGATTGGCGGCAAAACGCCACTCCAGTTAGCATCTCCTCATAGAGATGCATTGAATCAATGTATCTCTATGGGGAACGTTCAGCACCTACAGAGTGTGGAGGCCCTGAATGTAGGTGCACTAACACAGGAAGCACCTCTGGTGACGGTCTGAGTGACTGTCACTAGCAGTGTCACTTTGAAGCAATGTAAACACTGCCTTTTCTCTGAAAAGTCAGTGTTTACATTGAAAAGCCTGTAGCGACATGCTATAGACACCAGTACCACTACATTAAGCTGTGTGTGCGTCTGCTAGTGAGTGAGCTTGCTTGCATGCGTGTGCCTGCTAGTGAGTGAGCTTGTGTTTTTATGTCAATGAGCTGATGTATATCAGTAAGATTGTATTTCTATGAGGCTGTGTATCAATGAGCTTGTGTGTGTCATTGAAATGTCAGTGAAATTGCCTGTGTCTGCACGTGAGTATGCTTACTGCATAATTAAACGTTTTACCCTGAAAGGACCAATATTTTATATTAGAAAAAGCTGTATGTGTATGTGCAGACAAGGATCACAAAATATATATATTGTGATCCTTGTCTGCAGGTAGCACGGTCCTCTTGGGCCCAAACATGCACAGTCTTTTAAGGCAACTTATTTCCAGTCACTTTATTGTTAAACTCCACAAAGACAGCAGCACATGAAAAACAAAAATGTAACAAAATCCTATAAACAAAAACCTAGCTCGGTCTGAGTACTAACTAACATCAAGTTCCCTCTCTCTCAAGGGTTTAATCTATAACAAAAAAAGTGGTTTCACCAACCTAGCGTCTTTTTCAGCTCTCAGCACTCCAGTGTTTTTGGCAGCCTACTGCTTCCCTTTCTACACTCCCAGTGCTCCAAGCCAGCCTTGACTGCTTCCCTTTTGCACTCCCAGTGCTCCAAGCCAGCTTTGACTGCTTCCCTTTTGCACTCCCAGTGCTCCAAGCCAGCCTTGACTGCTTCCCTTCTGCACTCCCAGTGCTCGGTCTCCTTGACTCTCTTACTGGAGAGAACAGCCTCACTCCTACCTGCTTCCAGGGAGGAAGCCAGCAATCCCTCTTCACCTGGCTAGCAGGGAGGGGTTTATTCCCACTGCTTCAGCTGATTATCTGCAGCTGAGCAGTGGGTTGGAGACAGCTCCAAAAAAAACTCTGGCCTGGACATTATTTCCCCCAGTTGTGTATAAACTGAGGAGTGGAGCATTGGCTCACCCTGCTCTCCAAATGCTCCAGCCCATAACTAAACGGTGGATTGTGTTGCCTAAAACACATACTCCCCCTGGGGTTAAATGTTATAGGCCTATCTGCCTTCACTTTATCACATATCCTCCCCCCCAGCTCAGACCCATCGGGGCGAGCGGCCTTCAAACACAAACCATGAACATACATATCACCTAGGGATGTACCAGCCCTGACTAGCTTCTCAGTTACCGGAAGTAGATGGCTGCTACCTCGCTCCCTCGCTATTTTAGATGGCTGCTACCTCGCTCCCTTGTAGTTTAAGGAGCCCCCACCCAATAGGATAACCCACATAGTTAGCCTCCTCTAATCCTAGATAACACTTAGTGTTAGCGGTCAAACCGGCAGCTGCATACTCTCTGTGGGGCCAAAGTATCTTATTCGTCATATGCAGAAAGGGTGCCGTTGCACCATGCAACCTGAATGGCAGTACTTTATGTTGCCACAACCCCTCGGGAGTAGAAAACACTGTCCTTCCCTTTGCTTTCTCTGTAAGGGGAACCTGCCAATACCCTATGACCAGGTCCAAGGTACTCAGATACCTGGCCTTACTTATCCGCTCTTGCGTTTGAGCTACATGTACTATAGGGCATTTAATATTTGCAACCTCTGTAACAAACTCTACCTCTGCCGTGGGGTGTGTGCGGGTGTCACCATTTGTACACACAATATTAATCATTTGTCTTGTATCACATTTCTCTGGCTGGAGGAGAACACTTTTCATCAAAGTAACATCACTTCCTGAATTGATTAGTGCTTGTACACAATTCCCTTCCACCATCACCACTTTTAACTGTGCTGTAACACCACCACTAGTCACCACACACATCTTTAAGTAAGTCAATACAATCCTATGCAGAGCCCTTATTCGTATGTCACACTGTATTGGTGTCACATATTCATCCGCTTATAGAAATGTGGTTAATGACATTTACTGTCCACACAGGAAAAGTTGTGCCGAGCAGCAACCTAATCCACAGAAGGGTTAATGCTGAGCAGCAATTATGCAAATGAAACCTGGTAACTGACTTTGGGGTCAAAGGCCGGTTACAGCCTATCAGAACTAAAGGAGGGGTATTTAGGCCCAGTTCTCAGCCTGCTCAGTGCCCTGTCGTGGTTTCCCTTGTGGTTGTCTGAGAGCGCGTTCCTGTTTATAGTTTTCTACCAGGTTTTTGACTTTGGCTTTGTTTATTGACTTCTCTATATTCTGGTATCCTGACTCCTGGCTTTCCTCATCGCTGTGTCCCTTTCTGTGTTCCCTGACCATGGCTAGTATTTTTGACTATTCTTTGTACGTTAAATCCGGCCATTCTAAGGACCGGTAATATATGTTACTTATTTGTCATCCGTGCTGTACAGTTCTACGTGCTGGATCAAACAGTAATCCTGACAATTGGCTCTTCACTCTCAGGACAGTTATATGTAACATGTCCTTGCATGTGGCCGTTGAAGCATCTTAGTTTCTCAGTCTGGTCTCGTAGCTGTAATGGGACTTTTGGGTACGTTCTACCATCATAGTTATATTGTCCCAGACTCAGTATCAGGTTTTGTCCTTTCTTTCCAGTTTCCCCGCTTATTTGGTTGCTAGCAGATCTAGACTGAGGCTCAATACTGTGTGGCTCCTTAGCAGCCAAGTTCCTCTCAGTCATCATCCGCTTCCACATCCACAGCAGCTTCTGGTTTGATAATCTTTCAATGTCCGAGTTACTTCCCAATGCAAACTTTACAAAGGCTTTGCGTATCATTTATACGTATATCACTTATGATTCCTTCATCAGCTGAATGCTATAACCAAAGCCATAATTACCCCAACAAGAATACTATATCCAGAGTTATAACTAAAGCCATAATTACCCCAACAAGAATGCTATATCCAGAGTTATAACCAAAGCTATAATTACCCCAACAAGAATGCTATATCCAGAGTTATAACCAAAGCTATAATTACCCCAACAAGAATGCTATATCCAGAGTTATAACCAAAGCCATAATTACCCCAACAAGAATATGTCAGGATTACTGTTTGATCCAGCACGTAGAACTGTACAGCACGGATGACAAATAAGTAACGTATTACCGGTCCTTAGAATGGCCGGATTTAACGTACAAAGAATAGTCAAAAATACTAGCCGAGGTCAGGGAACACAGAAAGGGACACAGCGATGAGGAAAGCCAGGAGTCAGGATACCAGAATATAGAGAAGTCAATAAACAAAGCCAAAGTCAAAAACCAGGTAGAAAACTATAAACAGGAACGCGCTCTCAGACAACCACAAGGGAAACCACGACAGGGCACTGAGCAGGCTGAGAACTGGGCCTAAATACCCCTCCTTTAGTTCTGATAGGCTGTAACCGGCCTTTGACCCCAAAGTCAGTTACCAGGTTTCATTTGCATAATTGCTGCTCAGCATTAACCCTTCTGTGGATTAGGTTGCTGCTCGGCACAACTTTTCCTGTGTGGACAGTAAATGTCATTAACCACATTTCTATAAGCGGATGAATATGTGACAGAATACTATATCCAGAGTTATAACCAAAGCCATAATTACCCCAACAAGACTACTATATCCAGAGCTATAACCAAAGCCATAATTACCCCAACAAGAATACTATATCCAAAGCTATAATTACCCCAACAAGAATGCTATATCCAGAGTTCTAACCAAAGCTATAATTACCCCAACAAGAATACTATATCCGGAGCTATAACCAAAGCTATAATTACCCCAACAAGAATACTATATCCGGAGCTATAACCAAAGCTATAATTACCCCAACAAGAATACTATATCCAGAGTTATAACCAAAGCTATAATTACCCCAACAAGAATGCTATATCCAGAGTTATAACCAAAGCCATAATTACCCCAACAAGAATGCTATATCCAGAGCTATAACCAAAGCCATAATTACCCCAACAAGAATGCTTTATCCAGAGCTATAACCAAAGCCATAATTACCCCAACAAGAATGCTATATCCAGAGCTATAACCAAAGCTATAATTACCCCAACAAGAATGCTATATCCAGAGCTATAACCAAAGCTATAATTACCCCAACAAGAATACTATATCCGGAGCTATAACCAAAGCTATAATTACCCCAACAAGAATACTATATCCAGAGCTATAACCAAAGCCATAATTACCCCAACAAGAATACTATATCCAGAGCTATAACTACCCCCAATATCATAACTACATCCAGAACCACAACAGACATGTTTGCTGCAGTGTTGGCTTTAATAAAATATATTTCATGACAGCAACTGGAACACCGCCATGAAGAATTGGAAGAACATAGGGCGCTGCTCAACATCAAACTGGAAGAAGCGACAAGGTGGAAGAACAAGCTTCAGATTCAAGCAAAGGTGCAACTTCTCGTTCCATAACACGTTAAATTGTATTTAATATATATATTGGAAACACTGCATTTTCTATTCTGTTTATCCCTATCCCTGTATATTTATATCCAATTTGTGTTATCAGTGGGACAGATACATGCGTTGTGACGGAAGTCCTGATCCAACCATTCCTAAAGAAATAAACACTTTTATAAGCTTGTGGGCTAAGGAACAAAGCCAGGATTTCCAGACCGTGCTGAATAAAAGCAACCTAGTACTGGAGGTAAGTATCAACGTGGGAAGGGAGAACGTCAAACATAAATGCTGAGTACACCTGTTAGCGCTATATAAATAAAATATACATACACTGTATACCTACTGCACTTACTGTACCTCCCTCTACTGTAATGTAACCTGTAAAGTGCTGAGTACACCTGTTAGCGCTATATAAATACAATATACATACACTGTATACCTACTGCACTTACTGTACCTCCCTGTACTGTAATGTAACCTGTAAAGTGCCGAGTACACCTGTTAGCGCAATATAAATAAAGTATACATACATTGTACTTACTGTACCTCCCTCTACTGTAAAGTACTGAGTACACCTATTAGTGCTATATAAATAAAATATACATACACTGTATACTTACTGTACCTCCCTCTACTGTAATGTAACCTGTAAAGTGCTGAGTACACCTGTTAGTGCTATATAAATATAATATACATACACTGTATACTTACTGTACCTCCCTCTACTGTAAAGGGCTGAATACACCTGTTAGCGCTATATAAATAAACTATACATACACTGTATACCTACTGCACTTACTGTACCTCCCTCTACTGTAATGTAACCTGTAAAGTGCTGAGTACACCTGTTAGTGCTATATAAATATAATATACATACACTGTATACCTACTGCACTTACTGTACCTCCCTCTACTGTAATGTAACCTGTAAAGTACTAAGTACACCTGTTAGCGCTATATAAATATGTATTTTATTTCTTTTTTGCCAATATCTGCAGCTGATTAGAGAGCTCGAGTTCCTTCTTCTAGACGCTCCTTCTGATACTATCACAGAGATCGACGTATTGCGATATCAGCAAACCATCCGAGAGCTGCAGGAACTTCTTTATCAGAAATTCAACAATGCCACCGAGCGTCTGTTAAAGGTAAGTGTGCACCATCCTTCTATACACAGGTCATTCCATGTGTTCTACAAAATATAGGATCCACAAGGGCCAGCTCAGATTATTCTTACAGCTCCTTGTATTATTTTAGGATATTGTTTTATTACCGCTTATTTCATTATTATTGCGTAGTGTATGATTACAAATTAAAGATTTTGTGGAGCCTAAATCCATCAGAGTGTTTTAATGTTGACGTTTTAAAGTAGTCTTTTCTTTATTTTTTGATTGTGTTGGGATACCAGTAAAATTCTATTACAGTTATAATAAAGATTTAATCTCAAAACCGACACTGCTGCTTTAAGTCTAATGAAAAGGACGTGGTTTGAAACTCTAGGTTGATGCTAAATATGCATCAATGCGTCATTTTCACTAGTTTTTACCTTTTGCCATCACGTTGTTAAAGTACACACAGGTAATCCAAGTATTGTCTAATGTTTGCAGCTTTCCTTAAAATGCTCCTTTATCCCCCGCAGAACGCCACCGTTTTGTCAGACATCGATACCGGAAACATGCAGAAAGTCATCAAAAATGAAAATGTTACCCTGTGTATATGGGCCAATCTCAACAAGAACCCAAGGTGGAGTACAAATGGTTTATTATCTGTAGTTACCGACACCGGCCCACTATCTGTAGTTACCGACACCGGCCCACTATCTGTAGTTACCGACACCGGCCCACTTGCTGTAGTTACCGACACCGGCCCACTATCTGTAGTTACCGACTCCGGCCCACTAGCTGTAGTTACCGATACCAGTTGATTTTCTGTGTTCTCTCTTTCTTTGTCCTAACGTGTTACGTTCTCGTATCTTATTGTAGATTTAAAGGATATCGATTCGAGAAAGAAGCCATTGGATTTGATTTACCGAAATCTCTAGCTGTGTGTAGTATAGCCGTACGAATCCTCCATACACTCTATGACCACCTCTCATGCCAAAGTCCCACTTTCCATCCATGGATGAAAGAAACAGAGGTGGTCTTGGCTCCCACAGATGAATTGGAGAATGTTTTGGGTGACTCTATGCAAATTATGGAGGAACATAAACCGTCGGGGAGTGTTATTACAGCTAATGAAGAGACAAAGTCTGAGGGGAGAAAGGTAGGACTTTTTTTTAGTCATTTTCTAGTATAGCTTAGATAAACACTTTGTAAGGATACATTAATGGGTCTGTGTCCTGGACCCTTGCTAGATCACTGTATTTTCCTAATATTCCTAATAGTAATCATTCTGCTTCCCTCTCTGCAGCACTGCTACCCATGTGCTATTTATCATTATAGTTTACCCCTGAAAAGGAATCTAATAATGTCCCAAAATTTCTCCTCTGCACCTCAGAGTGTCCTGAGCACGGTATCCTTCAAAGAAGAACCCAAACCAGTGAACGAATCGCTAGACAAGACAGAACTGGAGACCGAACAAAGGGCCAACAGCCAGCTGGGGACAACGACTGAAGGTTTGACTTTAGAATACCTTTAATTAACATTGCTGTAGAATTTGTTTCCCTTCTGGCTGCAGATCGAACATTTTATAGAAATGGACATATTTTACCAAGAGTGTATAAATCTCCCCTCCTTGTGATAGCAAGGCCATGGAGACTGATCTGATCTGCAGAATGGCACGTCATAATCCACCCAATAAATAACAGGTGCATCAAACCGTCTCACTGAAAAAAAGAAGGGGCAGGTCTGACTCTGCTCCGAGGAGGCTACTGGGAAGGGGCTATATTGAGCAGCTCCCATAGATAACAGCAGATTCTGGCTAGTTATATGTTGGAGAGCGTTATCCCTTCTTCAGTATTTGCTGTGTTTAGAGCATATTTGTACAGGATGCACGTGTTCTATAATAGCCCATCTCCTGTGATCATATTTGAGAAAGAACACAAGCCATATATACTCTATGTATAGCCTTGTTCAGTAAACTGCAGTGGAAGCTCGTCCATAGGGGAAAAGTTAAAATAATTGGTATTTGTGTGTAACTGTGTCAGTATCCTCTTTGTATTACTGTGTGTGTCAGTGACTTTTTTTTGTATTACTGTGTGTGTCTTTGTCCTATGTGTATCAGTGTTCTTTTTGTATTACCGTGTGTGTGTGTGAGTGGCCTCCTGTGTATTACCGTGTGTGTGTGAGTGACCTCCTGTGTATTACCGTGTGTGTGTGGCCTCCTGTGTATTACCGTGTGTGTGTGTGAGTGGTCTCCTGTGTATTACCGTGTGTGTGTGAGTGACCTCTTGTGTATTACCGTGTGTGTGTGTGAGTGACCTCTTGTGTATTACCGTGTGTGTGTGTGTGAGTGGCCTCCTGTGTATTACCGTGTGTGTGTGTGTGTGTGAGCAGCCTCCTGTGTATTACCGTGTGTGTGTGTGTGAGTGGCCTCCTGTGTATTACCGTGTGTGTGTGAGTGGCCTCTTGTGTATTACCGTGTGTGTGTGAGTGGCCTCTTGTGTATTACCGTGTGTGTGTGAGTGGCCTCTTGTGTGTGTGAGTGGCCTCCTGTGTATTACCGTGAGTGTCAGTGGCCTCTGTGTGTAAAGCCTTGAACCTTGTCAAGCTAATATTTTATTACATTTTTAAGCTATTCTTATTTAAGTTATAAAATTTTCTCCAGAGAAGAATCTCCTCATGATAATTTTTTTTAACAAAAAATCTGAATGCAGAGCTATCTGGTTCAATATGTATAGATATCTTTTTTTCAAAAAATTAATATGAATACCGCACTCAATATAGTAAAATAATCAAACGATAGTGAAAGGTAATATAATTTAATTTATTATACTCTAATTCTTAAATTCATAGGTATATAGCTTTATGTAAGAGATTATAATTAATCAAAAGGATATATTACATCATATATTCAATAGCTATTTACAGAATGACCTCCATGGGTATTGTATAAATTCATAATAAGTATATATACCCAGCTAATAATATTCTAATTTAATGGTCTAAGGAAAACATATCCAGATGGATAATAGTCGGATCTGTTGTAATCTATGTACATAGAAAAAAGAAGAAAAAATATAAAGAAAAAATAATAAATGAAAAATTCAAAAAAATGAAAAAATGAAGAAAATCAAAAAGAAAATATATGTCCTTATGTACAATATTCCAAAAAATAGTGCACTAAAGTAATAAATAGGTGGATCTCACCCACTGAAGTATCCAAATGGATTGTAGCCTTAGATGCAACTGGAGAATTTGTGGAAAAGCTGTAATGGATGAAAAGGTGACTATATATCAATCGGTGAGCTTTGAAACTCGCTGAATTCCTGATGTAATGCAGGCTGTAATGCAGACTCGGCTGGGGTGTCAATGCTGTCCTCATATATGCCCCTGAAGACTGTCAATTATATTCCTCAAATCGGAGATAGCCTCAGTATATGGGCTGCGCGCTCGGGACATCCACGTCCCTTCGAAGGCCCCTGCAATCTGTTTAAAACAGAAATAAAAACAATTTATATATGCTGTTCTCGGCGGCAAATTCCCGCCGCGTCCAACTTGTAGTCCTCCTCCACTTCCGGGTTTCGACGGCTGCGTGCATACTTACGTCATCAATTTCAAATATAATTTCAATAACTTTATTGTCCATATGTAACACGCGAACAGCATAAGATAAACTAGAATGAGCTGTATTGGTAGAACCAACCTATTTAAATGGTCAGAATACAATAAGAAATGCGCAATAGAGAAGACCCAGAAAAAAAAAAAAAAGATAATAACCAAAATAAATTTATGCTTATTATATAACTGTGGCAGCTAAAAAAAGGGGATGGAAATGGTTAACCAAGAAATCAATGGTCAATAAACCAAGTAGAGAGTAGCACCACCTAGAGGATAAAGAGGTAATGAGTCCTAATGTTAAATATATTATAAGTTTTCAATTATAAATTTGTGTATCCTCAAAAAACTACACAGAATACTAGTTATTAATAGTCACATGATATACTGACTCCTAACTGTTGATCAAGGGATAAAAAGAACCAAAAAATATATAAATATAAAAAAAAGAAAAATATATAAAAAATTCCAGAAAAATTTTGCAGCTAAGTAAATTCATTGAAAAAAATCATCATTGAAAATAAATAAATAAATATAATATAATATATATACATACATACATGTGACTCACCGGTCATGCAATAACTCTTAGTGATCTCGGGCTTTGCAAGTGAGGGACCCTGTAGTATGGACAGGTAGCGGACCCAGATGGGTCGATCTGACAGCGATCCAGAGCGACGGACCAATATTGGTCTAGAGAGGAAACTGTAAGGAGCGCAAAGGGTATAAAGAAAATCAACGTGAGCCAGTGATATAGAAAGTGAACCAATTCCCCAAAAATGTTTCAAGTCATAATCCTCATTGAGACCTAATGGTGACAAAGTTTCCAGGGTACTAATCCACTTAGTTTCCCTTTGGAGTAAAAGTTTCTGTCTGTCTCTGCCTCTGCGCAATGGTGGAATTCTGTCTATAACTTGGAACCTTAATTGGTTCACATTATGGCCACGTGTTTTGAAATGTCTTGGTACCGGTGCTTCAACTGCATCATGCTGTAATGCTGCCCTAATGCTCCTTTTGTGTTCCCCTATCCGTTCTTTGACCGGCCGAAAAGTCTCCCACACATACAGGAAACCACAAGGGCACTTGAGTATATACACAACAAAATCTGAGTTACATGTGTAGAAGTCCTTCACAAAAAACTTTTTGCCCGACTGGGGGTGAACAAAATATTCCCCCTTGATCACACTGCTGCAATGTGAGCAATTAAGGCAAGGAAAAGTGCCTTTCTTTGGTTCTGAAAAAAATCTAATTTGTTTTTTAGAACTACCTATGTCTGATTTGACCAAAAGGTCTCTCAAATTCGGAGCCCTCTGGTATGAGAATAATGGAGGATGCTGAAATATCGACGGTAGTTGAGGATCCCCCTCAAATAACCGCCAATGTTTGAGAATTACTTGTCGAATATCCCTATTCAATGGGGTATACGGTGTTACAAATGTTAACCTCTCTAAGTTCCAATCTGTTCCTGAACCTGCCAGGGTTTCTTGTCGGGTCAGTTTTTCAATTTTTTTGTCGTTGGCTCTCTACTATATGTACGGGATAACCCCTCTCTCTAAATTTGTTGGCCATAAAATCAAGTCCAGATACAACTTTCTCCTCTTGCGATACTATTCTTCTCACTCTTAGTAATTGACTAAAAGGTAGACCATTTTTTAAATGCATGGGGTGAAAACTGGCATATGTCAATAAATTGTTACAATCTGTTGGTTTTATGTATAAATCACTATGTAAAGAGTTGTCCACCCTCTGTACCAGAACATCTAGAAAGGGAACCGAATTCATATCGCAATACATAGTAAATTTAATATTGGGGTCTTGTATGTTTAAGGCCTCATAGAAGTCTTGTAGTTGGGCCCTCGTGCCGCTCCAACATATGAAAACATCATCTATATATCTTTTCCAAACTAAACATTTCGAGAATAGACAATGTTGATAGATGCACGTCTCTTCCAAACGGTTCATATAGATGTTTGCATATGTTGGAGCGACATTGGAGCCCATAGCAGTTCCTTTAATCTGTTTATAATATTTATCCCTAAAAAGGAAATAGTTCTCCGTTAATATGAAGGTGAGTAACTCCCTGATGTACCTTCTAGTATCACTCTGTTGGATAAGATTGGGATCCTTATCCAATGTCCAATCAACTGCCTCTAATCCTCTATTGTGGTCTATGGACGTGTACAATGATTGTACATCCATAGTCACTAACCAGAATTCACCTGGCGGGATCTGTACATCTACTAATAGTTTAAGAAAGGTAGTAGTGTCTTTAAGATATGATTTTTGGGACGGAACATATTTGATCAAGAACTTGTTTAATATCTCTGCCGGATGTTGAAATATGGAACCAGTCCCACTAACTATAGGTCTACCTGGAGGGAAGAGCGGATTCTTATGGATTTTTGGGAGAGTGTAGAAAACTGGAATCCTAGGATATTTAAGATTCATGTATCTATATACTCCATCTGAAATAATACCTCTCGATAGTGCCCATTGATTGAGCCTATCTAATGTATGTTTAAGATTGTGCGTAGGATCCTGATTAATAGCCAGGTAATTAGTGTTGTCCCTTAGTTGTGTCTCAATCTCTCCCATGTAATAAATACGATCCATAATCACCAATGCTCCTCCCTTATCTGCTGGTTTAATAATAATAGATGTGTCTTTTTTAAAATTGTTAATATTTGCCCAATCTTGTTTAGTGAAATTAACAGTCTGTTGTCTGTGTATATGTGTATGTTGGTGTTTCCTCCTCAGTTTGTATACATCCTTTTTCACAAGATTGGTGAATAAGTCAATTGATGCATTAACATTATGTGGTGTAAAGGTACTTTTAGGTTTCAAACCTGTCTCAAGCGATAGAACCCCATCAGGATCGTTCTGTGAAGTGTTATGTCCCACCATGTTTTCTTCCACTTGTTGGATCCCCTGTATGTGTTGAGTACTTCTATTGCTAGAGAGAGTTGTGTGTTCTGTGGAAAAAAATGCACGTAATTTAAGTTGTCTGAAGAATTAATATAAACTCACATCATATTGGTGCCATTCTATATTTGGTGTAGGAATAAAGGATAATCCCTTATTCAAAGTTACCTCTTCTGTGGGTGTTAAAGGCCTACCTGAAATATTATGTATCAGAGATTGCGTCTGGACTGGGTCGGTCGGCCTTTCCTTTTCTCCCGTGTGCCTCTTGTTGTAACCCCCCTCCTGATGTTTCTTCGAATCGTGTGCCTCTCTCTAAAAAAGTCATTCCTGATGATGAGGAGGCAGAGGAAGAAGATGTAACTCCTTCTGTATCCGAACGCCATTTCTGTGAATTTATATCTCTATTAGGTCTATATGATCGATTGTCTGTCCTTGTATACCACGAGTATACTTGATCTCTCTGATAATCCAATTCGTCTCTATGAAATTTTCTCTTTTTAAACTCTTCTGTTTCTCTCTGGTATTCCTTCAATTTATCTTCTATCTGTTTTTTAAGAGTTTCTAAGTCTGTTGAGGCTGTTACTGCTGCCAATTCCTGTTCAACTGTTGCTATCTCCTTAATTAGCTTAACTAGCTCTTTTTGTAAGGATTCAATGGTTAATACCATAAGGTCTACTGAGCATTTAGTTAGGATCTTATACCACACAGTGTGGTGTTCTATGTTATCCCTGCATAGTGTAGGATGTAGTCTAACCCTTAGTCCCCTTGGGATTCTTTTTTGTCTTAAATACTCGCCAAGTGTACTAATATGTAATTCCCAACTTACTTTTTTCTTTAGATCTCTCTCAAGTTTCTGTGCTATCCCCCGTTCGTTATCACTAGTTAGGAACTCTCTGGCCCCTCTGAGGGCTGACGTAATGCGATTAATATCACCCTCTGTATAGGCAAAAGTTGCCATAAATAATAATGTATATAGCTAGAAGATATAAATATAAACAAACTGTATACTTTAATAATATATCTTTTTTTCTACTATTAAATAAATTTTTTCATTTTGCTATTAAAATTTATTTTTTTAAAGTAATCCTTTGGCAGCATCTAGTGGTTAAACTTTGTATTACACTTATGCTGCTTTGAGGCTAAACTCAAAGTATATATTTTACTCATTAATTGGAAAGTGTCTATGGTTTATTCCCTATATATGGCATTGTCCACATATTTGGAGGTAGAAGAGCCATATAGACTTCTTCCTATTCTCGATTAACAATATATAGGAAAAGGATTTTGTGACGGAACGCTGGCACTCCGACTGAGTACCTCCGCCAATCGATGCTCCTAGTGCTCGCTGAGGACTCCAAGCACTCCAACCGACACCATCAGCACTGCAGACCCCACTTCCAGCGATGTAACTGCGCCGGGGTCTCTGCTGTTTCCACCCACCCTGGACCCAAGGCCAGGATCCAGCTTCCAGTGGGTGAACCTCTCTTTCCCCAGAGAGCAGGAACAGGAACAAATCAAGCTATTGCAAGAGCTTCCTCTGGGGAGTAAGTGATTATAGCAATCCCCAGAGTGTAGGTATCCCTTCCCCCAAACATGAGCCAAGGCTTAATGCTGGAACAAGACTGATTTACTGGCACACAGAACTCACAATTTATGCAACACAAAACTCCTCCTCTGGGCCAGGCTAGATAATTGAGTTTCTACAATACACAAAGCTCAATTATCTGCTGGCCAGAAACATTACAATTTTTACAGCATTCATAACTTCTAAAATATACATCCCAGGGGCCATAGTCACAGGGCAAGAGGCGGGCAAGCAGTCCTCTCCAGGCACAAGTGGCGAAGGGCACTTCGTCACAGATTTCAATACATGTGTATGCTGTCTGGGGACCCACCAACTTGAGAAGTCACCAGCCACTACTGGCAAACGGTGTACAGAGCTGTAAGTAAAGTTGAAAGCAGCAGCTGTGGTTTGATAAACAGAAATGCTGACAAGTGCTAAACTACGTATCCCAATAACCCCAGCACGAGACACAACATTGAGTAGAATTAGGTCTGAATCCATATTTTCTTTTTAAAGGTACATACTTGTAATTTATTTTATTTTTCTTGCTGTATAACACATTATGAATGAGAAACACGTACACCCAGTCATTTAAGTTTAACAAATTCTATCCGTTTGACATTTTCTGAAAGAAGCCCACACAAAATCACAACAAGCTCTTACATTTTAGCAATGAGAGGAGAGTGGGGCGTTTGGCCATAGCGCCCCTCAGTCACCTTAATGATAGAACACCCTAACACATCCATGTACGTACCTAAATCAGCAGTGACCTATAACTGTGAGCAATCATTACCAGACTACCTCACTCATAGAATAACCAGAACTATAGCCTTCTGGATTACTGGTGCCTCCAACCGACCTCCTCTCCCACATTCGGTCTCACCCAGGACCGACCTCCTCTCCCACATTCGGTCTCACCCAGACCAATGTCCATTCACCCGGTCTCCGATATGTTTGGGCAAAGTCTAAAAGCAGGAATTAGTCCAGCCTCACCTACGATTATTAATTGGATACCCTATGAATTGGGAAGTATCATAATGCCCAGATAATTTGGACATTTATCAATTATTTGTTTGTAGGGGGAAATTTTAGCATTATCATGTATTCCCTTGTAACAGAATACCCTCTGTGTAACATGGCCTGTGGCGTTACCAACCGGGGGTGGTGGGGGAGGGAGGCAAAACGTAAGTGTGTGTGTGTGTATATGTATGTGTATATATGTATGTATGTATATATATATATAATTATATCTCTATCTCTTGGCACTCTCCTTACCGGTGTTGTAAATATATCTGCCTGGGTTATATATATATATATATATATATATATATATATATATTTTCTCCACTCCAACATGGTGAAGCATTATACCTTTATAACAAAAGTATCTGGAACCATCTCAATATCAAGTAGCCAACACCCTATTGATGATTAGTACGATACATTCGCTATCTGATAGTGTATGCGTAGCCTATCCATGTTCTAGGTATATAATGTGTCGAAGAATCATATATTGGAACTACGTACCCGTGTGATCTATGTATGGAGGTTCCTCCTGTTGAGTAAGAATGTCAATCATGGCTGCCAAATAGCCTGATAGCATATGTGTTTATGTAGTATGGAAGAGATTAATTCCTCAATTACTCCACCTTTTGAATACATTCTCTGATGGAGGGCTCTTCACGTTTTTTCCAGAACAGCAGTATTAGTAAATTGGCTGCCGTCAGCGGGTGCATTATTAACCTATGTGTGGGTTTATGGCGTATTGCCGCGATAAGGCCAAATATGATCACCTCGGGGTGTAAGGAGATTGGGATAAGCGTGATGGTATGTATGAGCTTGGTAAGTTTAGCCCAGTAAGGTTGTATGATAGGGCAAGTCCACCAAATGTGAGCTAGTGTGCCTCGAGGTTGCTGGCATCTCCAGCACTGGTCTGGTCTATGAATGTGTGAGGAAGAGTAGTGCCATCTCGCTATTTGTTTGAAGTTGCCTTCCTGTATGTTGGTGCTAATAGAGAACATGTGGAGTCATCTGAATGTGTCCGACCATTCTTGTTGGGACATGTCTATATTGAGGTCTTTTGACCACGCTCTAGTATATAATGGTGGGTTACCTGCACTGTCTTGGTGTATCAGTGCTCCAAAGGTGCTTTTTGGAGAGTTTTTGGTGTGTGCAGTGGTTCTCAAATGTCGACTGTATTTGAGTGGTGGTTAGCAGGTCTGGCATAGAGTTAAGAAAGTGGAGAATTTGGTGGTATCTAAACGTTTGTAAGGAAGAGGGTGTGTCTGTGTGTGTTGCCAGATCTAGTATTATGTCCTAAAGACCCCTGAAAATACGGCTCATGTCACCAATCATCCAGTTCTATGGCTTAGCATCAAAACAGCCTCAGAAAATAAATGTCCCTGCTACAAGCAGCTAAGGCCCCCTGCTGGAGTGCTGGCCATATCCCCCCTAGCAGCCCCTTGGCCAGTGTTTAATTACAATGTGGTCTCTCACAGGTCATTCGCCCCCTTCTTTACTGAACGACAAGCAGAACGACTTACTGGAAGATGATGTGGTGGATCTGCGCCAATATACAACCTTAGGTGGCGTTTACTACTTTGATGTAATTGCTCTTCCACCTCAGTATAAACAAGTGAACGGCTGGACCATGGTGCAGGTACTTCTCATTACGGAGGGGAATTCAGCTTTAGCACTTATTATTGGGACGTTGAAAAGCCATATTTGGTGTGGGGATGGTTTACAGTATGACGACACCTGCAAGCTTGCCAGCATTTAGCCAGCGGCTCCAGATTTACAATAAAATTACCAGGAATTTTAGCCAAAAAGCTTGTCTTTTGATTGTAGCAATTTGAAATCAAAATGGCAAAATTTAGACAAAAATAGCTGATCTGGAAAAAATGTCCAGCTGATCCTGTATCACTGTATATTGTAGCTTTTGTATTTTAATTCACCTCAACTGGTTTGTAGTTATTAACACTGCAGCCAATGTGGTAAATTTCTGTCCTGCTGCTGCTGGAGCGTACCTCGCAGGCTGACAAATCCTGCAAGTTTTAGGAGTAAGGTACCTCCCCCTACGCTGAAATAATGTTCAGTAAGGGGTGCTAGGAAATTCTCAGCTCTCAATCACTTGGTGACAAAACTTTTGCATCATTGCAGATTCTAGAAGGAGGTCTTCAAATGTACCCCTACCCGCAGGATCTATCCCTTCTTAACCTCACCGGTATGTCACAGCAGGAGAAGGAATTGGAGAATGCTGCTCCCCCTGTTGCAGTGTCCTTTCGAGTACCTAAAAATGTTTTCTTTTTTGAAGAACCTCAAGTAGCGAGATGGGACCCTGAAGGTGATACCCGTTTTGATAAATTCCACCTTTTTTCTTTTTCCTTTTATTTACATTTAACCTTTCGATTAGGTTTGTGTTCTCCTATTTCTGTTAAAATGTACAGCGTGAAACATTCTGCTTTCCAAACCAGGACAATGCACACCACCAACAGAAAATAATTTGGTCTTCATTTTGTAGATAAAACTTGGCGAATGGACTCAATCACCCAGAAGATATATAACCTGGAGCTCCGGGACTTGTCCTTTAAGATGGATTCATTTCACACTTTCACCTTGATCCAAGATTCGCACCTGAACATGCCGTACGAGTCGTGGGAGCTGAGCCCTGGCGGCAAGAACCAAGTCATGCTGGTCATCGTCTCTGCGTTCACAGAAATCCAGCTGGAAATTAAGGTGAAGTGCACTAATGAGCTACGCACAGAATGGACAACTTGCATTTCTTATTACAGGGCGTACAAGGCCAGAATGAGCCAAGCGCACTTTTTGGAGAGAGAGAGTTTAAAAAAATAAAATATATATATTTTATTATTATTATTATTATTATGATATTTATAGAGCGCCGTCAAATTCCGCAGCGCTTTACAATGGGTGGACGAACAGACATGTAGTTGTAACCAGACAAGTTGGACACACAGGAACAGAGGGGTTGAGGGCCCTGCTCAATGAACTTACATGCTAGAGGGAGCGGGGTAAAATGACACAAAAGTTAAGGATAGTATTAGACTAGTGACAGTTGCAGAAGAGGAATCAGTCAGGAGCTATTAACAGTTTAATTAATACGCTTTTATAAAGAAGTGGGTTTTAATGATTTTTTGAAGGAGTGGAGACTGGGTGAGCATCCAACGGAGGAGGGAAGCAAGTTCCACAGGAACGGTGCAGCCCTCGAGAAATCTTGAAGGCGAGCATCAGAGGTGGGAGTACAGACAGAAGATAGACGTAAGATATATATAATCTCCAGTAGAAAAGCCAGCACTCGAGGACTTGTAAAAAAAAATTAAAAATAAATTGTAAATTTAATCCAAAGATAAAAATGATTTATAATCAAATGGGTCAACGTTTCAGTTCAGACATTAGAACTTTCTTCAGGACATAATTTCTACCAGGGTTATATTTTGTGCAGCTGAGCACTGGGCCAAGGACACAGGCAAGGAGGAGTGCAAAACCCATGGAATAGTATATTTATTTATTTATTTAACACTCCTAAACCCTTCCCCATGTTACTAAACTAAACACACGCCCACGTTTTATTAAAAAGACATTAGCAGTTATGGTAATCAGGTAACACAAAATGCAGGCCGCTCCTATGTTATTTGTTTTGATACCATTGTTTGCCGGTGTTTATTTTTCTGTCTTTAATTATTGTTAACAGATACAGACACTAAAATTCATAAATTCAGCTGCGATTGCCATGTATCAATTTTGTCCAGCTTGCTTCCTCGAGGGTAAATTTCTATAATTGGGACCAGTTCCTAAACATAAAATAATTCATATTGACACACAGGCTAAGGCCTTCATTAATAGATCACATTATGTTCGGTCCATAAAGGTGTAAAGCAAACCTTGTGTGTATAGTAGAGGGACATTTAGATGCGTAATTATATTTAAAGCGTACATTATACTCTGCAATCGCTTTCATTTTAGAGTGATAAATTAGTTTATTTTCCCACCCTGTAGCAGAAGTAGCTTTTCAAACAACACTTTGTGTTCTTGGTAGTGATAACTCATCCCTCCATGTTTCCATGGTCTGTAGATTGCAACCCATTTAGTCAAATCCAAATCAGAGCATGGCAGAGGCGTCGATGTTTTGAAGAACTGTCTGTTTAATCTGCAATTAGTTTTTAGCAGCAGCCCGATGTAATGATATTAAGTTGATAAGTTTTACATTGTGACTGCACACAGGATGACCAGTGTAGGTTGACGTCGCTGTCCAGCGTAGACGGAGATTTGACGCATATTGTGGGGAAATGGATGTCTCCGGCAGCTCTAAAATCCACCATGAGAGGCGCAGGACTAAACATCTTCCCAGAAGAGGACTCTGCAAAATATGTCATTGTCAACAAAAAGGTTTGACAGAAGTCATTTCCTGTATACTTTCAGTGCCCGGTAATTGACACGGCAGATTCTCTGTGCAGTTGTTACTTTCTAATTGCTCTCTAGTCTTTACTAAAGTTCTTCTGAAAGATGCTGTTGGTTGTCAACAGTTGTAACATCCCAACAGCTATAAGTGGAGCTTACGTGTCAAGCCACCAATCTCAACATGTGCTCCTTAGGCAAAGTTAGCTGCATATATTACTAGCCCCCCATGCTTGCATTCTTAGGCTTGATATTGGAGGTGCTGTGAAGGAGCGCAAGCAGGGTGTAAAATCAGAGCATATTAAACATGAATGCACATTAAATGCATCTTGAAAACAAACCCCATAATTTTGGTTTAATTTTTTGCCAGAATGAAAAAGCTGAAAAAATGGCGTATGAAGAAATGGCTCTTCTGTCTGCTTCATTCGCCTTTGGATGGAGCAAGTGGAATCACAGCTGTGGGCCAGAGCAGATTGTTCTCAAGGTATTCTATTCACTATATACCATGATTAGACCAACCAGGCAGCTTGGTATGCCATCAATTTCAGGTGTTCTGTCAACCGGCACCACCATTCTAACCCAGCCTGACTGAATGCACAGCCTCTTCCATAGTCAGCTTCCAGTACAGAGCGTCCCCCCTCCAGTAACAGCCAGCTTCCGGTACAGAGCGCCCCCCTCCAGTAACAGCCAGCTTCCGGTACAGAGCGTCCCCCCTCCAGTAACAGCCAGCTTCCGGTACAGAGCGTCCCCCCTCCAGTAACAGCCAGCTTCCGGTACAGAGCATCCCGCCTCCAGTAACAGCCAGCTTCCGGTACAGAGCGTCCCCCTGTGGCGAACAGAACCTCGCCATGGGCTCCTGCAGGAGCCTGCTTGCCAGCCTTCTGCCTATGGGCCCTGCAATATACCTTGCCCAATCCACTTTAAAAGGTCTTGTTAATGTGATTTATGTACTTTTGTACTCCAGACAGAGAGACCGACCGTTAGCCCTGATTCCCTGGAACTGTTTTGGGCAAAGGAATCCTGTGCATGGTCTGTCAAAATTATGACTTTAATGGAAATCCCGAACCAATCTGGGTGATTTGTGGATATGTTGGTCCCCCCGATCGTAGCTATTAGGGGATGTGACTTTTGTGGGGTTTCCATGTATTTTGGGGGTACTTTTGTGATGTTGTTAAAATGTATGTTTTCTGTGCCAGGAAATAATGGAGTTTAGTACAGTTCTGTGAAAAACTGAGCCTCGTCACGTGTTCTTTGAGTCGCATGCTGACTACGGGCCCTTTAAAAATAACTATGTGAACAGACTTGGTTCGTGGGATTTTATATTTGGTTCGGGAAACGAACAGCCGCATGAACCGGAGAGCACGTTAAGCCTAATTGCTACTTTGTAGCAATTTCCATCGCAGTGTTAGTCTGGGTGGCCGTATTTCCTATCGACTACCACGAGGTGGCAGCCATCTTGTCCCGTGAACGCAGGCAGCAGTGTTAAGGCATGAATCTCATGAAACTCCCGAACACCGCTGGACTTCCAGCATCACCTGCGTTCTGTTCTACAACACCTAGAAAGGCGCTGTTTGGTGGAAGCATTCCCACGAACAAGGGGATCAAACTCCAAGGTAAAACTATTGACGCTGTTCGGTAGTTTGTTCATTTTTTAGAACTACCGAACTGGACTGACCGCAAGCCCTGATTCTCTGGAACTATTTTGGGCATGGGACCATGCGGGCGGTCGGTCAAATTATGACTTTCAGGAAATTCCTGAACCTCTGAACCGATATGGGTGATTTTTGGATATGTTGGTCACCCAGATCAGGGCTCGCTGGACTAGGAGAGGTCTACCTACTGGAAGCTGGATCCTGGTCTTGAGTCCAGGGTGGGTGGAGTACAGCGAGACCCCAAACCATTTTCAGCAGCGGTTTGTGAGGTTTACGGTGGCTATGGTGTTCCAGTGCAGCGATTGACAGGGGTACCCGGTCAGGGTGCGAGGTGGTCAATCACGAGTTCCTTACTCAATTATTGCTCAGGCACAGGGGGTCGAATAACCTTTTTTGTGCGGGAGTGTCCTGGACCTGAGAGCCAATGTAATTATGGGCATGTTTTACGGTAGTCTCCTGGAATATGTAATGGAAACCTCTTGCATGGGGAGTTGCATATGTGGCTCCCATTAAACCAGTTCCTCTTCACCCTCAACATAGAGCCTTGTCTCATGTGTGGAGGGAGCAGCTATATTCACACTGGGGATTACTATACTCATTATACTCCCTTGGATTCTAATCACTAGCTCTTGTAAGCAATCCTGCTTTATTCTCTGGATTGGGAGAAGTCTACCCACTGGAAGCTGGATTCTAGTCTTGGGTTCAGGGTGGGTGGAGGACAGCAAGACCCCAACCAAGCTGTAAAGCTGGTTGCGGTGTTTATGGTGTCTGGGGGAGTGCTTGGAGTACTCGTGAGCACTAGGAAGTATCGATTGGCAGAGGCACCCACTTGGGGTGCCAGGCGGTCCTCTACACCCTCTTCCCCAACAGCCAGCTTCCGGTACAGAGCGTCCCCCTTCCAGTAACAGCAATATAGAGTAATATTAGTAGTATTATTGTGTCTCATCAATAGACTACAATCTTAAGGTTTGTATTCCAATATTGGTGAATGGGTAAGGCTGTGGCTGAGTGACAGGCAACAGCAGGTTGTAGTCAATGGAGTATTTTTAAAGCAAGGTCTAGTTACCATTTGGTGTACCTCAAGGGATCTGTACTTAAAGCGGCATTGTCACGCCGAACATACCTTTTTTTTTTTAATCGATTCCTCTTCTCTCCCTCTTAGGATCTGTTCTTCATTTCTTTCTGTCTGCTCTAGTTTTCTTTAAAACATAAGACAAAGTAGGGACTATTTGTCTTATGGAGGTTTCCTACACCTGACCATCTCTGAGCAGCGGAGGAGCAAAGTGTGCTTCAATTCCGGTGGTCAGAGCAATTTTCCCACAATTCTCACCTTTCCTCAGTGTTCCCACGAAGCTTCCTTTTACTTTTCCCGTACGTCCTGTCATTTAGACAGAACGCCGGCAATACTACCGAATTGCGTCCTAACAGAATGAGAACTGTTTCTCCATTCGTGTTAGGGCGCAATTCGGGACTTTGTGAAAAGTGAAAGGAGGCTTTGCGGGAACACTGAGGAAAGTTGAGAATTATGGGAATTGAAGCACACTTTGCTCCTCCGCTGGTCAGAGATGTTCAGGTGTAGGAAACCCCCATAAGACAAATAGTCCCTACTTTGTCTTATGTTTTAAAGTAAACTAGAGCAGACAGGAAGAAATGAAGAACCGATCCTGAGAGAAGAGGAAGCGATTAAAGAAAGTGCCGCTTTAATATTTTTACTAGGGATATTGCAGAAGGCCGTGATGATAAGATGCATCTTGGATGTAAAAACCCAAGGGCAGAGTATAGAATATTTGATACCCAGTGGCAGAACTACCGCGGTCGCGGTAGTTCCGCCGGGGCCACACGTTAAGGGGCCCATGCTGTTAGGACCACCCAATGGAAATGAATATCCAGGAAGCCTGGTCAGCACGACCGGGCCCCCTGTGATGATGTCAGATGCTGGGAGGAAGTGACTGCCCCGTCACTCCACCCAGCATACACAGAGCCTGCGCAGGAGGAGGAGAGGAGGGAGTCAGAGTGGGAACTTTGACTCCTATCAGGCTGAGCCACCACTGGACCCCAGGGAAGTCTCCCTCCTGCACCTAAAAGGTACGAAACAGGAGGGTAACTTATACAGACACACACACAAAATGTTTGTGTGTAGGCGAGGGCAACGTGTGGGAGGGGGAGGGGCAGGGAGAGCCCAGGGCAATTTTTGCACCAGGGCCCTGTGGTTCCAAGTTATGCTTCTGTAGGTGCCCTACTAACCTCAACATCTGAGGAAAGGGCTTTAGGGGTAATTACACTGAACAAACTTATAAACGCAACACTTTATTTTGCCCCCATTTTTTCATGAGCTGAACTCAAAGATCTAACACTTTTTCTATGTACACAAAAGGCCTAATTCTCTTAAATATTGTTCACAAATTTGTCTTAACCCCTTAAGGACTGGACTGTTTTTGCGATGTTGTACATTTGCGACCAGGCCTCTTTTTACACTTTTGTGGTGTTTGTGTTTAGCTGTAATTTTCCGCTCTCTCATTTACTGTTTCCATACAAATTATATATTGGTTTTTTTCAGGACAAAAGGGGCTTTCTTTACATACCATTATTTATATAATCTCATGTAATTTAATTTAAAAAAAAATGAAAAAATATGATGAAAAATTGAAAAAAATACATGTTTTTTGACTTTTACTTGAAAAATCTCTCATCTACAAAAGCGAATGAAAAAAACTGCTAAATAGATTCAAAATTTTGTCCTGAGTTTAAAAATACCCAGTGTTTACCTGCTTTTTTTTTTGCATGTTATAGGGCTATAGGTACTAGTAGGATATTGCGGTTTCAAAACATACATTTTTTTAAATGTATCAATAGTGATATTGTAACACTATTATCGGTCATAAATCTCTGAATAACACCCCACATGTATATATTTTTTTAAAGTAGATAACCCAGGGTATTCATCTATATAGGTATGCTTGGCCTATCTTCAGTTTGCATCCCCCAGTTAATGTTAACATCATGAAAGTTTATATTTTTATAAAGTAGACATTCCAGGGTATTGTATATGGGGTGTTTTCACATCCTTCCCCCAACCATTGTGCTAAACAAATTTCAGAGAACGTGCCTGGTGGTAATTTTTGAATTCTGCTTTTTATGCACACGTCATCTGGTTTTGGCCAGCCAGTTATATGTTACTACCATAAAACGTTTTTTAACCAAATGTGCAGGTATCAAATGCACCATTAGCAGCATTCTCTAAACTAACTCCTGCAAAAAGAATCTAACTGAAGATTTGGGGGAAGGAAACTGACTAACTAAAATTTGCTGCTTTCAAAAGAAAAAAAAAAAAACAGTGCAAAGGGGTGTCTGTCCTTTTCTCTTTTTTATAACAGACCTGGCAACGTTTCAGGGGATTTGTTTTTTTTGCAGTTGGCGGTATCTAAAATAAAATGTCTGGACTCCTCTGGTACCATTGTTGGAACTTGACCATCTCCATAAATTATTGTGGAAATCTGCTTGAACTGAAATTGGAGAAAGGTGGTTCTTTCTGGATTCATTTTTTTAAAGAGTAAAAATGAATTATAAAAAGGTGGCTATCTACCTGATGCAAGTAGCAACACATACCAGGCTTTTGTCTTTCTTAAGATAAGATATGGCTGCATCAGCTGATCAGCCAAATCAACACCCCCCCCCCATGTGCATTTTATAAGCTCTGATGCAAACAGGTTTGGTCTGTACTCTGCCTAGGACAGGGACGTCTGACATGCTTTCGTCATGGATGGTGGTTAGTATATTAACATCCTTCCTGTCCTTAAATTTTATTGCAAGCACTTTAGCTTTGTGCAGACCTTTACATTCACTTTTTTTTTTAATTTGGCCTCTATAAAAGGTATGTGGAAATCCTTGGCATTTCTTCTCACACTGCCACAGGCCAGTATCTAGAAACCCTAAAGAGTTTGAAACAAAAACGGACAATGCTAGAAAAATTGTCCACATAAAGGTGGTAACCTTTATTGAACAAGTGGATCAGTAGGTCCCAAACAAGTTTCCCGCTTGTCCCCAGAGAGTCAGGACAGTTCAGTTGAGCATCTTTCCCCTCATATACACCAAAGGCAAATGTGTAGCCACTTTCGCTCTCGCACAGTTTGTACACTTTAATGCCATATCTAGACCGTTTGAGGGGATGTATTGTTTGAACCCTAAACTCCCTTTATGTTTCATATGGGATTCATCAATAGATAAATTTTGTTGGGTAGTATAAACTTCAGAAAATCTGTTCTGAAGATGGTCTACCAGTGAGCATATTTTATGATGATGGGGGTGATCTCTGGGGTGACAGAGGGTATTGTCGTTGAAATGTAAGTATCTCAGCAGCAGCTCATATCTTGGTCTAGGCATTGTTTGGGAGTATATAGGAGTCGAACAAATTGGGTTGGTGCTCCAGTAAGAATTTTTTAAGTTCAGGGACATCTGTGGGATGCCAAGCATGCTCCCTGACTATATAGCTACCTGGATTGGTCTCAATAAATTGGCTAGCGTATAAATTAGTCTGGGAAACCATCTCCTCCCAGATGGTATCCCCTAAAAATAACTCCATATATTGTATAGGGGAGAAGTCAAGCACATTCACATTAATGCCTGCGTTGGCACTAAAAGGGGGGATGTTGGGCTCAGCTGACTGGAGGTACCCAGTCCTCCTCCACATTCGGCGTAGCAGGGGAAGCACAGCTTCTTTTAGCAGCTGGCTCACACACAGATGACGTCACTAGACGTGCCGCTAAACCTGGGTCAAAATCGGACGCAGTGTCAGTGGCGTCAGAGTCTGACGCCAAGAAGGCATATGCCTCCTCCAAGCTGTACATGCGCTGCATGTTTCACACTAACAGACTAAACTAACAAAATACTAAACAATTTTTTTTTTTTGTGTGTGTGTGTGTGTATATATATATTATATATATTAATCTATTTATTTTACAATAAAACAGCAATCCCTAAACTAACTCCTGTTAGAAGAATCTAATGGAGATTTGGGGGAATGAAACTGACAGATTAAGACAGACTAAGACACAGATTTTTTTAAAATAAAGTTAACCGTTAAGGGCAAAAAAAAAAAAAATACAGACAGTACAAATGCACTGTCTGTAACAGATCTGGCAGGGAAGGGGTTAAAAATGGGATTTTTATTCACTGCTGCTACTTTTCAATACTCTCTGGAACACCTGCTGCAACAAACTATCACAATCTCTCTCTCTCCCCTCACAAAACGTTACAGAGGGGAGAGAGGCAGAGATCAGTGTCAGTTTGTAACACCCACTTTGACACCAGCCAATTGTGAGCGATCGCGGATAGCTCACATGACGCAATTGGCTGTTACTATCTGCCCGGCATCCCAGGCAGATAGTAACAACGGGATTTCGGCGGAAGTGATCTCCGATCGCTCCCTTTGCCCGTTTTCGGTTAGGACGGTTCAGGACCGTCCTCGGTCGGCAACGAAAAAATGACGAGGACGGTCCTGAACGGATTAATCTGGGTTATTGAGCACTTCTCCTTTGCTGAGATAATCCATCCACCTCACAGGTGTGGCATATCAAGATGCTGATTAGACAGCATGATTGCACAGGTGTGGCAAATCAAGATTCTGATTAGACAGCGTGATTATTGCACAGGTGTGGATTAGATTCGACAGCATGATTATTGCACAGGTGTGGCATACCAAGATGCTAATTATACAGCGTGATTATTGCACAGGTGTGGCATATCAAGATGCTGATTAGACAGCGTGATTATTGCACAGGTGTGGATTAGATTAGACAGCGTGATTATTGCACAGGTGTGGCATATCAAGATTCTGATTAGACAGCGTGATTATTGCACAGGTATGCCTTAGGCTGGCCACAAAAAAAGGCCACTCTACGAACAGATTTGTAAACAATATTTGAGAGAAATAGGCCTTTTCTGTCCATAGAAAGTGTTAGTTCTTTGTGTTCAGCTCATGCAAAATGGGGGCAAAAACAAGTGTTGTGTTTATAATTTTGTTCAGTGTATTTCTGATGACTTAAAGGTAGGCAGACAATGTAATAGAGCAGCAGGAAATGCTAGCAGAATGCTTGGTTGTATAGGGAGAGGTATTCACAGTAGAAAGAGGGAAGTGCTCATGCCATTGTACAGAACACTGGTGAGACCTCACTTGGAGTATTGTACACAGTACTGGAGACCGTATCTTCAGAAGGATATTGATACCTTAGAGAGGGTTCAGAGAAGGGCTACTAAACTGGTTCATGGATTGCGGGATAAAACTTACCAGGAAAGGTTAAAGGATCTTAACAGGTATAGCTTGGAGGAAAGACGAGACAGGGGGGATATGATAGAAACATTTAAATATATAAAGGGAATCAACACAGTAAAGGAGGAGACTATATTTAAAAGAAGAAAAACTACCACAACAAGAGGACATAGTCTTAAATTAGAGGGACAAAGGTTTAAAAATAATATCAGGAAGTATTACTTTACTGAGAGGGTAGTGGATGCATGGAATAGCCTTCCAGCTGAAGTGGTAGAGGTTAACACAGTAAAGGAGTTTAAGCATGCGTGGGATAGGCATAAGGCTATCCTAACTATAAGGTAAGGCCAGGGACTAATGATTATCTTATCTGCTGTCACCTATGTTTCTATGTCCACAATTTCTTTATTTTTTAATTCAAAATTTAACAATTTCAACTGATACAGTGAATATAGTAAGGGAAAGCAGTATGGTTGTAAAGTTAAAAAAAAAAAACAAAAAAAAAAAAAACACGTATATTTTATTCAAAATCTACACAGCAAGAGTCTGTTCCAAACCAGCAACTCAAATAGCATGCGTAACAAAATGAAGCTCTAACATGGTGCACGAAATTAGGAGAGCCACGTGACTCGCTGCATTATATATTCCGTTATTTAAATATTGCTAGTTTATGGTTTCTTCTGACCTTTGTAATCCTGAACTGGCAAGTTAGATCAATGTTCAATATTTCTGGTATCCTGATCTTTGTTAGTTTTACATTTATGCTCTCTAATACGTTAAACCCAGTCATTCTGAGGTCCGTAATACGTCCCGATTCATGTTCCTGACCAATACCTGTAAGTTGAGTGGTGTAGCCATAACAATCCGCAATCTAGCGGCTAAAATCAAATGACCCCACAGAACATTAAAATCCATCGTGGAGGTAGGAATCCAATATGGAGGTGGTTGGTTGCTTGGAATGTCAGGTCATTGCTGGGAACCTATGTAACACATTATTATTGCCATTTATAGCTAACAGATTCCATAGTGCGTTACAATATTATGAGAGGGGGGATTTAACTATAAATAGGACAATTACAAGAACGATAGGTTGAAGAGGACCCTGCTCAAACAAGTTTACAGTCTATAGGGGGTGGGGTATAAAACACAATAGTGCAGGAAATTGCAGTTTAACAAGGTAGGAGTGAAGCAGATCTGGAGGAGAGAGTAGAGTGCTGCCCTTTAGGAGAGAGAAAGAGACAGGAATGTGAGGTAGAGGTTAGTCTGGGAGGACATAGGCTTTTCTAAAGAAATGGGTTTTAAGGCACTACTTAAACGATTGAAGACTAGGGGAACACATGAACTTGAGGCAGCCCCACCAAATGGCTATTGTAACCTAGGACAAACAGGTGGGTCAGTTGAAGAAATAGCTCTGTCCAGGTTCATGGAAGCGAGGCACAAGAAAGCAAGTCATTTCTATTTGGCTCTTGGACGTTAGAGGCTCGTGTGCCTTTTAGCACCGCGTTCCATGCAGCAGGTTCTGAATGGAGGCATCCACAGCTGTCCTTCAATACGGGGTTAGATCTAGTTTTAGACTGCGATTGGTAGGAAATCTGGTTGAAGTCATCTATCTATTCTGGAATAAGATTTAAAGATTCCTATTCTATAATTTTACAGTTTATTTCTGTTTCAGGTTAAAGAATTGTCCCAGCCCCCAACTTCTAGCGATGAGAGCTGGTCTCTTTATATGTTGAATTCTCAGAGGACGCAAAGACTGAAAATCTCTGAATCCAGCGAGACCTTTTCAGACGAGTTATTTGAACACAGTGAACTTCACTCCACGCTGTATCACATGATCAAAGATTACGCCAGCGCGGGGGCAGTGGAAGCTCTTCAGCACTCCCACCATCTTTTTGTGGACTGTGTTTACCAGTTGTTAAGCATGACCAAAGTATTAACATACTCTTAACAATGACAACACATTTAACAACTTTATTATTAAACACTCAAATACAATAAATATTCACACGAATCACATTCAGTCACAACAAAGCCATTAAGTGCACTAAAGGCCCAAACACATCACCCTCCGTGGGACAGCGATTAAAAATTATTAAATCAAAGAGCATTAAAAAAAAAAGCAATTAGTTCTTTGCCCTATCTTCTATTTCTGTAAACAAGTCAGAGCCAAAATGTTATATTTTACCCTGGTACAGCAGGCTTTTTATAAACTAGGCACTCAGAAAAGTGAGCATTAAAATGGTTTGTCTTTCCTATGACTTGTGATCATTCCAATAAAATATATTTACGTTACAAGCATGTTTTATAGTAACACTTTAAATGCCTGCAGAGGGTGCAAATCTCATTGCAAAGCAATGGCGTTAAATCCTCGGTGGCACTTCGAAGGGTTAAAAGAGCTGCTGTATCCTGTCCCACATCCCCTCATACCGGGGGCTGGCCATTGTGGCGAAGGCCAGTATAAGGCCAAAAAAGCTGCTGGATTGAAGTCCATGAATCTCCAGTGCCAACCGGTGCCCCATCAACTGGTTGCTGGAAGGAGAGCCCGGTGAGAAAGCTTACCATCACAGCAAGCAAGAGGGCAGCCAGAAGTGAAATCACCATCGGTTTGTTGATATTAGAGACAGAGTTTTTCAAAGTTGAAACCCACAGTTTCGCCTGGGTGAAACTACAAAACCAAATAAGACTGATTAGAACCGTCACGAATTCTTTAAATGGTCCATATCATACAATGTATATCTATTTATTAACAATGTACCCAACCTGCATGCTACCTGCGCTACTGTTCAAACAGCAACGTTCTTATACAGTTGTGTTATCTCAGAACTGCAGCCACACAAGATACAGGATGCATGTTCACATTTTAGATTTATATATATACGGTATATATGTAGAAAGGCTTAAAAATAGAATTGCAGAAGATGCCTATTCTAGTAACAGGAAGTCACTGGATTCCCCATTATACCTGACAGATCGAGTATTTCATACTTCCTGTTACTGCATCACGCAGCGTCCACGCGCTATATATCTTAATATATGGGGAGAAATGGGACTTCTATCACAGAGGTAAGAAATGAATGACTGTGGCAAAATTGGAAATCACTTTAAATTGGATTTTACATTTTAGGAATGAACAGAAAAGCAGATATATGAAGTTATATGGACTTCAGTCGTTCTCTCTCTGTAACCGTGTAACAGCTTTGACCTGCAAATTCCATGATTCCCTATTGATGTTTTAACGTGGATTTCAAATGAAAATTCTCAGATATTTCAGACATTATGTTGCTGTCCCTTTAAGTTTGCTAAACCAGGTTTAGAAATATACCATTTCTGTGAGTTTCTTCCAAGATAAAGAGAGATTAAGGTTAATAGTTTAGGTGCAATGTTTACCTCAAACCAGTTTTAAACTAATTTAAGAACTAGAGCAGGGTAGGCAACCTCCGACTCTCTATATGTTGTGCACTACATCTCCCATGATGCTCGTTGCGGGACCATTATAAAATCTGATCAAAGATATTAAAACTCTTACACAGAATGTGTCTCAGTGGGAGGAAGATTACTCTCAGTGGAAACAGAGAGTCTTTTCTCATCTTTAATGTCATCTGCGATCTCCGTACACTGCTCATCCCTGCGCGACAAGGAACAGCAAAATATTAGACACAAATGTAACAAAATTACATTTCATATTAAATTCAACCAAAACTCACTCTTTTATGGAATTCTCTTCCGCAGGTTCTGTCCGGGTATAATTTGCAACAAATCGCTGCAATATTGGACGGCTATCCGCATGCTTTGTCCCGACCACCTTCCTGATTTAGAACAAATGCACTGCGATTAATAGCGTTCAGATATTTAAAATGAAATGCTTAAAAAAAAAACAAAAACAAAAAAAAACTCCTGGGACCATAAGCACTACAGTGCACTATATTTGTTAGTGAGGTATGCACGGAACACTACAAGCACCATATAACTGGAACACCAGAGTTCACACACATTCGTACGGCACCTTTACGCAGATTACTGGGTGAGAATGTTGGGATGTCCCTGGACTCCGAATCGCTGCGATGGCAAGTTTTACAGTTACCAATCTAAAAGCGTTTTCTGGGGTAACAAATTGAGGAAACATTCCTCTAAACAGCAAATCCTGACCTAGAAATGCGAAGGAGGGAGGGGTCCAGATTGTTTTCTCTATTATATGCTTATTAATATTGCATTTTCTATAATTTTCTCTAATTATTGCTGGTTTTCTGTATTATTGCTATTTGTTGTGAAAATTATGGACAATGTACAGTTACTTTTTACGACATGTTTACACATACAGTCAGTATCTATTAGAGAAAATCACAAATTAAACCAATTTGTTAATACAAAACAAATACTACAGGTACATAAAACCAGCTAACACGTTACCAGCTATTGGATCGCTTGTGGATTTTCCCGTCCAGCTTGTCCGTTCCAAATAGATCCTATAAAAAGTTATAAATTAGAGCAGAGTCTCCCAATAAACACTAATACCACGTCATGCATCGGTCGTACATTATGGGGAAGCACAGTTTATACAGACCATTGGGTTGGTGAATTGGTGCGTTAAACTGATCTCCACTACCGAAGTCAGGTTTTGGGGCCTTTAACGGCCATTATGGGAACTCATTTACAATTTAAAAAGGAACCCAGGGCAATCCCTGGATTATAAAAGGTCTGTTTAGAAGTGAATTTGAGGTGGAAACTTACAGCAGGAGAACCAGAAATCATTCCCCTAGGATAGGCTGGCATACTAACCCTCCGAGCCGGCGGCTGAAAGGAGAAAAAAAAATTTATATAAGATTTAAAAAATAAAATCTATCTACAGTGTGCGCAATTACCTGGTGAGTTGCGGTATGAAGAGCAGCAGGTAATGGTTGGCTGGTATAGTACCGGATACAGATTTAAAGTAAAATATAGGAATTTGACAGTTTCTGCAGAGCTGGCTGCGACCTGGCCTTTTCTCATATTTTATTAAAGAATTTATAACATACCGTGATACAGTTTACAGATTCACCTTTGTGTTTAATGAAGTCGGCAGCTTGTGTAATTCATCTGTAAGAGAAAGATTAAGAAATCAGTTTCATACATGCAAATAACTCACTTTCAGTAACATTACAAAAATTAAAACCATACAAAAGTTTACCTACAAACTGTGTCCAAACACTAATCAGATCTAGAAAATAAAATCACGTCCTTTACAAGGACATTCTGACTAATCCAACATTAAGCAGAAGGCTCCGTTATCCATCTCAAAGAAAAATCACAGATTGGAGGAGGATTTCAATAAGTGCGGCTGGAATTCAGGTAACTCACCGGTAATCTCATGTATTTGTATAAGAGACCGCCTTACACCATAACCTTATAGCTGCAGTTATAATACACAGTGTAAGGGGAGACAGGGGACCTCCTTACACCATAACCTTATAGCTGCAGTTATAATACATGGTGTGGAGGCAGACAGGGGACCTCCTTACACCATAACCTTATAGCTTCAGTTATAATACACTGTGTGCGGGGAGACAGGGGACCCCCTTACACCATAACCTTATAGCTGCAGTTATAATACACAGTAAGGGGAGACAGGGGACCTCCTTACACCATAACCTTATAGCTGCAGTTATAATGCACTGTGTGCGGGGAGACAGGGGACCTCCTTACACCATAACCTTATAGCTGCAGTTATAATACACTGTGTGCGGGGAGACAGGGGACCTTCTTGCACCATAACCTTATAGCTGCAGTTATAATGCACAGTGTAAGGGGAGACAGGGGACCTCCTTACACCATAACCTTATAGCTGCAGTTATAATACACTGTGTAAGGGGAGACAGGGGACCTTCTTACACCATAACCTTATAGCTGCAGTTATAATACACTGTGTGCGGGGAGACAGGGGACCTCCTTACACCATAACCTTATAGCTGCAGTTATAATACACTGTGTGCGGGGAGACGGGGACCTCCTTACACCATAACCTTATAGCTGCAGTTATAATGCACTGTGTGCGGGGAGACAGGGGACCTCCTTACACCATAACCTTATAGCTGCAGTTATAATACACTGTGTATGGGGAGACACAATAACCTTATAGCTGCAGTTATAATGCACTGTGTGCGGGGAGACAGGGGACCTCCTTACACCATAACCTTATAGCTGCAGTTATAATACACTGTGTGCGGGGAGACGGGGGACCTCCTTACACCATAACCTTATAGCTGCAGTTATAATACACTGTGTGCAGGGAGACAGGGGATCTCCTTACACCATAACCTTATAGCTGCAGTTATAATACACTGTGCGGGGAGACAGGGGACCTCCTTACACCATAACCTTATAGCTGCAGTTATAATACACTGTGTGCAGGGAGACAAGGGACCTCCTTACACCATAACCTTATAGCTGCAGTGTCCCTTTAATGACCAAGAGGTTTAAAATCTTAGTCTGCAGGTGTCATAAGGGGAGCAAAATGCAGGAATTTCTGATTAAATGCGCCCCTTCTCTGCCTCTTGGACCCACCTCTGTCAGTGGACGGGCGAGGGAGCTCATTTTGTTGAATAAGTTCTTTCAGTTCCTCCAGTTCTGCGTGTTCTTTTGTGTACATGCGCTTCAGATTCTCCACATGTTGAATCATAACGTCAACAGCTTTACTGACGCGGCTCTCCTACACGACACAAGGAAAAACAAAAACCTTTAGTGCTTTTTGTCATTGGGCGCTAGTAGCAATATATTCACACATCAGAAGCATTATAATTCTTTATCCGGCCACACGTTAGAAATACTCTGTGTCCTTTTACATTTTGTGAAATTTGTTGTTACGTTATCACGTGTATATTTATTCACTATTAAAAGAAGTGCAATTTTATTCTGTGTTGATAAGAGTCACAGTGCAAATAACACGACTCATTGATATTGCTTTTCATTTTCCATATAATGTTCTGCTTTTAGATTACGTTTCCAGCTATGGTTGTTTCTTACAAACCCCCTACTGGTGGTATTGAGATCTGTGAATTTGGGCCAGCAAAGAATTGAAACAGATTTAAAGTGAAACCGTCACGTAAACACTATCGTTAATATAATGATCCTTTCATCAAGAATCTATGCATTTGTGAAAGAAAAGTAATTTTTATATGACCGGATCCTTCGGCCATTACATCCACCTCGGGTCTGATTATGTCACTGCGCTGTGCAGGGAGTGACCAGGAAGACCAAAGGTACTTTTTTTTTTAAGGCGAACGCTTCCCCTGGCGTTTGTTCGTGAGGTCCATCAGAACAAGTCTACTGAACAGCGCTCTCCTGGCTTGCCACGAACAGAAGCAGGCGTTCGCATAGTTTTACCTGTGTTCGCACAGTTGAGTGTCCACCTCGGAGTTCCAGACACTCAACGACCAAGTACCGCTGCCTGATTTCGTGCGACAAGATGGCCATTTTCTCCACCATGTGGCGTTCGGTTATACGAACAGCAGCCACACAGAGAGCGCACTTAATTCTTGCGGTTTCTTTGAAATTAATGAGCAAGGTGGGTGGTCTGTGTTCGGTATTTTATAATCTCAAATGGTAGGAGGATAAGGGAACCAAAGTTTAAACAGATTCCTGAATTGAGGTGGAGAATGGCTCTGAGGAAGGCAAAATAGTTTGTCACAGGTAGGGACGAGTTTTTTTTATATAACTTCATTTAACAAAGCATCTATTTCATTTCAAATTTTGATGAAAGGATAATTACATAAAAAATAAAAATGTGTTGATGTGACCGTTGTCCTTTAAGTAAGGGAATTAACATAAACTTCACAAAAACAGCACCAAGTTTTAAAAACAAAAGCCAAACGAAGACAGATTGTTCACAAGTTGCTCCTTGTAAACGGATTAGGTTATCCACTGACTTGATGAATGGCCCCCAACATTTCGGCCCGGCTGGCCACTCTGGCCGAGTGCTGGCTCAGAAACCGAAGGCTCTTCTCCAGCTTTTTCACAATTTCATACGTCTGGTTATCTTCCTCACACAATGGGGTTAATGCCTGAAATAAAGCATTTTATTAATCCAAACATACAAAATCGATCGGACATCCAGGCCCTGGGGAGTCAGCACAGCTAAACGTACAAGGGCACATGTAACGAGTGTGGGGACGGTGCTAGTGATTGGCTATATGCGTTTAGGGGCGTGGCTGTATGTATTTAGGGGCGTGGCTGTATGTGTATATGGGAGTGGCTGTGTTTAGGGGAGTGGCTGTATGTGTTTAGGGGAGTGGTTATGGGTTCGTAGTGGGGCAGTGCCTTTTGGGATTCTGGCCAACAACTTCCCACCCACCCACCCACCCTAATTTTCTGTTTTTGTTCCGTCACAGCTAGCGGGGAGCGTGTCCTTGCCAACAGGGTTGGGGAGCAGATGGAATGTCAGGAGATGGACATGGTGGGTCTCACCCTCCCCTGCTCTGTAAGGTAAGTTACCGAATAGGACGTGCCCACCGAGCTAAGAGCCGGCTGGTGGTAGAGCATTTAAGATGATGGGAATTTTTGGTTTGGACGTGGGGGGAGGCGAGACACCAGTGGGTAAAGTTTTGGTGCATAGGCACCTGGTTAAGTTTGTTGGCAAGGACGGTTATTTAAGTTGGAGGCTGTAGGGCAATAAGTGTTAATTTATATGTTAATTATGGTTTGTATATATATTTATGTGTTTATTTATATTGGAATTAAAGGAAAAGAATAAAGTTTGGATGAGTCCTACAGTTGTAAGTTTTAATAAATGCTGTGGCCTGTTTCATCCAATATGCATTGTCTGTCATTATTGGGGGGATAAGTGGGTAGTCTTTCTTTTAGTCGCACCACATTCCCCACTACGTACATACATGCTTCTACTGATCACTAAAGGGTCCAACGTCTATTTCAAATAGAATTCACAGAACTGAAATACCATGTTTTCCTCCCTGAACCCGAAGTATTAATGATGGATTACAGGCATTCAACATTAAAGGCTCAACCATGGACACAAAGGATCAGACAATAAAACGTTAAACAAGCAAGGTTTCACTCTGTATATACAACACAACAATTATATTCGTAGCTTTCGATAACCCAGTGACCTCAGCTGCCCTCCGGTGCAGAACAAGGGGAAGATTGTCCCATAAAATAAAAGCCTTCATCTGGAGCCATTAAATGCATAAATATCTCCATTTTATGTAATCATTTACCTGTGAAAATATCCTGTTATGCTGTAAAACTTGCATGGAATCAAATTTGTGGAAACCACAATCATTTAATCATGAGATCGGACATGATCCCAACAAACAAAATACAGAGGGCCAAGATTTCTCCAAGGTTCTGTGGCGATAGGGTACTAGGCCACTAACAGACGCATTGTAAAAGGTTCTAGGGCGGCACCGCCGGTTCTGGGAAAACAGCATTTTTAGTTATTCAGTGCCCGATCTTACCTCCAGAAGTTTTACACAGCTTGCAATCTCCTTCTTCAGGTTCTCCTCCGCTAGATCCCGGGACCTTTCTTCCAGACGGAGCCGTTTATCCAGTGTGAACAGATCACATTTAAACCCCAGCGACAGACGCAGGAATTCCGTCTTGGGAAGAAAAAAAAAAGAAAAAAAAAGAAACTTTACTTTGTATTTTATTGTTGCACTGCCAGAGAGTCAGATGTTGAGTAGATCGCTCCCTAATTTTCTATACTTTTTCTTGTCACATTACTATTTTTAAGGACACCAAACTAGAGCAATCTGCTCCACTGCAATAATGCCGTCCACATTTCAGACAACCACAAATGAGAAAAATTAAATTGTGATGAACTAAAACTAAATTTTTCAGCGTACACATCTGTAGATATCAAACAAAATCAGGAATCATTTAAAGCCGCAGATTTCTTTTCCAGAAATGTGTTAAACAAAAAGGGCTATAATTAATGACCCATTCTATGGTTAATGGAGAAGGTTTTGTTAAATCAACATTTTCATTAAAAGGTATAATTATAGTTTCGATAACAGTTTCCTTTTTCCGTCTTTAAATTCTAATCTAGAAATACACGGAGAGATGCTCTGTGATATCCAGAACAAGGTTTACATAAATTCCCTTACCTCCATCTCCTTCTCACTGTTTGAACAGCTGAAATAAAATAAATACAAATTAACAAACTATCAGCACACAAAGAAAGAATGAATAAATCGATAAGTAAAACCTACTGATTTTCATGCAATGTTGCGTTTAGGGAACCGGTCAAAGACTCAGCTGGAGGAATTTCTACAAAAAGAAGAATAAAAATGATTCAAAACGGCAGTGCGAGCTCGGAGTGAGGGGCACGAGCCAACAAGGGAAACACACACACAATAAAAACGACAAACATAATGTGGGGAAATTGTGTTTAAACTGTCTAAATACATTATATATAACTGCCCTCCTGCAATAGCCAATTAAAGTGTGAACTCAAAATATCACTTCTCAAATCGTGCTGTGAATGTACACATTACCGTGAATTTTTATCATGTAAATAGATTTGCACAGTTATAAAATGTAACTCACGGTTTGGTCAGTAAATTACTAACATTAAATCCCCCCCAAAAAAGACCGTAAATGTATTCGTTATAATTCGTGTTTTCTTCTTATACATTAATAGTACATATGTCCCACATATAAAATAAATATTCCAGATATGTTTGTCCATGCAGATGTAAACGGTATATATTCAATATATTTGGCCCTCGATAGCGATAAATCCAGGCACCATGTGCTCACACTAGATTCAGATGCACCGATTTAAACCAAATCAGATTATGGTATGTTCTCATTAAAAAAAAAAAAAATACATATATTGGTACATGACCTTCCCCATTTAATGATCCCAGGATGATGCAAACTTTAACTGAAGTAGTTTTTTTTTTTACCTTTGTTGGGGATTGACTGGTTCTGCTGAGTTTTCACTTCTGTATCTTCCTATATATGAAAAGGATGAACAATTAGATTTAATCGAGGCGTTTATCAGAGTTTTAATCGCACAGACCAGATCCTCTGATGTGCTCACACTGGGGGCATCTTATCTCCCTGGTAAAGATCCCCGATTCTGAAAATTCACATTTTGTAATGTTGCAACAGAGATTGTAAAATGACTTTACTGGGGTTTTCAGTCTAATCGTTTGTAGAAAGGATTGGCAGAGCCGAAAGGCTGACGCTCATTACCGTCTGTCCCACATATAAGTAGGCATTTCACACCAACCCCCCCACCCCCCCACAAAAAGACAAAAACCCAGCTAGTATTTGGATTGGCAAACTGATTACCTAAAAGAATTTACATTTCTCTCTCCTTTATTTAAAACTCCCAGTCTGTGGTTGAATCGTGATGGTAGGTATAGATTAAATATCCCCCCAACCACAGACGGGGCCCAGCACCAATAAATGGAGCCCCTGGATATTTGCCTTAACACATAGCTACGTCCTTTCTTCCAGTTTAATATACAATTTACACAATCATCCATTTTACGGTATTCCTGGAAACCCTCTTTACTGATGTGATTCTGGGCGCGGAGATCAGACAGGATGGAGAGTTTGACACTTGCAAACAGAACACACGTTACGCCATAGAAGAAACAATGGTGATTAACGGTGATTTTTTTTCTTCTTCAAAACCACAGTCCACATGTGGATTGCATTGCTTGTATAAAATAGAATTTAAAATAGTGAGAGACAAAAACCCCAACTATTAAAACTTAGTAAGCGGATTTCCTTACCGTAACGGCTGTCCTCGTGGTTATAGAACCGGGACTGGATTCTACTTGTAAATCTGGATCTGAAACAGATTGCTTTAGATCACGATCCATTTCCTACTCAAACAATGTAGCATCGAATAGCTCAGAGTGAGGTTTTACTAATTTGTTTTAGGAGAGCAGCACGTTACACAAATACTGGTCTCAGCGTAAAACAAGGTCCTACTCACTAAACACTGAGCTAAAAAACTTTACTAAAAAAAAAAAAAAAGCATAGTTTTTCCTCAAACTGCACTATGCAGAGATAGTCGCTAAAGTGAGTGAATTTACATTGAAAAGTGATTTTCGGATGCAAGCCCAGAGCAGCCGAGCTTCCAGCTCAACTATTCTGACCTTAAATGTGAATTTCACTTCAAATACTCGACAGACACAGTTTAGCTATTTTTGCAAAAAAAAAAAAAAAGTCGGGATTTGCTTTTTATTTCAGTAACATTCAGTGTTTTGTCAATATACCCCGAGAAGGTCACCACGCAGACGTTTAGCTCACCTAGACTTCCCTCAGACGCAGCTGTCTCTCTCTCCTTCCCAGACGCATCGCTCGCCTCCATCACGCACAGTTCAGCGTCTGGTTCTGAGATATTGAAGTAGACAGATTTATTCCAATACACAATATATACATAATAACTGACAAACAATACCAGTCACGAAAGAGATCTTCTCTAAATTAACTGCTTTAGGACCAAAGCCATGCCATATATATCATAGGATTTGCCCAACTCTGAGCAAGGACCAAACACCATTGTATTTAGTTTTAACCCCTACAGAGTAACACAAGGTAATCATTTTACAAGGTTCCAACGTAGTCTGTAGCGTTGTATAGCCTAGGGTACCAAGATTCCATCTTTAGAATACATGGGCAGATCTGAAATTCGGGATTTCTGAAAAAAATTCAGGCTGCATGGCACTCTGCTGGATGCTTTCAGACAATTCCTCCAAATCTAGATCCAGAGAATATCTACAAATAGCTCTATCTAGGTCTTAGAAAGATGCAGACGTTTCGTTTACCAGATGAGATGAGTGTGTTCTCCAGAGATGAGGAAAAGCCATCGGCAGCTGTCTGCGAGGTTATATCCAGTCTGTTCAAAGAGCACACGGAAAGACGATGAGACACGGAACGTTAAATATCCATATTCAAATACCACGGCTGAACGAGAATTACCTGCAAATATTATCCGCAACTCGATGCTCCGATCCCAGCACCTAATAACCACAAACAGACAGGTCATTTCACTTCCTCAATAAGAGCCCAATCACACACCTTATTCATACTTCCCAAGTGTCCCGATTTTAGATCCAAATCCCTCTGTTCCCCTTTTCTAGGAGCTCCACAGCAATAACACTCCCAGTAATGTGTCTTTAAACTATGATAAATGTATTTAAAAATCAGTCTGTGGAAATAAGATACACTGTTCTTGGTATAAATTACATTTTAAAATCTATTCTCATCCAACAACCCACTTCCTCGTAAAACTGGCCACATACTGCCCAATGCCTCGTGTGACCATGCAAGCAAGACTTTTTTTTTTTTTTAATCAACTCCCACCCCCCCAATCCCACTTTCTTCACGAGTTCCATGAATACAGGACACTCTAGAAGACCACCAACCACACCCCTCCAGTAGTACCACCATTACCTTGACACCCAGTGGTAACAAGACCATGTTCCTCTCCAGCAAAAATCTTTTAACCTGCCCCACAGTCCCAGTAAAACCAAGTTACTCCCAGCTCACCGCAAACACACAGAGCGAGTCTTGGAAAGTCTAGAACCCAGATGCAAGTGTTTTATTGCAGAATAACAGCCGCTTCAAGAGTTAACAGAACAATAAGGCTATGGAAATATAAAACGAGGACAAATGATGCTACAGACTGCTTTCCATACAGCGTCCTCTCGAAATGCAGCTAATTTCCATAAAGGCAAAACAGGAGTCCGACTCCCCGTTCTCCATGTAAATGGCACCCCCAGTCTTATATTAAAATGATTTAACCCCGAAACATCCCCCCAGTTCCTCACATCCTCCCCCAAGAAGCAGGTAACCGGCTGGGTCTGCGTGTGGGTCAGGGCTCTACGTACGAGTCAGATGTGCCAAGTACTCTGAGTTCTAACATGACGCCAACAGTCCCCACATGCAAATCCTGGCTATTTCTGCTCCGGTAATTTGAATCTTTTCTGACAAGCTTGAAATGATGGCAGGTTATTGTTCTCAGACCAAGTGCTGCTCTTTTCAAGGTCATTTGCAAGCTGTAAAAGATCTCCTGTAATTAAAGTGTACGCACTTCCACCACTTAAACGAAAGAAAATCAGAAAACGAAATTAAGTGACTGCTGGCAATGATGATGTTGTTTAGATGGAAGTTTACTAAGAGGAAAAACAAAACTAACTTTTTCTGAAATCTTTTTTTAATCTGGGTTTTGTGCGCACAGAATCGTTATTTGGGCGCAGAAGATAAATGTTTGAAATTTCACAATGTTGCAAGGATTAGAGGATTAGAGAATTTTCCATTTGCTCAATAGGACATAAAATCTGATATTTTGTTCATCTTTGGGTAACAAAGCTCACAATGGCTTAAACTTTTGTTTTTATGAAGAAAAAAAAGTTACAAAACAGGACACAGAGTTCGAGCTGACAGGAAGACGTATCCTAGCTATAAATAAAGCTTTATAAAAAGCCATGTGTTTAAAACTACTTAAAATGATGTTTGTGTTACGTGTAATCTCTCAGAGAAACCCTCCACGTTATTACTTTAAACAGCAATTAGCAGCTGCTAAAAGGAGTAAAACAATCGTAATAAATTGACGGACCACAAACTATTCCGTTACTTTAAACATCACACTGAATTTACATGGTTTATGGAAGCTTAGGAAACCATGTTGCACGTTGCCTTTTATATTAAGAGGACTTGGTTGAAAAATACCTTTCCATACTTAGCGCCCATCATTTTCTCATCATTTTCTGCTTGTGGGTCACGCAAAACCGTAATATGGGGGAAAAACAAGATCTATAGAAAGAATAAAAGTGCGGTTTAGCCCTGGTTCGCTCTGCGTTCGGTCATACGCCCATTTTCCAGGCTCCCACGCTGTAGGAAGTGGGGGCCCGCTGAATTTAATGTAAGACATTCAAATCCACGGGTTCCCCCGAGCCGCAGTGACCAGATACCACGCGGCCAGTGGCTTGCATATCCACAAGAAAGTCACTTCAGCTGGGCCATAATGAAGAATCAAAATGTTCTTAACTAGTCCCAGAAATGATACCAAACTTTTTACTTTCCCTTTTAGTGCAGAGCGAATATTTCTCCATGTTTACGGTTACAGGACATACAGATAAAAAGATATTTAAGTGCCACGTGTCTTGTTCATAGCCACAAGCCATGGCCAGAGGCATTAACTCTCTTCATGCTGGCGAGACGGCAGCTCGCATTTATACTGCAGTGAACCACATTGTACGATTTATAGCGAGACGCGGGTCAGGCACCACCACAACTCACTCACGGACAGAAAATAAAGATGTAAACATTTACCAGCAACATGCGTCGCACAAAGTGTAAAAAGCTAAATATATTTACATGTACGGACACATTTACGTTACATTATACAAAGCAGAACTGTTATCTACAGCAGGTGGCTGGAAAGTCGAGAGAGATTATAATATACTTCCCCAAAATGCATTTTATTAAAAGCATTTATTTAGCAAAGCCGAGAGTTTCATGGGTTAACAGAAACATTAAGCAGATGTACAAGAGAAGAATTTCAGCCGCACAGTCGCCAACCACAAGGCAGATCATTTGTTTTGATAAATATTTCCATATTCAGTAGCGGGTACATACCATCCAGTAATTAACCCCATCACGTCCACATCAAAATCTTTTTCTAGCACTAAACAGGTGAGTAGATCTTGTACAAAGGGATAAATTAAAGTGCAGAGTTCCTCATTGTAAAGACTGACATGAAGGAGGATATCTAAAAAGGAGTTCAACACCTCTCACGAGGCCGTTACAGGAACTGAATCGCCCCCCAGTAGGTTGATTAACCATGTCGGTTACACGCCAGGAAAGCAGAGAGTTAGAGGCCTGGCAAGGCTTACCCCATGAATGATGAAACCCAGAGAAGAATGAGAGGAGAATGATATGTAGCCATCAAGTTACAATATATAAAAAAGGGAAGTAAAAGTTACTACAGTTTCCTGTAACAAGGAAGCCATCAGGCAGAACTCCGAGCCTGACATCTAGAAGGTGCCACCCAGATGGCCTTTTAAGATATAGAAGTGGGAACTGAAAAATGTTCTGGAATTATGTAAATTGAGGACACTAAACAGAAGGGAGCTGAATGTGGGCCACCAGTTTATTAAAGTGGCATTGAGCGGAGATGGCACAGAAGGAATGGGTAGAGGCAGATAGTAATGGTGGTCGCTGACCTTGGCACAAGCCATCAGATCGATACGGTGTGATGCAGATTGGCTGCGGGGTTAGAACACATTACAGGTCAAGTTAGTCTAAAAAGAATTATATAAAATGTGATACCCTATTAAACGGCAACTTTTAACTAGATCATGAGGTTAAAGGCATCAGGAAATCTCCCCATTCCTACCAGTGGCCACCGTATTGCACGTTATAATCTGATACATAACACTGGAAATCAAACGCCTAATGCTGAATGACAAGCCCTGGACTAAGATGTAGCCTTGTGTTATTGGTTTATTCTAATTCTTTGAGCAATAATAATGACACACCATTTATCTGATCCAATGCACGCTCAGTCTTCTGTTTACCCACAGCGATGCCATTGACACACATTTTACATTCGCATAGCTATATTATACCCAGTATGTAAATACCAAGCCTTCAACACTTCCACCACCACCTCTGCTGGAAAGCAGTGCTCTGCATCAACAACACTCCACAATTTTGGAGTGGAATACCAAAATACACCATGTGTTTAGGAAAAAAAAGAAAAGGAGTAAAAGTAGTACTGGCACTGCCCACCCACCTACCCATCCTACTGGCACTGCCCACCCACATCCAATTGGCACCACCCACACATCCCATTGGCACTGCCCTCCCACCTACCCATTGGCACTGCCCATAATCTCCCCTGGTGCAAAGTACTAATAATGGGGGCACCTGAATTTTATAGACATGTTCACATAAGGGAACAGCTGGCAGGTTAAAAGGAATGAGTTGGCTCTCATGGATTGATCCTCAGGATATTTTCAGAGATAAGTGAAATCAGACAAATTAAATTCCAGGCTCTCACCTCAAAGGGAACGTCCATGTCACCATTAACAGAGTCTCCCGCATCTGTCTGACTGCCAACAGACACCGTTCCCCATCTACAAATAAAGTGTCCAGGCATGTTACAGGAGACAAACATGTGAACGATTTTATGGCACATATGGTGGGGGTTTACAATAAAATCTAAACACATTGAACCAACAAACAAACAGATCAGAACACACAATATATATACCAGACACAAAACTCCTCACTGTGCAAATAGAAAATAAAATAAAATCACTATTGTTCATCTGCACATCTCATTTTGGACTTCAAGAAGTCTTGGACACAAACACGAGAAAGCATATTTCTACAATATCCGAGTTTGGAAGAACTACCCCATGGCATTGTGGGCGACACTGCTGCGGGGTCAGGGGCACTCTGTATAGTCCATGTTACATTTAAAGGGACACCATAGGCACCAAAACAACTTTAGTTTAATGAAGCAGTTTTGGTGTATAGATCATGCCCCGGCACACTCACTGCGCAAATCTGATATTTAGGAGTTAAATCACTTTGTTTACGCAGCCCTAATCACACCTCCCTACATGTGGCTTACACAGACTTCTTAAACACTTCCTGTAATGAGAGATCTAATGTTTACACTTCCTTTATGGTAAATTCTGTTTAGTTTAGAATTTGTTTCCAGCTCTGTCGATAGCCTTCTAGACACTGTGCAGGAGCCTCCTATGTGTAATTAAAGTTCAATTCAAAGAGCAGGAGATACAAACTTTTAAAGTAATTTATCAACTGAATGAAAATTAAACCATTTTTTTTCATGCAGGCTGTGTCAGTCACAGCCAGGGGAGGTGTGGCTAGGGCTGAATAAACAGAAACAAAGTGATTTAACTCCTAAATGGCAGTGAATTGAGCCGTGAGACATCAGGGGCATAATCTATACACCATAACGGTGTCCAGCACTAGGTGTGGCTAGCAACACCTGGTGAACTTTGACCTCTGGAGACACACACCCTGACACCACCGGCAGTAGGGAAACCCTAGGTATGCCCAGGGCCGGACTGGCCCACCGGGATACCGGGAAATTTCCCGGTGGGCCGCGGCACCTGGGGCCGGTCTGACAGCTCCTGTGATCCCGGCGGCCGTGTGTGAGCTGTGCGGCCGCACATAGCCCCATGGGAGCCAGGGGAGCAAGGGGAGCCAGGCGGCCGGCTCACACATGGCCGCCCGGGATGATTAAAAAAAAAAAAATTTGCGGCGGGGGCGGAACTTACTGTGCGGCGGGGGCGGGGCTTAGCGTGCGGCGGAGGCGGAGCTTACTGTGCGGTGGGGGCGGGGCTTAGCGTGCGGCGGAGGCGGAGCTTACTGTGCGGCGGGCCCGGCTATTTGCAGCATGGGAAGCAGGAAGGAGTCCCTGCTTCCCCAACAACCAGCCTCCAGGAGCTCCAAGCAGGAGGTAAGAAGGAGGTCAGTGTGTCACTGTGACTGTGTGTGGCTGTCTGCCTGTGTGTGTGTGGCTGTCTGCCTGTGTGTGTGTGGCTGTCTGCCTGTGTGTATGTGTGGATGTTTGCCTCGGTGTCAGTGACTGTCTGCCTCTGTGTGTGTGTGCGCACCTGCTAGTGAGGGAGCCTCTGTGTGTGTGTGCCTGCTAGTGAGTGAGCTTGTATGTGTGTCATTGAGCTTGTCTGTAGGGATCATATGTGTGTGTGTTAGTGAGCTCTTGTCTGTAAGGAGTATGGGTGTGATCGTGGGCTTGTCTGTAGTGACCATATGTGTCAGTGAGCTTGTCTGTAGTGAGCGTGTGTGTCAGTGAGCTTGTCTGTAGTGACCATATGTGTCAGTGAGCTTGTCTGTAGTGAGCATGTGTGTCAGTGAGCTTGTCTGTAGTGAGCATGTGTGTGTCAGTGAGCTTGTCTGTAATGAATCTGTGTTAGTGAGCTCTTCTGTAGGGAGCATGTGTGTGTCAATGGGCTTGTCTGTAGGGAGAGTGTGTGCGCATCAGTGAGCTTGTCTGTAATGAGCGTGTGTGTGTGACAGTGAGCTTGTCTGTAGTAAGCTTGTGTGTGTATCAGAGTTTGTCTGTCCTAAATTTGTGTGTGTCTGCCAGTAACCTTGTCTGTGTGTGTCATTGAGCCGGTCTGTCAATGAGCCTATTTGTGTGCATCAGTAAGATTGTCTGTGTCTGTGAGTATGCTTTACTGTATAATTTAATTACCCTGAAAGGACTAATATTTTGAATTAGAAGAAGAAATGTAAAAATATATATATATATATATATATATATATATATATATATATATATATATATATATATATATATATATATATATATATATATATATATATATACATATACATATACATATACACACACACATATACATACACACACACACACACACACACACACATTAAAGGACCACTTTAGGCACCCAGACCACTTCAGCTTAATGAAGTGGTCTGGGTGCCTGGTCCAGTTAGGGTTAACCCATTTTTTCATAAACATAGCAGTTTCAGAGTGTTATGTTTATGAATGGGTTAAGCCTTCCCCTATTTCCTCTAGTGGCTGTCTCATTGACAGCCACTAGAGGCGCTTGCGTGCTTCTCACTGTGATTTTTCACAGAGAGCACGCCAGCGTCCATAGGAAAGCATTGATAATGCTTTCCTATGTGACCGGCTGAATGCGCGCGCAGCTCTTGCCGCGCGTGCGCATTCAGCCGACGGGGAGGAGAGAAGGAGGATCGGAGGAGGAGAGCTCCCCGCCCAGCGCTGCAAAAAGGTAAGTTTTTACCCCTTTCACCCTTCCAGAGCCGGGCGGGAGGGGGACCCTGAGGGTGGGGGCACCCTCAGGGCACTATAGTGGTCCTTTAATATATAACACCCTACATAGCACAATGACTTATGGGGCTGGCATAGATTTTTTTCCAGGGCTGCTTCGTATCCCCAGTCCGGCCCTGGGTATGCCCCTCCTCGTTCCCTCCGCTCTGCCCGTGACCACCTCCTGTCCGCTGCTCGCACCCGTACAGCCAACTCGCGCTTGCAGGACTTCTCGCGGGCGTCTCCCTTCCTATGGAATAGCCAGCCTACCCCCATCAGACTCTCCCCTAGTCTTCAATCGTTTAAGAAGGGCCTTAAAACCCATCTCTTTAGGAAAGCTTATGGTCTACTAGAGTAATCTCTACCTTACATACCTGTCTCTTGCTTTCTATAGGACAGTGCTTTACTCTCTCCTCCAGCTCTGCTTCACTCCCACCCTATTTGATATTTCCTGTCCTAACGTTTCTAATACCCTACCTCCTATAGACTGTAAGCTCGTTTGAGCAGGGTCCTCTTCAACCTATAGTTCCTGTAAGTTTTCTTGTAATTGTCTTATTTATAGTTACATCCCCCCTCTCATAATATTGTAAAGCGCTACAGAATCTGTTGGCGCTATATAAATGGCAATAATAATAATTAAATTAAAGTTGTTTTGGTGACTGTCCCTTTAAGTGAGGGGATTCAGTATGGACATATATAGGCTGCACCGACACATTGGTTACCTGGCCATGGGTTGTGCGGTTTCGACACTCTGCAGATTGTTTACGTTATACAGTATCTCCATGCTGTGCAGACATCGTGTACCAGCCGCATGTGCAGAGAAACATTTACATCATTCGTTTCTCTCTTCATTCTTTCCACAGATACATTGCCCACCCCAGATTTGCACGGAGCGTTAAATAACAGACCGAGAATGGCTCAGGAGTTTCCAGATCTTGAGCAGAAGTTTCTGCCTACGATACATTATACAAACAAAATATAGTGATTTGCAAACAATGCAAAGCAACCCTTGTGGCTATCAAACGGGGGGAAAAATATAAAATATAAATACCCCAAATTAGGAGGTGGAGATCTGGTACTTAAATTAAGACATTTTAATAATATTAAAAATAAATTATTAACCCATTCAGTTCCCGTTCATTGTAATAGGTGTCAGAATTTCAATCCAAGTACTTTTTCGTGTATTGGGATTGAAAAGGTGTCTTTAGATGCGAGAGGTGGAGATCTGGTGCTTAAATTAAGACAAAGAAGGTTTTTGGATTCATACTTTGAAAACTATGCAACCAGAAGGTATAAATGTAGATTTTGATATGGCATGCTTTTTGAATCAGTTTTTGTATTTTATATAAAAAAAAAAATTTTATGAGGATTTTGATTATCCTTGTTCATTATTATTATTATTATTTTTATGGATTGTGATCAAATTTTATACGATCTACTTATTCTCAATTTTATTTTTCTGTTATTCATATTTATTTTATTTCTGTGACGTATTCTCTTCCCTCGAAGCGTATTTGTGTTCCATATTTATAGAATTGGCTATCATCCTTTGTAGAAGAAGTGGAACACATTTGCCTTCCATTTCGGACTCTGTTTCCGGTTTTGGAGGAATCTATACGCATCTGTGCCCCAATTCAGACCTTTCTTTCCTGTTTCCGGACGGAGTGGAACGCATTTGCGTTTCAGATATAGATGAACTGGGACTTCCGGTATTGTGAAAACGAGGCTTGGAGCGCACGCGCCTTTAGAAGCGCAAAAGGATAAAGAAACCCGACGGAGAAAATTATCTGCAGATGTTTCTGATTGAAGGCACTTTTAGGATTGGCTGAATTTTTTTAAGGCAGGGTATTTAAGTGTTTACATGTTTGTATTTTGTATATATTGTTGCCACAAGCCCCTGATGAAGTCATTGAGACGAAACGCGTAGGGTGGCAAGCTTTGTTTTGTATTTATATTTTTTATTGAGGATCTCTCCATCTCCCTTGTCTCCATATCTCTCTATATCCTGATGGTTATATTTTGCTTTGGTGGAAGACATCGAGTTTTGATTTGAAGAGCCCATTTACTACTGTTACTTTGTAAGTGTATCCAATAAAGCTACATTCTTAATACTATACAGTTATACACTATGGTCTGTCTTTGTGCTTTGTTTTAAGCATCCATCTCTACACTGAGAAGAGAAGAAGCATTTTAAGAAGACTGACTATACCCTGCCTATTTATATCTTTGTTTGTGAGTGCATTTTCGTTTTCTTTTATGGTATGTTTTTTATTTTACAGTCTGCACTATTGGTCTCCCTTTGTACTTTTTAGGTTGTGCTTTTTAGTGTTTTATGCCTACGATACATATCTACTAAAACTAGGTGTTTTTTTTATGAGACCCCATTGAAGTAATCTTCACTCACACAAATGTGAGCAGATCAGGAGCTTGCAGGAACATCCAAAAATTCAGTCTTAGTGCACAGGTCTGTCAAAGGCAAAAATACCCAGAGCTTCAGCCCCATAACATCCCATGTCCGACCCTAAAGAAAACCATTGTGTAAACTGGATGAAATCTCCAAAACTATGAATGAAGTCAGAGTATTCTATAAACCAAACGGCTGATGTTTATCACACACTCTGCATCCACAGCATTAAAAGGAGAACTCCAAAAACATCAAGCATGTTAGTGCTATGTGAATTCAATAGAAAATTACACTTTTATAAATTAACCCCTCTCCCCCATCTGTCACACAACCGGTCCCGTTACATCCTGGTTTGTTTAGGTCAATGGAAACTGTGACAGATCCATCTGTATGACTGGTGTGGCTGATTCGTCTAGTTTGCCTCCCTTCGCGGAATTGCCTGTCCGTATGCCCCTATTCGTCTTTTTGGCGGCGGCCATTTTAAAACACACGAAAGACCAGCAGTGTTCAGTGCAGATTCTATGGAACTAAAAACTGACACTTTCTACTGAACACCGCTGAAACTACCGACCGCCCTTCTCATTCGTCAAGGCATGCGAACACCGGTTCGTTCAGGAGTCTGGATAATACGAATGGACTTAACCCAAATAGCCATCCCATGAAGTCAATCGCATACCGAAAGACCTGTAAAAGAGTTTGACTCCATGGCGATTGAACTGTGCGTATGGGATCTGAGCTCTGTTCGGTAGGAATATGCACTCAGATCCAGGCTACCTGGGGATACGTTGCACGAATATAATATGTTCGGTATTTGTACAATTACTTATTTTTATGTATTTTAAATTTTTCATTTAAAATGGCGATTTGCCTCGGTCCTGGGAGATAATTGAATTACTTCTCAATTATCTCCAGGGCAGAGGGGAGGAAGCCAGAATGCATTGTGGGAATATTCTGTGACTGTATGTCCTAAACTGATACATGTCTGTCCGTGGTTACAGTCTCCCATTTGGTCCCCTAGGGGAGTGTCCACCAAGTGGGAGACCTGCATAAATACGGGCGGGTAGCCCACAGTAGAGCCAGTTCTTGTTTTACCATCTATGCGGAGCTTGGTCTCATTATTGGGGGGGGGAATTTACTACACACGGTTAGCGACTGATTGCTGGAAACGTAAGCTGCTTGGAGATTAGATTTGTTCGGCGGTTACCCGCGATTCGTGGATTTATTGTTCGGGAGTTTGGAGGACTCGTACGGATACCGTTCAGGAGGTTGGCGTATTCCCCTGGCTTCAGTTCGTGAATTTGAGGTCTACACGAATTGAGCCTGTATTACTAAAGAGGGGGAGCTCAACTAAACGGCGGTTTCACTCCTCTGTGCCAGGGGTGTCTTAAACTAAACACAATAGGCAGCAAATGCCCAGAGCACCTGCCTTGCAAAGACTTCTCATTGAGCTGCATTGGGAAGTCTGATTGGACAGTCACAGAAAGTATGGGCGGGGTTAGAAGGGGAGGGCTTGCAAAGGCTGCAGACATGAAATCTGCAGCATTTGCAAGACAAAATTCTTATCCACCCCTAAATGCAAAACAAATGACATACTTCTACTAAATATTTATTTAGTATTCCAGCAACTCCAAAACTACTGTATTAAAGCCCTGTACCCACAGAAATCTACCCCCACCTCCATCCAGAGCAAAGTATTCATACCCTGGTTATCCAGCTGCTTAATTTTACAGCCCAGTCCGACGACCTGCCAAACATACATGGTGGTCAAGGTAATGACTGGGGTGTGCCATAATACAACATGGAATTTAACTTCTGTAAAGGAAAATCACATTTTCTTACTGGAGGACATTGTGATACCAAAATGAGAAATAACCAGTAACACAGCATTTTTAGGATATACGCAGTGTTACAACATCGCTTAGGGGCCAATTCCTCCAACTCGGATGATCTAAAACATCAGCTGGTTTTAGGACTAATTCCCTACAGGAGGACAAATATAATTGGAGGAAATTCCAAAATAAACGCCAATCGCGATCAAGCAAGAGGAAAATAAAGATTTCCTTTCACGAAGCTGGAAGGAGAGGCCGGAGCAGAGAAATTAGAGAAAGTTGTGCATTACACAAATATAAAATTATAAAGTGCTTCCTCTTAACCTGCAGGATGTGAACTAAAAAGTGAAGACTAGAAGATTTCGAATTTATAAATAAAGGATTTTAAAAAGTGACAAACACACAGATACAGACTCCCCCTTTATCTGCAATATAGTCACAGGACACGCAGGGTGTAGGATAACAATAGCAGACCAGATAGAACAGACTTATTACCGGACCTTAGAGTGGACGATCTTGACGTACAAACAGAAATCTTAGCCAAATAGAAGCCTAGCTCAGAATAACAGGGAGACAGAGTAATCGTAAAGAACTTTGGGGCTAGAGAGCTTTATATATAGTATTTGGTGTAATTTGATCCACGTCACACCTGAGACCCCAGAACTTGCGTGAATGGAGATGGATTGACATGGACCACTTAGAAGTGGAAAAGTGGCACTTCTTGTGGGCCTTTACGACTGCGCGCAGCGTCCACATATCTGGAGTTCGGGTCACGCAAATGGCTTATCTGTTCGACTCACACGGCCCGCAAGGGGACCAGGTAACCCTACAAATATCACTTATCACAGGCGTTTGAGCTCTGTAGCAGGGCTACCTCTGGTATCACATCCGCCTAGAATGCCTTGAGTACAGTTAGAACGCTTTACGTAACCACATATAGGGAGGCTGGGACTGACCACATCTATAACTAGGGGTGCACAGCCACCTTAAAGGAACACTATGCGTTAGGAATACACCTAAATGGTGACTAGGGGCCCATTCTGTGGCGAATAAATGGTTAACCATTTATTTTCTTACCTTAACCCCTTAAGGACACATGACGTGTGACATGTCATGATTCCCTTTTATTCCAGAAGTTTGGTCCTTAAGGGGTTAATCCAGCTCCTCGGCACTGGTGACCTCTCCATCAACGTCAGCTCCCAAGTGGAGCTGAATGCGCATGCGCAGCCAGAGGTGCCCACATTCAAACCCGCCCATAGGAAAGCATTACTCAATGCTTTCCTATAGTGTTTTTTTGACGCTGGAGGCCCACGAGGACATCCAGCGTCAAATAAGTGTGACTTGCTCAGTGTAAATCGCAGAAGCGGCCTCTAGTAGCTGTCAGGGAGACAGCCACTAGAGTCTGAATTAACCCTGCAGTGTAAACATAGTTTCTCTGAAACGGCTATATTTTCAGCTGCAGGGTTAAAACTAGGGGGACCTGGCACCCTCATTGAGCTGAAGTGGCCTGGGTGTCTGTAGTGGTCCTTTAATACAACATAAATGTGGAGGTTTCTCCTCCACTTCATTTGCATTGTGTGCCTTGGCTGTGCCTGGATTAACCAATTTATGATGAAATATTTCAAACTCTAAATATAAATTAAAAATTAAGATGTTATTTGGGATTTTTAGTGTTTGCTTCCTTGGAAATTGCACCTTTGCAGAAATGTTCCCTTTATCGACGTATTTATTCACCCCAGGCCCTGAATGGAGACAGGGGCTGCAAACACAAGAGGTGCACAGGAGGGCCTGTAGAAAAAGCCATAAAAAAAAAAAAGCAAATATTTTCAGTTACAAGTCTGTAAAAACATTTCTAAATCCAAGTCTAAGACTGTGAATCGGATTCCTAAATCAGTGGCAGAAGATAATAAAATGTATGCTCATTGATGATATTATTTATAAAATCGCCAACAAGTTCTGCAGCGCTGTACAATGGGTGGACTAACAGACACGAATTAAAGCACCTCTGCCTCTCCCCCAACACCCCAAAAATTAGGAGTATTTACTAAAGATAAATACTGTAATGAAATGCTCATTAAGATTATTTTAATTTCACTGTCAAAAGAGGCAAACTAGAGATATTAACTTTCTTTTATGTATTTCCCTACGTTTGACAAAATGGAGGAACTGCCATGGTCGAAATAATTATGTTTTAGGTGCAATGTGCGTGCTCTCGGGGATTCCCTGAAAGCGATTTTAGATCTGACCTGTTCAGACAGATTCAGGAACCAAATATTAAAAAACCTATTTCCATTGAAAGGATCCTCCCTCGGATGAGATTAATGTTAACCCTTCAGAAAGGGAACATTAGGAATTTAAGGTGGTTTATCATTAAACAGAGAGCAGAGTAAAACAAGGAATTTGTCAGTAATTGTGCCTCCAGTGCATCAGTTTTGGCATAAAAAAAAATATATATAAATAAAAAATGAAGTTCCCTGGTCAATTCTTCGTTTACTGGACTCTCCCCAATTTGTGGACTGCAGTGATTATAGTGCCAGGAATGACTTGGCGCCCTTCCAGGGTAAGTAATCAATCTGAGTTTGGTCAGAGTTCGTCACAGCCTCCAGAAGGGCCCGGGGGTCCAACCCATAGCCGGCTAGCTCAGAGCAGACAGCTGAAGGAGGTGAACAGTGCCAATGGACCCCAGGTAAGTTGTTAAATCAGTCACAAATTTACTAATTTCCCCAGGACGACTCCAAGGAACACGGTAGAGGTTATGGTGTTTGGATCTTTCCTACAAATTATGAACTTTATAGGAGAAAATATATAAATACAAACTAGCCATTTTCTGTCCCCTGAGTATACAATAACATGCGATGATTGAGCCAAGATGGCGGCACACAGATCCAAGATCGAACTAAATACAACCGTGTTGATTTCCACAGTAAAAAGATATTCTTCAAACCTCACAAACGTGGGGGACATTACAGAATAGTAAGAGCTCTGGCAGGGACAGTCCCGTTTATCAATAGAGGTTTCTCATTTACTGCAAATTCCCTCAATGATAATGAGATCGGTGGGGGGACAGAGAGAGGGGGGAGATGGGGGGATGGGAGAACACCAAACAAATTCAGCTAAATGTCATGGAATCAAATCCAAAAACAATACTTTAAAAATCCCCCCCAAAAAAATCAATCATAAAATGTACATTTAAAATCTTCCAACAGATCATTAACTGCATATTACACAAGTTTCAGTCAGCCGTTTTTCCAGGTCACACACCAGTTCAAGAGTTAAACCACACCATGTAGAACATAAACCGTACTTTGTGGGACCAACGCCACCCCTCAGCCATGTATGGACAGATGGAACGTTTTCCAAGAAGGTTAACGAGGGACAATTAAACAAAAGACAAATCACACACAACAAAACCTGACTTAGCCGAACATTGCGCAACGTGTGATGAATCACGCCCGCAAGACCTGCCCGGATACAATATGTTAAAGATCAGTGAATGGAACACACTCACTTGTTCCGGATCAGCAGAGCTCCCCTTGACGTTGTAGACTTAGTCTGATCTCTGTGTTTAGATGATTCGGATCTCGGACTCCGGGTTCGTGCGTTGGGGTAACTCCGCGAGCAGAGTCGGGGGTACAGCTGCAGAATTTCCAGCGTGAGGGCATCTGACAGAAAGAGTAAAATAAGCTTTAGAGTCATAACACGGATTTGTTTCTATGCAAGGGAGCTAAATGTACAGTATACGGAGGGTTAAAAACAAAGATCTTTGTGGAATTTCTATTTTCTGAAAATTCCTGGAATATCTTGCGGTATGGAATTCCTGTTCAATTTATACTTTTGTGCGACTTAGTGGTAGCACTCCACAATTACTAGGAAAGGTCGCTTTATATTCCAACAGTTTCCAGTGCGGTCGCCCATCAATCCCATTTTCATGTAAGATTTCCTGTGAGTCCCCCCCATCACCTGGCAAAGAGAACGCACCCAGTAAAGGTGTAAACAGACAGCGAGGGTCTGTGCGCAGTGATGTCTTGTGAGATCGGCCCAAGCAGCTCGTGTCCTGGATACAAAATCTCTTTGAAGAACTATTTTTCTAAAAAAGAAAAAAAAAAAAGAAAAAGCAACACCTTTTCAAAATGTTCGGCACACACACACACACAGAAATACGCTGAAATCGCTGTAGCAGTGCAAGGCACGTTTGAGGCGGCAGTTTATTGAGCGGCTGCCAGTTCAGAGAACATTTGTTCCAAGCTGTACAAGTTACCGATTTATTAAGCTTGTGAAACGCCGACCCGGGCTAATCCTGAACAGATACATTTACTGGGAGTCATGACATGTGTGAAGTCTGTTTACATCACGTCAGACAGCGAATGCGCAGTAAATCTCTCCGCACCCACCTTCTCCTTGCGTGATGGAGACTGGGCAGCATTCAGAGTGGAAAACAGGCCTTCATCCCAGTCCGAGCAAGTCTAACAAATGGAAGCAAAGATTAGGGATTTACATAAAAGCAGAGCGTTAGCATTAATAAACGATCAAAAAACTCCACAGTGCAGGTCAACGGGTGAACAGAACAACATTACTGCAACAAAACGAGTGATGAGGACACAACGACAATGCTGCAACAACAAAACCTTTCTGTGCTGACCTGAGCTGCTCTAACCCACCCTAGTTTAATACACCTTGTCGTACATCCAGGCCTGTATAGGGCATTTCTGCTCACAATGAAAATACCGAAATTACTGCAGTAGCTTAGCAGGCAAATTATTTAAATCAATTTCCAAACAGTGTGGTTTTGTGGCTCAGATCAGGCAGAAAGTTATCAGGTGCCCAAGAAAGGGATGAAGGAGTGGGCAACCTCTGCAATCAGGAAGTAGGGATCAAGTTTGGACATCACACAATGTTTTACAGTGCCTTACAAAAGTATTCACCCCCTTGGCATTTTTCTTATTTTGTTGCCTCACAACCTGGAATTAACATGGATTGTTCGAGGATTTGCATCATTTAATTTACAGAACATGCCCACAACCTTGAAGATTTTATTTATTTTTTAAATTTGTGAAGCAAACAATAAATAGGTCTAAACAGAAAAGTCAATGTGCATAACTACTCCCCCCCCCCTAAAGTCAATACTTTGTAGAGCCACCTTTTGTGGCAATCACAGCTCCAAGTCGCTTTGGATAAGTCTCTATGAGCTTGCCACATTTTACCACTGGGATTTTTACCCATTCCTCCTTGTAAAACTGCTCCAGCTCCTTCAAGTTGGATGGTTTGCGCTTGTTTACTGCAATTCTATTGGATTGAGGTCTGGGCTTTGACTAGGCCATTCCAACACATTTACATGTTTCCCCTTAAACCACTCAAGTGTTGCTTTAGCAGTGTGTTTGGGGTCATTGTCCTGCTGGAAGGTGAACCTCCATCCTAGCCTCAAATCACGCACAGAGTGGTACAGGTTTTGCTCAAGAATATCCCTGTATTTAGCACCATCATCTTTCCCTCAACTCTGACCAGTTTCCCAGTCCCGGCTGCTGAAAAACATCCCCACAGAATGATGCTGCCACCACCATGTTTCACTATGGGGATGGTGTTCTTTGGGTGATGTGATGTGTTGGGTTTGCGCAGGACAAAAAAAAACTTTTTGACCAGAGCACCTTCCTCCATACATTTTGGGAGTATCCCAAATGCCTTTTCGCAAACTCAAAATGTGCCATTTTGTTTTTTGCTGAAAGTAATGGCTTTGTTCTGGCCACTCTGCCATAAAGCCCAACTCTATGGAGTGTACGGCTTATTGTCGTCATATATACTGATGCTGTGGAACTCTGCAGCTCCTCCAGGGTTACCTTAGGTTTCTGTGCTGCCTCTCTGATTAATGCCCTCCTTGCCCATTCCGTGAGTTTTGTTGGACAGCCGTCTCTTGGCAGGTTTGCTGTTGTGCCATGTTCTTTCCATTTGGTTATGATAGATTTGATGGTGCTCCTGGGGATCATCAAAGATTTGGATATTTTTTTTATAACCTAACCCTGACTTGTGCTTCTCAACAACACTGTCCCTTACTTGTTTGGAGAGTTCCTTGGTCTTCATGGCAGTATTTGGTTAGTGGTGCCACTTGCTTAGGTGTTGCAGCCTCTGGGGCCTTTCAATAAAGGTGAGTATATGTAATGACAGATCATGTGACACTTATGATGTCCACCTGTGTGCAATCTTTCACTAATTATGTGACTTCTGAAGGTAATTGGATGCACCAGCGCTTTATAACAAAGGGGTGAATACATACGCACATGCCAATTTTCTGTTTTCTATTTCTAAAAAAAAAAGTTTTACGTATATATTTTTCTCATTTCACTTCACCAACTTAGACTATTGTGTTCTGATCCATCACATAAACTTCAGATTATAAAACATTGAACTTAAGGCTGTAATGTAACAAAATAGGTAAAAAGACAAGGGGGTGAATACTTTTGCAAGGCACTGTATTATGTGTCGCTCAGATTATTGGTGGAAACTCTGCAAGGTTTTCACAAGAGCTTGTTCTGTAAGGGGCGGACAGGAGAACCACACATAGCTAAAGGAGAGAACCTCGCTGAAAGATCTGCAAAGCACAATCTCAATCCATCCAGTCAGAGGGTCCCCGTCGCGCCAGCCACACACACACTCCAGTCAGAGGGTCCCCGTCATGCCAGCCACACACACACTCCAGTCAGAGGGTCCCCGTCGCGCCAGCCACACACACACTCCAGTCAAAGGGTCCCTGTTGCGCCAGCCACACACACACACTCCAGTCAGAGGGTCCCCGTCGCGCAAGCCACACACACACTCCAGTCAAAGGGTCACCGTCGCGCCAGCCACACACACACTCCAGTCAGAGGGTCCCCGTCGCGCATGCGTACAGGGTCTGCGTCTGCCTTAAACTTTATGCAAGTCGCCAGGTAGAAACCACACAAGATGCAATAATGGACTATAATTGGCAGAACACGGGGTGGCAGAGTTATTCACTTACCTGGCACAGCAGGCCGCACAGCTGTCCTTTAAACAGTTTTTCTTGCAGTGATCGAATCGTTTCTAGAATGAGAAAATAACAATAATCAGAATTGGTTCCAGAATGGAGTTTAAATTTAGATTTTATTAAACCGCCTCAGTCACACAGGGAGAAATTCAGATAAAATCCTAGGGACGTATGAATATTAGATTTACTGGAGACCCAGGCAGCCTCAATTACGCTTTAGATTGTAAGCCCACTAGCCCTTGTTCAAGCACTTCCACAACCCCGGTCAGGGAGTTAGGATATCCAGACATTGTACAACTCTATGGAATATGTTGGTGCTTGATAGATGAGAGGTCTGGAGTGGATCAGGCCGTGCCCATGAAGACACTGCCACAAACATGAAACGAACAGTATGGGTGAAACCTGTATCGGTCTGGAAATGGGAACAGAATTTACTCTCTGGATTCCTATGCTGCCAACAGTGACTCTCTGCGATACTCCTTCTGCATCTATTTTGCTTTAAAATTCCCGACTTATTAACGGCTCTGAATGAGGGATGAAAACTCCTTTTTAAACAAGGTTGGGGCAGCACACACAGACACACACCCCATGACGGACAGACACACACCCCATGACGGACAGACACACACCCCATGACGGACAGACACACACCCCATGACGGACAGACAGATCACATCAAGTCAATTAACAAAAGGCAGGAACACAAGTCTCCGAATTCAGGTGGTGATTCCAGAGGCCGCTTGTTCTAGGAAAGCATTTTATTATCAGGCCAGCAGTTGCACTACAACTCCCACAATCCTCTGCTATCATAAGTCTAAAATTTTGGGAGCTGTAGTTCAAACCCACCTGGAGGGTAAAGTTTGGACATACCTGTTCTAGGATACAGGAGTTCATTTTTAATTTATTTATTTTAAAAGGTAAACAGGCTGAAATAAATGCCAAGAAATTAATTAATGTCAGAGTTCAGAGCACCTGCAACTGTGTTAGGGAAAATTACCAAGACTCACAAATCAGCTGGTCACTTATTAACATGAAATACAAAACCTCAAACACCTGCCGACCATTAGCTGCATCCGGATACTCAACAAAAGAAAAAACGAACATTGGAAAACAATCAGCCCACAATACACATTGTATACCAAACATTAAACGGAACACAAAGTACAGCGAGCGACAGGGTTTACTCTGCATCGGAAAATACGGCAAGATTGGATAAAGGGCGCAACTCCTCTTATTGTCACATTGCAGATAAAAGGCCAGACACACCAAGGGAACCTTCACAAATGGGAAGAAACAAAGATGAAATGAAACGAGCACTTTACGACTAAAATGGTTTATGATGAAATCAGTGACCAGGAGTGGGTGCCCAGGTTCAGGAAACAAAAGCGAGCTATTTGTGGAAGGAATCCTTTAATCGATATGTACAGATTGTGCCCCCTGACTTCGCTTCTCTCATGGAAACACTTTCCTACAAATCCTTTATTGCGCCTTTTTATAAAAATCGACAGGTTAACCTGTCCAAAAACAGCCCCTCGCCCTGCACACACACAGTTACTCACTCTGTTGTTCCTTCGCCTGTTCCTGAATTGTGCGATGGTCGCTCGTTAGGTCCTGGTTTGTAGCCTGAAGTTGTCGCTGTTCACACTCTGCGTCCTCTAACCTGTGTTTCAGAGTCTCAGCCTGGCTCCACGCAGCACTAAGAGAGCTCTGCAGCTCCTCGATCTGGAAGGATACAGAATACAGAGAGTAGGCACCGTTACGTGGCCGAGCACAGAATCACATCTGCAGAGAGGAACTACGAGAACAGGCATTTCACTGATAAACAGCTTCTAATGGGGAGGGGGGAATGTCAAAATATTGTCTAAAAATGCATTAGTCACTCCGTCTGCACGGGTAGCTTGTTTATATTCTATAGTAAACAGGATACATTAACCCCCATATGGAACATTTGTATCATTCCATTAAAACAAAGTGAGAATAGCAGAGGTAAAACATAATCACCAAAAGAGTGGTGGTTACGTGGAATCCTCTTCCAGCAGAAGTGGTAGAGGTAACAGAGGAAAGGAATGTAATCATTTAAGGGCTAATCATAGAACTATTATTGCCTGAAAGAATACAAAGAATCTCCTTCCAGTACACATGAAAAGCCAATAACCTTCAAAATTAAAATCCATTACTATAAGACGAGCTCTTGGACCAGGTTAGGTTTAGAACAAAATGAGTCCAAGAAATCATTTTCCCCAATTACATCCTGAATATAAGCATCACATACATGGTCAATGCAGGGAGCTCCTATTGCGCCTTACCCAGGGTCTCTGGCGCCTTACCCAGGGGGCCCATGGTCTATTGTGCAGTACCTGTTTGGTGAAACGGTCGTTCTGAGCGCTAGATTCTTGAAGTTGGGTGAGAAGACCTTCTGCTTTACCCTCCGCTTCCTCTTGTTGTTGGCGCACTGTCCCCAGCTCGTGCAGTCTGTTCAAAATGAGTGAAAACCACAGTAATTGACATTTTACTGAGGGGGAGGGAGTCTTCCTGTAACACTTCCATCTTTCATTGAGAACACAAACCAAGTGCTGTCACTTGACACACTCCAGTTACAGCACACATCACCTACACAACTAGAACCGCACACCTGGAACACACCGCAGTGACCGCACACCTGGAACACACCGCAGTGACCGCACACCTGGAACACACCGCAGTGACCGCACACCTGGAACACACCGCAGTGACCGCACACCTTGAACACACCGCAGTGACCGCACACATTGAACACACAGCAGTGACCGCACACATTGAACACACAGCAGTTACCGCACACATTGAACACACAGCAGTTACCGCACACATTGAACACACAGCAGTTACCGCACACATTGAACACACAGCAGTTACCGCACACATTGAACACACAGCAGTTACCGCACACATTGAACACACAGCAGTTACCGCACACATTACCTACACACTAAGTGCATATATTTTTAATATAAATCTGGTAAAACAAAAAAACAACAACAAGAAATGGCATTTCTACCAAACTCCCAGAATGCCTGGTGAGAATATGTAAATAAGCATGTCTCACTTCTAGATTTGGTCTTTGGACAAAAACCACCTCTTCCACTTGGACGTACTGACTGGCATGCAACAAAGGTTATCTGAACTTCACAGGAAAGCATTTTTATAAGCGATGTCTTCATTTGAAGACTAATAGTGGACAACTGAAAATGGAGGACAACTTGACCTGCGCCCCTTCCCGGGGGGCACACGAGGGACCTGCGCCCCTTCCCGGGGGGGCACAACTAGTATCACTCAACTTAAAGCTCTGATCCAATCCACAAATCTACATAAAGCTCAGTTACAGCCAACCTGGTATCTCTGGGTTAAAGCAATTTGTTTTATCAACAAACGCAATTCTTTGATAACGCCAGAAATCTGAACATTTTCCAACATCACCTGCCAAAAAAAATACAATAAATAAATTGCTTTCACCAGCCATGTTTGCTGAGAGAATTTGACCTTGTGGCGTGCTCCCTGAACCATCCAGATCACGGACCAGGTTACAGCCGGGGCAAGTAGTGATCCAACGCTACCTGGCCACCATCTTTACCCTCTCCCAATACGCAACACTATTAATGTAACCAGCAATCAAAGGCATATCGGGGGATTCTAGAAAATCTGGAATATTCAAACAGATTCTTCTGGACAGGCGAGATATAAAATAAAATGAAACCACACATTAATAGCCATCTCACACCCAGAGTTACAGAATAAACACTGCCGGGCAAAGTAGACAGAAATAAACTGACCTAAGAATGGGAAAAAAATGTTAAATCTAAAAAGAGACTAAATATTGGGGTAACTCCCCATACAGTATAAACCGGATAATTAAATCTAACACCAAAATAGGAAGCGTGTAAATCCACAAAATCTCTCAACTGGTAAATTAAGCTCCCACAATAACTTAATGTAAAAAGTGACAAGCAGAAAAAAAATCTTAAACTTACCATCTAAAAGTGATCTAAAAGTATTAACACGTTCCTGTACGGTTTCACAGCAAAAGGCAGCATAGTTTCAGAACTGGATACGGATTGTACACTCTATATTGTAGAGAGTTTCATACACCAGCTTTGGACTCGTGTTACTTTATGACATAAATGCTTATCCAGGCAGCTGATACATGGCTGCACAGAGACACTTTACAGACAGTTTTTTCATGGACTGTAACTGTACGGTTGTACTATATTTACCTATTTGATGGCAGCATTTTAAGTACACATGGATGCAATATTTCTACAGCATCTTATCTCCATCACGTTAGCATTTATATTACAGCTTGTTCCAATATTTAGCGAGTATACCCCCCTTTTTTAGTTAGGGGCAGCACTTTTCCTGGCAATACCTTCTGTGGGTCTTACACGTAAGGTGTAGACTCACTACAATTTTTGGGAGACGTTTTATACACCTTCAAACATAGTAAACATTACCATTTATTTATCTACATTGTTCACAAGACATCTCCTGGTACGGTTAACATTTTTTCTGCTGGTCACTTTTTACATTTAAAGTAGACATGCAGCCCGGATATTCAGTATATAGGTTAGGAATTTATGGAAATGTCCAAATTGCTGGAACTACCAGAAACGTGCCTTAAAGGAACACTAAGCACCATAACCACTTTAGCCTGCCAGGAGTGCCCTGGTGTCCCCCACTATTAGTAGTGAAACCATCTGTGGACCACGGGGCTCTGGTCACATGCTCCATTGAACGGCGGTGCAAAGGTAGCGGATTGGCTGAGAGTGTTAGCTGATTTCTCTCAGCCAATGAGTGAAGACCTGCCCGCTAGGCTAGCTCAGAGCAGTGAGCTTCCAGTTCTCAATGGAGGAGGTGAGTGGCGTCCATTGGACTCCAGGTAAGTTGTTAATCTGTTAGCAAATGGCTTGACTACCAACAGGATTACAAAAGCGCTACCGGCACCATAACCACTACAGTGTGAGACAGGAAGGTTCCTTTAAATCTGGATTTTACCCAGTTGAAGTATTGTATAAATAAAGATGGTCCATTTGAAAGATTTGTATGAATCCCCTCACACTGTATTTCCCAAGTAGTTTCACCAATCAGGAGCTTTGGATTCTGGTCTACAGACCGTTCGGAATGAAATGAAGAAACCACTTAAATAATGCTGAACCTTGCTGCAGACCCCGGAGCTGGAAACCCCCGATACAGAAAGCAGAATGGTCCAGCTGGACAAACCTCCCTGGGGGTCGAAACGTAGCACTGCAGCAGATACAGATTAGCTAGTTCTGCTCAGAGCAGCAGATTTTGGAATTAGCAATTAAAGAGGAACGGACACATTTTTGGAATTTACATCATTAAATAAAACACTCAAAATAACCTATAACTTGAGTTATTTTATTTTTTCCAGGAGATTCTCAGTTTTCTTTAAAATTTCTATTAAAGATTTAGCAGATTACAGCATAATCCAGTACAAACAAGGCACAGCCAGGGCACACAATGCAAATGGAGAGAGGAGACTGAAACATGGTTTCATTTCTTCTGCTCCGTATACATGTAGTTTTATTGTGTACACCTCACATATTTATTAATATTACCGGGATTAGTAAATTTAACACTAACAATTATTGGTAAGTGACAGATCCCTTTAAACTTTTATAAAATAGGGATAAAAAGGAAGCTAATAGCTGAAATACAACTCACAGAAAGCTCAGCTTTTAGTGTATTTTTGGTAGGCCCAATTTTGTAATTATTTACAAAAAATATATATATATGAATACCGCACTCAATGTTGTAAAATAATCAACCGTAGGTAAAAAGGTACTGTAATTGAATTTATTATTTTTTTATTTTTTTTCTTCAATGATTTGATCAAAAGAATATATTACATCATATAGTCAATCGCTATTTACAAAAATAACCTCCATTTGTAAATAGCGATTGACTATATGATGTAATATATTCTTTTGATCAAATCATAATCTCACATATTAAGTTATATACCTAGACATTGAAGAAAAAAAAGAAAAAAATAATAAATTCAATTACAGTACCTTTTTACCTACGGTTGATTATTTTACAACATTGAGTGCGGTATTCATATATATATATATATTTTTGCCAGCATAAATTATCTTTTTGTAATTATTTAGGCCAAAAATATAAAACAACCTTAAAATCTCCTTTATTTGAATTGGAAAAGTAGTCGAGGAATATCTAGGGTGACAAATCAGACATCACTGTGCGATCAGTTCTGATACTAGTCCAAATCGAGCTAGAACATTTAGCATTTCTCCAAACTGGAGAAAAATTGGCATCCTGGGCTGAAGAGCTTACAGCACTACTAGTGCTGAGAGTGCTGGCTCCTAGTAGCTGTTTCATTGTGTTTCCTATTCACATCAGGATCTTTACCGTGTCCGATTACAAGGAGTGTAAATTCTTGACATATTTCAGATAGTTTGTCAGCGGGAAGAACAGAATTTAACCTTTAGGCTGTGAAATCCCGGATATTGAACATCGTGCCAGGTCTCAGACAATGTGGCTATAAAAACCAAGTTCCTATCTGCAATCCAGTAATAGTGGGGAAAATTAAAAATAAAATCATCCTCTACTCGCTCTCATTTAGTACTAAGGAGAATAATGGGGGGAAACAAAAAACAATAACTCACAAAACACACACAATGTCCCATAATCAAAAAATATAAATTTAGTTTGCTCCTCTTTAATGCTTAATATAGTGCAAAGAGGGCATACGTTGCTTCACACTGTAGCGGCCTCAGAATACCCCAACACTCCCCTTATATACTGCTGCCAACGTCACCCAGCCTTCCTGTCAGAGCAGGATTAACCTTGTAGTGACCAGTAGACAGCCATCCTGGGGTGACACAGGGGCTCTGGGACCATTCATTTGCGTGGTATTAGCCATCCCAATATGAATATTGAAGGGGGCCCCAAACTAGTAACCTGCCTCAGGCCCCATGGGATATCAACCCTTTGTGTGGAATTACAGAGTCCTGGCTTTATAGGGACAACAATTTATTCCTTTAACACAACACAATTAGCATACCTGCTGCCTTGAATGACACAAATATATTTCTTTATTAAGTCATTTGATGAACCCCCAAAACCACACGACTCACTTCCTAGACAAAGTAGCCACCTTGTTTTTATAGCCGTATCCCCATAGCCGTACTCCGGATAGCCCAACATGGTCTTTCTAGAGATCAGTGATCCAATGGGTTATCCAGGATCATTAAAGGTCCAGAATCTAGGGACGGACAAATTCAAATCAAATTCAAAAATCAAAGTCCAGGCCCATCGCTGAACCTTGAATTAATTATTCTTTATCTATTCTTTGGAATCCTGCATTCTCAATGTTTGGTCACAGATCTGTGACCCCCAGAAACGCTTAGTCCCGGAACCCCTATAATCCTTGGGGTTTATAGTCAGAACTAGAGGAGCTGTGTGAAAGTCTGGGTTCTAAATGTCTGTTCTTCTACCACCGTCAAAGAATCCTGGAGATACGATCACTATACCAGACGACCTACAACACTACAGCTGTAGCAAAGCTTATAGACGCCACCTCAGTAAATCTTGGCACGATAATAAATTGTTACAACAGCTAGCAACGTGGCCCCTTCAGCAATCCTAAACAAATGTACGTTTTATTTCCATGTGGTCTTACTTTTAGTTACTGTGAGATCTGCCGCATGGCCATTTCTTTGTGAGATTGGTGTATTAGGATAATTAAATGAAAAATTAACAAAACACTAACGTTTTCTATAAGTTACAGCTGTAAACCTGGCTAGGGAATAATTAAAACCATTACATATGTAACAAACAATAGTTCGATTTATTTTTTAATCTATAATATGTATATTTTCAGACCTGGACGATAGCTCCTTTCTCATATGAAGTTGCTCGGTCTTTATCCGACGCAGATTACCGGCCATCTTCACAAACTCTTTATCCATAGACTCCTTGTGTTTTTCTAATTGTTTCAGTTTTTCAGTCCAGATGTTGCGTTTTTCTTTCAGGTCAGACTTTATGACCTGTAAGAGAAGTATCTGGATGTTCTAAAGGCCAACGCCTGCAGAAGGCGACATTCTAGAGATCACCCAATGTGGACTAAATAAAGTCATGGTAAATCAGTCATTTAGACAGAGAAAAGGCAGTAGATTGTCCAAGTCATACCTCGAGCATCCTGCCCGGTAATGCTGCACCATTTACATTGGAATCCATCAGACGTTGCAGAGAGAGCGGTACGACATCGGACATCGTACATGTATCTTCCAGCTGAGAGAAAACAAGAAACTAGATTAAAAATATCCACAAGAACCGTTTCACAGAAAATCGTTACCTACCCATGAACAATGTGACAGAAAAACCACAACAAAAAGCAAGTTAGAGATAAATTAGAATTTACAAAGAGGACCAAGCTAAATCCATCACGGGTCAGGAGAAGTTATTATGCGCATACACATTATCTGCCAGCAAAGGTTAAAGCTCCACTGAAAACATTAAAAACTCCTTGTGGGAGAGAATACTCCGTCCAGTGGACACAATTCGGAACCTTTTTAACCAGCTCCGGGCTTTGAAGCAGCACTACAGCCCGGGACTGGGAGGAGGTTACGGTTATTTGGAAACTCACCAGATTTTGAACTATTGCTTTAAATTCAGCTGCCAGTTGCTCGTGCCCTGGGCCCTGGAGTAACAGGAGAACCTCTCGATCTAACGTTATATCAAGGGATGAGCTGGGCTCCCCGGAATGATAAATCAGATCGCCCGACACCTGAAAACAAGAAGAATCTGAGAAAGCAGAGAGCACTTACAGGCAAACCGCAACCACGTGACGAAATCACAAACAGATTAACCAAAGGAGGGTTCCATTTAATGCAGAGAATAACATGGTTTACAGTGTGTTAGTTTGCCCGTTTTTCTGGGATTTACTAGAAATCTAAACAATAACGTCCGGTCTATGCCAGCGCTGAGCTCTAGGCAGAGAGCGGGTTTTCACAACCACGGTTAGTCTGAGCGACATCTTTACTGCTCTGCATGGGGTAATGCTGCACGTGTAACACAGACACGTAGTGAACTAAAAATGTAAAGTCAAAATAGGAAAACAACCTATGGCGTAGTTGGAGAATTTTTCCAGTGCAGCCACTTTTGCAATTTGTTTCTCAATTCAGGTATTGGGAATTGGCAATTCAGGTATTGGGAATTGGCATTTCAGGTATTGGGAATTGGCATTTCAGGTATTGGGAATTGGCATTTCAGGTATTGGGAATTGGCATTTCAGGTATTGGGAATTGGCATTTCAGGTATTGGGAATTGGCATTTCAGGTATTGGGAATTGGCATGTAGGTATTGGGAATTGGCATTTCAGGTAAGGTTGACATTTCAGGGTTAGTGTATAATCCAATTAAACTGAAGACAAAACGGCTCTGGATTGAAAGTCTAAAAACCTAAGAAAGTTTTTAGTTCATAATGTTTTAAATCCGTTCACGACACTAAGTGTGATTGGACGGTAGTCTATAAAGGAATAGACTGGCATCTGGTCAGGAAGAGGTTAAACAGGGCAAGGTTCAGAAATTCATCTTACCTCTGGCAACTGCTGAGCGAGCTCCAACTCTGAATGTAGTGAATTCAGACTGCCCGCTATAAGGCGGTTCAGCTTAAAGGTGACAGGAGAGGCGATCCCATTACTGGAAGAAAAAATAAAATAACTTTATGCATCAAAATTTATTGATCAGAACAGAGAATATTGACATGGACAAAGACTGCCTGAAGGACATGCCAACTCGTCCAGACCCAGTTACCCAAAACGACCGCACAGACGGTTAGGTTTACTGCAGTGGTTATGGTGCATAATCTCCCGTTGACTGCTAATCTGAGTAAAACAAAGCACTTTGATCAAGAGATCACCCAGCCCCTAACGCTCGGCCGCCCTACTGCGCCGCGTCTAATACAGAAATAAACATACACCCCGCCCAAAATCGGGGCAGCCATGATAGGCGGAGAGAGGTGGGTGATCCCAGTTACCCAATTCTACATCTAGAACGCAGGATGGAAAGATAAAATGGCTCCCGGTACTCACGAAAGCAGCTCTTGTTCCATTTGCTGGAGACTATTTTCCAGTTTAGTTTTTTCAATTCTCAGATTCTAGGAAGAAAAACATTAAGAATGATCGCACGCTGTGTTCCCATCATTCACAGGAAACTAAACAAAAAATGGTTTTAATAAAGCTTTTACAATAGCAAAATTTATCTTTATACAACAAAAGGAAAAACGCTGGTCAACGTGGGCACAAGGAACCGGATATGGTCGAGTCTTCAGGTATCTTCCCAGCCTGACAAAACCCGTGCCCATTCTAGCAGGCCCTTCCGGACCCAGCATGGCAACCTTGGCCATAGACGCCACCTGCCAGGCACGGCAACCTTGGCCATAGACGCCACCTGCCTTATTCATCTATTTTGGTAATTACCTCAATAACTGAGTTGTATTCCATGAGTGTGGACCTCATCTCTTCTATATACAGATCCTTCTGTGAATGAGAAAATAATGGAAATCTCTAATTCAGTGAATAAACTAAAATCACGGTGTATATAAATACAAAGTTATAATACAATATTCATTGAGACCCCCATCCCCCGCTAACTTCATCAACACTTCTTACCTAGAAAGCACTGCCAACGGTAATAAAAATAATTCGATATGGCTCACCATGTGAAGACTGGCATCTTTCTTCTGGAAAGTGGTCTCAGAATCGCTTAGCTGTAACTGGAAACAATAACTAGGTGATAATTTATCCCTTTCAGCATTTATACGAATTTACTAATCAAATAACGATGTAAAAATGTATTCACAGATACACAGTAACCTAACCGGTTTCTTTACAATGATTTTATGCCAGTGATATTTACCACCATCACACAGTAGCTTTGCCAGACATACAATCAAGATGGCGGTATAATAGTTCCTGCTTTGAAGAGCTTATCTTTTCATGTTTAAGATTGTAAGCTCGCGGGCCACCATGCATAGACTTGGTGTGAGGTGCTACAGTTATCGGATGGAAACTCACAGGCCGGGATCTAGTGAAACTGTACCGATTATTAATTACCAACGCGCTTTGAGAACGGTTTATTTCATAAATCATTTGGTATTTTATATTCTGATACAGGATATGTTAATGTTTGTTACAATGTTTGTGTGATTTACAAGAATTGCCCGATTTCAACCCCCCCGTCCCCAGACTCACCTGGAGATCTGCAATTTTATCAGAAAACTCCGATATGGCCTTTCTCATTTCCTCTGCCTCCAACATATTTCTTGTATTCTGTTTATGAAAACAAAGTCATGTTTATCAATCTATATCTCTCATTATTTCTACAGTCATTTTGGATGCATTGTTCCCAATTTGTTGGGAGAGGAACTGGTATTTGAACACAATGACTGGACAGACGCTGTGGGATTGCTTAAGTACTAAACCAAAGTTTGGCTGTGTCACGCGGTTACATGCAGGAATCTCACCTCTTCCTGCAGCGAGCTGATTTTGTGAATGAGCGAGAGATTGTCCTTCTCCTTAAATACAAAGAAAGGAGATATGTCATTAGATCATTAGGAGATATGTCATTAGGAGATATGTCATTAGGAGATATGTCAACCTCAGAGTTCCACCAAATTCACACATTAAACCTCACACTTCAGCTCGAGGCTACGAAGTGTAGTCTAGTTTATCTCAAAATATGTAAAGATACAATAAGGTACAAACAGTGCAGGTACCAAATTCTATCACACCACCGACATGGTGGTGGGGGACAGGGTGGGACTGGGCGAAGACAAATAGCTTGAAACGTTAGAATTAAAATGTTTGTATCTTTGTTGCTTCTCTTACACACGGTTACCCAAACACTCGTTTAGTGGACAGTGTGCTCTAGGCACTTTCTATGCAATGCATTAAGTCATCTGCCATAACTTGTATCAAACCAACAGGTTCTGCTGCATTTTACGATTACACAAAGGGAATAGAAAATACTGTGGGTTTAACGGTTCTCTAAGGAATATTCAATAAGCTTCCATAAACAGGGATATTAGAGAGATTGAGTAACATGTATGTAAATAATAACTGTCAGCAAAAATAGCTATGGCAAAAATAAATAAGGAAGTAGCTGGATTAGAGAAATATTCAATTTTAGCTAATGTGGCTGAAACTTCACTTTCAATTCCTAAGAATTCATGCTTCACTGATGTATTCAGTAAACGGAGCAGTTCACATTTAAGAAACCAAACTGGAAGCATATTAACATGTAAATTAGTTACACGTTGGCCTTAAATTTGAAAACCACTTGGCATTCACAACAATTCTCACATTCGGAGCGAAGAATCTCAGGAGAGACCCTCTGCAATCTCCAGAAACAAATTAATTTATTGTTGAAGTCAAACATGTTTCAGCCAGTGGAAACCCTAAAACAAAATGACTGAACCCCGTGTTTGTAGGAATATGCGATTAAATGGAACATTAAGATGGATTAACCCTCCACTGAAAGTCAGTTACTTGCTATGGGATATTAACTTCAACAGTATCTCATGTTAATAGGACACTTTGTAAACATGTTCAGGAGTGGAAGAGTTAAATAATGCCAAAAAAATTTCAAATTGTCCACCTTCTGTTCTCAGCTAAACAATTGGAACATCCCATTAGCGGTTAATAATGGCCTTCATTTATTATTTTTTGGATAAATGTTGGAGAAGGGGGAGAAGGGGGAGAAGGGGGAGAAGGGGGAGAAGGGGGAGAAGGGGGAGAAGGGGGAGAAGGGGGAGAAAAAAAAATTAGGCTGACCTTGGACGCAATATCAGCAATGTAACTAAGTAAAGGAGACCTAACCCTCAGACTATTCTACCATACGAACCATGCGTGCCTGCGCAACTACTCTGTTCAGGTAGTGAAAGGACGTTGGTGGAAATGTGGGACATTTTGTACAAATGTGTTTCTTTAAAATGTAAAAAAAAAAAAATTCAGCTGGGTACAATAAGAGGAAACCTGGCACCGCTTTAAAAAATAAATAAAATAAAAATATAATAATTACCAGAACAAAAACAAGAAACCCACGGATAATCAGAACCAAAACAAAAATATAAAAATCTAATGTGACACGTGGGGATTTTAAGCATGACACGAAGGAAGAAACTGCCAAAATGCAAAAAGTTAAAAATAAAATAAGGAACGCACAGACTCCTAATATGAATTTTTTTTTTTTTTTTTTTAAACACAAGATTAACATCAGTATTTCACTTGTAATTTAGACGTTAAAAATCGCTCTGCAATCACACAACAGACAGTCACCTTTTCACACATGCAGCCCACAACCTAAAGCTCTAAATGTATTTTTTTTTAATTCCAAACATTAAGAAGTTATAATACACTGTGTGTGGGGAGACTGGGGACCTCCTTACACCATAACCTTATAGCTGCAGTTATAATACACTGTGTGCGGGGAGACAGGGGGCCTCGTTACACCATAACCTTATAGCTGCAGTTATAATACACTGTGTGCGGGGAGACAGGGGACCTCCTTACACCATAACCTTATAGCTGCAGTTATAATACACTGTGTGCGGGGAGACAGGGGACCTCCTTACACCATAACCTTATAGCTGCAGTTATAATACACTATGTGCGGGGAGACAGGGGACCTCCTTACACCATAACCTTATAGCTGCAGTTATAATACACTGTGTGCGGGGAGACAGGGGGCCTCGTTACACCATAACCTTATAGTTGCAGTTATAATATGTAACGGATCGCCTGGCACCCCGACTGGGTACCTCCGTTAAAGGATGCTCCTAGCGCTTCCTGAGGACTCCAAACACTGCAGCAGACACCACAACCACCGAACCGGAGAAGCATATGAATCCTCTCAAGCATATGAATGCTGTAGACAGTTGAATAGGAACCATACTAATAGGTTTACTCTCCTAGCAGTCAAACTGGAACAGCATACAATAAATCCTTCCCCCAATAATGAGACGACACTTCACTTTGAGGGTTAAAACAGGAACTCTCTGTACTGTCACATACAGCCTCTTTTATTCCCAATCCACAAACATAGTACAGCCCACAGGGCGTTACAAAACAACCAATCACATCACAGTTACATCCTACATATTCCCTCCCCTTATCCTGAGAGGAAACTCAATTATACATACAGTTAAAACATACTTTCTACCCAACTTTCATAACTCCAAAACCATACATCACATTCACATACAATTACATATTCACAATCAATCCAGTCAGGGGAACAACATATTCAAAAATGGCACAAATCAGACAAGGGGTTCAAAAGTTAGTAAAATGTCCTTTGTGACTAAATGAAGCATGGCTTTCCGGCCCAAACCAGTTTCAGAGTCTTCTATCCTGGAGATAAGTAATTGAATTATCTCCCAGGACAGACACAAGACTCCATTAAGCACATGGTTGCAAAAAGACACAAAACACTTTAAAATACATAAAGTCACCTTTTATACATAAAACACAGACATTTCACATATCCCCAGATAGGTCAGGTCTGAGCGCACATTATTAAGTGAATGGCGCTCAGACCACACGAATACAGTGTAATCGCCATGGAGCCAAAGTCTTTACAGTCAGTTTCATACAAATGGGCTCCATGGGATTCCTATCTGGGGTATAACACATTCAAACACATCTACCGAACCCCAGGCAGAAAAGCACGAATACAGCTTTTCTGCAGGCAAAAATAAAGTCTTTTAAAAGGGGCCATAGTCAGATGGCAGGAGGCTGGCAACCAGGCTACTCCAATTGCAGTAGGGTTGGTTTTAGCCACATAGCCACACACTGTCTTGGGGAGCAGAGACCTCCACTTACACCTGCTTAGCTGCAATTTATAGCCCACCACTGTACTTGAGACAGGAACCCCACTCCTTACACTATAACATAGCTGCAATTTATAATACACAATGCAGGAGACAGAGACCTCACCCACACCATAACTTGTATAGCTGCATTTATAATACACTGTGGCCCAGGAGACAAGGATCTCACTTACACCCATAACACTTATAGCTGCAGTTATTATTTTATTATTTATATAGCGCCAACAAATTCCGTAGCGCTGTACAATGGGTGGACTAACAGACACATAATTGAGATCAGACCACTGGCGTACAGGAACAGAGGGGGTTGAGGGCCCTGCTCGATGAGCTTACATGCTAGAGGGAGTGGGGTATAGTGACACAAAGGGTTAAAGTAGGGGAATTAAATAGTTTGTTACAGAAGGGTTTATTGAGTGCTTGGTAGGTCATTTTTGACAGGTGAAGGAACGGAGTCATGGGGTGGGGGATGAGAAACCTGCTGACAGTTTAATTGATACGCTTTAATAAAGAAGTGAGTTTTCAAAGATTTTTTGAAGGAATGTAGGCTGGGTGAAAGTCTGATTGAGGAGGGAAGGGAGTTCCACAGAATAGGTGCAGCCCTGGAGAAGTCTTGAAGGCGAGCATCAGAGGTGGGGATCCGGGCAGAGGATAGGAGTAGGTCTTGGGCTGAGCGCAGGGGTCTCGTCGGGACAGACATGTTGGAGCAGCATTATGTAGGGATTTGTAAGCAAGCGCCAGAATTTTGAATTGGGCCCTATATCTAACTGGAAGCCAATGCAGGGACTGACAGAGCGTGGAGGCGTGGGAGGTGCGACCGGACAGGAAAATAAGCCTCGCAGCCGTATTCATTATAGATTGCAGCGGTGCAAGCTGGGAACATGTAAGACCGGTGAGAAGGGGATTGCAATAGTCAAGGCGAGAGAGAACAACAGCATGAACCAGTACCTTAGCCGCGTCCGGCGTTAGATATGGGCGGATGCGCGCTATGTTCTTGAGTTGGAAGCGACAGGATTTGGCTATCGATTGAACATGGGGAGTAAAAGAGAGATCAGAATCAAAAATAACTCCTAGGCAGCGAGCCTGGGAGGTAGAGGTGATAGTAGCGCCGTTGACTTGGATGGCGACAGACACAGGAGTAGCAGCACTTGAGGGAGGAAAAACTAGAAGTTCTGTTTTGGACAGGTTGAGTTTAAGGAAGTGAGCAGCCATCCAGTTGGAAATAGCAGAGAGGCAGTCAGAAACACGAGTCAAGGTGGGCGGAGAGAGATCAGGGGAGGACAGGTAGATTTGCGTGTCATCTGCATATAAATGGTATTGGAAGCCAAAGGAGCTGATGAGTTTACCAAGGGAGGCAGTATAGATAGAGAACAGTAGGGGGCCGAGGACAGAACCTTGGGGGACGCCGACAGGGAGGGGTTGGGGAGAAGAGGCAGAGCCAGAGAAAGAAACACTGAAGGAGCGCTGGTAGAGGTAGGAGGAGCACCAGGAGAGAGCAGAATCCCGTAGACCAAAGTTACGGAGAATGTGAAGAAGCTGTTGATGATCAACAGTGTCAAAGGCGGCAGAAAGATAAAGGAGGATTAGGATAGAGTAATGGCCGCGAGATTTAGCAGCAATTAAATTGTTGGATACTTTGGTCACAGCAGTTTCGACAGAGTGACCAGCGCGGAATCCAGACTGAAGGGGGTCAAGCAGAGAGTTGGATTCAAGAAAGTCTGTCAATCTGGCGTAGACAACTCTCTCGAGGATCTTGGAGGCAAATGACAGTAGTGAGATAGGGTGGTAGTTGGATGGGGAGTTGGGATCGAGGTTGGGCTTTTTCAAATTGGGGTTACGGTTGCATGTTTGAAGGCAGAGGGAAATGTGCCAGAGGAAAGGGAGAGATTGAAAATGTTAGCGAGAGGAAGAGCAAGAGAGGGAGACAAAGTGCGGATGAGATGCGAGGGAATAGGATCGAGGGAGCAGGTGGTGGGGCGGGAGGACAGGAGCAGAACCGAAACCTCTTGTGCTGTAGCAGGTGAAAATGAGCTTAGGATGACAGGGGGAGTGGGGTTGGGTGATGTATTGATACTGGTTGGAGAAAGATTAGAGATCTCTTTCCTGATTGTAGAGATTTTCTCAGTGAAATGAGATGGAAAGTTTGTGGCGGACAAGGTGGTGGAAGGAGGGGGAGTCACAGGGCGAAGAAGTGCATCAAAAGTGTGAAACAGGTGTGCGGGGGGACAGGGGACCTCCTTACACCATAACCTTATAGCTGCAGTTATAAATACACTGTGTGTGCAGGGAGACAGGGGACCTCCTTACACCATAACCTCATAGCTGCAGTTATACACTTCAGACACCTCACTCCCACAGCAGCAGCAGGACTCCAAGCCACCCTCCTGGCACATAAGGTAAGTTAACAGGAGGGTGGCTGGAGTTCGTGTATGTATATATACACAAGGCTTGGCCTGCAATTGTGGGAGGTACATTATTCCCTATTTAAAGTGCAGTAAGCCCAGCTTACCTGTCGTCGACATTCCCGGAAGTGCTTCGCTTTACTTGCAGTTCACAGGACCCGATCAGTTTCCCACCCGCCGGCAGTCAGCCTTTGAATTCTGTCACTACCTAACGTGTTCGTGAGTATTACTAAAACACGAACGGCTAATCCGTGAGTAATACTCGATCATTCGTACGTTACATATTCTTATCGGCAATTACACCTTCGGTAATCGTTCGTCTAAATATTAAAAGTGGTCATGCATTCGTTTAAACTTTCTATAACTATCATGTAAAATCACAAGTCTGTTCACATAAATCCATTACTAATCTTCGTTAGTTATTCAGTAAAGCAACTGTTATACCACCCTCCAGCATCTGCATGGTTAAAGCATTCAGAAACTAACCACTTGGCATATTGAAGGCAATGGGAATTATTTCAGCACCAAAGTGGTTAATCAGGTGGATAAATCCTATGGAGACTTCTCCTACTGAGGTAGTGGTCCGCAATGCACCCCCATAGGGTAATTGTGTTCTGATACACACTAAGGTACTGAATATGGGAGGAAAGAACAATAAATTATTTTCCCCCTTTTGTGCGCAAAAGAAAAAAAAAAAAAAAAAATGAATATGTTCAATTCTAGGTATACAGTAATAGATATGTCCATTGTAAACATAATTGTAATCTAACATTGTATACAGGTAAATATCAAAGCATTATATCTTGTTAAATAATACTCTTTAGGTTTCAATAAATCAAACGCTTGATTACAGTAAATTCTACAACCTATTACAAAACTATTCTAACTTATTCAGCATTAGGAATATAAATATTCTGTTTATAAACTCTGCTAATGCCATAATCCTCCGTTTACCTTACACATGCCTCCACAATTCGTGCAGTCAAGCATTTCGGGTTAAACATTCACCTACTCAGGGGATTATTAGGTGTCCGTTCACATAAATTTGGTTAATTAACCCTTTCGTTACATATAAACACTTCGTAACAGCTTTTGGTTGTTTTACGCAAAACCCAGTATAAAGCTCCGTTCATGCAAACTGGCATTTCGTGGGGTATAAACGGTCGTGGTATCAAGCTGGCATTTCACTCACATATTGCAGTAACAGTTAAACTGTTTAAATTAAGATTCCCATGCTGTCATTTTACGACACTCTGTTCCATTTAGTTAAACTTATATATTGTCAATTATATGCTGAGTAGCCTGGTTGGTTTTGGCTTTGTCGCCACCTTGTGGTTTGACAAGGTTGAGTGGCTAAATTCTGTTAATAGGACACACACACACACACACACACACATTCTCTCTCTCTCGCTCTCTCTTTACTCTGTACCTTCATTTGGGGTACATTAAGTGTCAGTGATTAACTACGGACAGATATTCACAGTCTCGTGCATTTCTTGTTACTAACTACACTATTCAATATTGTTTTATATGTTGTTTCTCCCCTCTGTTAAGAAACACTAGTTATGACACAGCGTACAAATGGGCCTTATTGGTTAAAACGCAACTACTACATTGTTAGAGTTCTGGTTATCACACACAAATATTCTCGACGTATACGGTTAGTATATAACCTTTTGGTTGGAGGGGCAAATTTTCTACGGCTGCTCCCAGGGATTAGGTTGTAATTTAAATTTGTGACATGTTTTAGGTTCAAGTAAGGATTGTTCTCTCCACTTCAGTATACGTCATACAAGTTATTCATCAGGTATGTAAACTGGTTACGATTACAAGGTTACGAGTAGGATTAAGCTCTCGCCAAGTTAGGTAAGGTCCCATAGGCCTCTTCGCCTAGCAGTCAGGTGTTCCCGCAAGGCATACTATCAACCATTACGTTCAGAGGTTCATGCCCAATCGCCCCAATTCCTAGTTAGAGCCTTGCACCAACTCATAGTTAGGACCTCACCCGTCACAGCCAATTGTTATTACATTCTGTTACGTGTCACCGAGAGGCCAACACCCCGCCACCCACCTCAGTGGCACAAAGGCCAAATCATAGGTAGAGCCTCTCAGCCACTTGGCAAGTAGTCAGGGCTTCACCTGTCACCAACCTAAGCTAGTTAATACAATTTCGCCAGTAGGCACTAGCCTAGTAAGCTGGGTCACTACCGATCTATACGGTACCATACTAACCTTATCCATCTGCCTCACTTCCGTAGCATGTCCAATCTTCACAAGGAGATGATTTGTCGGTGGCCAGCACCCCACTCAGATCAGGCTCACAGAGACGACCCAATCCACCAAGTCCAGCTTCCAGCTATCGTTCCTGGACTATCCCTAAGATCACCTCTGAACTTAAAAAGAGGAATATTCCTTTCCCAGCGACAGCCAGGGAAGCCGAACTGTTTAGGTTGTTAAATATTACTGAGGACAAAAAAAGGCCAGGCCCTAGTTCTGATTTCAATGTGCAAAATAGCTTTGCAGAATTACACACCATGATGGCCTCCCTTGTTTCTTCAGTAGCAACTATTCATAATAGATTGGATAATCTGGAGTCAAACAATATCACAACCGTTCCAGAGACTCCAGTGCCCGTTGCTCAGCCCACACCTAACTCAGGAGGTAAAGATAACCCTCTACCAGCAAATAGAGCTACTAATATCATAAACCCCATTCATCTCATTCCTCAGTCTCTAAGACGTGACATTATAGAGGGGAAGGACATAAACTTGGCATCCCTACTGATAGTATCTCAAGATGTGGTAGAGAACAGGGCCTATACCTTTGAGGATCGGTCAGTAGTAATGAAGTCTAGAGATCCTTGACTAAATAGGAAACTCAACATCCCCGAATTTGTCCTCGCATTCGGTTTGTACAGGGATGTGATCTGTACAGCTTTCTCACTCCGTAGAGAGGAACTTTACTTATACCTATAAAGTGGTTGAGTTAGCATACAAGTACGGCGGCTATGGATTTTATGATCATAAGTCATTTGCTTCCAGATCCGCAACATCACTGTCCCAGTACAATAAAATTACTGATTGGGCACAGCTAGACAGAATTGTTTCTTCTGCATTTTGCAGGCCTTAAAGCCCTTCCTGCGCTATATGCTCTTCTGCTGCTCATTCAGTAAATTTCTGTCCTGAAAACGTAGCGTCCCCTTCTACCAGTAGCGCCAATACTGGTTACCAATTCAACACAACACAGAAGGAAGGGAGAGCCAAACTAGGCAGGCCAATTGTTTCTCTAGGTAAAGCACAAGTCTGCAACAATTTCAATACAGGTGGTTGCAGTTATAAGTGCTTGTAGGCTGTTGCACGTGTGCTCACTGTGTTTCAGAGAACATGCCAAAACAATGTGCCCCAACAGATTGTACCCTAACAAATCTTCCATACCAATAAACGTACCTAAGTTGCAACGCTACTTGTCTAATCATCCTTCTGTAATTTGGTGGAATTTCTCATGGCTGGTTTCACTAATGGGTTCCACACAGGGTTCGTGTCACTCCGCACAGGTGTTTTAGAATGCCCCAACTTACAGTTGGCACTCACAGATCCAGACCGCATACGCGAACTGTTACAGAAAGAAATCACCAATGGTTTTATGATAGGCCCTTTCTCTACTCCTCCTTTCACTTCCTGGAGGACAAACCCACTAGGAATTACCACAGGGAAATATAAAAAGCTAATGATTATTGACTTTTCTGCATCTCACCCATCCCCTACACCTAGCCTTAATGCTCTGATCCCATCAGGTGACTTTTCCCTTCAATACGCCAGAATTGACGATGCCATCCAAGCAATCATTCATGCCGGGAATGCTGTTCGGTTAAGTAAATCTGACATCACAAACTCCTTTAAACTGCTTCCCACCAGTCACTCTGGCATCTGCATGGAGTTAAGTGGGAAGAAAGCTACTATTTCGCTACAAGACTGACGTTCGGATCCAAAAGTAGCCCTAAGTTATTCGATATATTTGCCGAAACTTTAACCTGGCTCCTACTCAACTCCTGCAGATGTCCAGTAGTCATACAGTACCTAGACGACTTCCTCACCATTGAACCTCACCAACACACAGCCCACAGCCTTAATCACATGCTCACTCTTTTCAAAGACTTAGGAGTCCCTGTAGCAAAAGACAAAAACTGAAGGTCCAACACGGTGATCACATTCCTGGGTATTACACTTAATTCAGTTTCTATGCAAGCCAGCCTGCCTCAAGAGAAAGTAGACCGGATACTTTCTTACATAAACACTTGCACGTCACAAGGCACTTGCACAAGGAAACAACTACAGTCACTACTCGGTTCACTAAATTTTGCTATGAGAATAATTCCTTCAGGGTAGGTCTTTCATTTCCAGAATCCTCTCACTATTGCACGGCCTCCCCGACGACGACTCCACAACTTCCAGAGACGAATCAGCTAGAGCTGCTCTACAAATGTGGCAGCTGTTCCTATCATCCTGGATTGGCAGGTCGCTATTTGTTCCACCCATATCTGATGATTCCCCTATAATTTGGACCGATGCTTCAGGTACATTGGGGTATGCAGCCATTTTCGGTGATGAGTGCCTATACAACTCTTGGCCAGTTGAGACCATCTCACTCGAAAATTTCAATACCACCTCAGCTCTATTTTAAATTTATCCTATAGTAGCAGCTGCACACGTCTGGGGTAAAGAATGGAGTGGACAGTCAGTCAGATGCTTTTCAGATAACATAGCTACCTGTGATATAGTTAACAAAGGCTGCTCTCAGTCCCTCACAATTATGAACTTAATAAGGAGACTGAGCTGGCTAGCGGCTAATCTGCAATTCTGCATAACATGTTTTCACGTTCCAGGTGTTCAAAATAACACAGGAATCAAACAGGAATTTTTCAGGTTTCATCCAATCAGCAAACCCGCAACCCAGGGAATCTCCAAGCTTCACAGAACTAATTATGCTTTAAGTTCTCTATTACAACATAGTAGATCTCTCGCACAGGCAGGCTTGTCCACCAATACAAGGAAAGCCTACTCCAGAGCATACAAGTTGTTTAAAAGTTTTGTTCGTGATCATATAAATGTTTTTTTCTGTTGAAACTGTTGTTGCATCCACAACTTTTTGCCATATTTCTCTTAATTTAGCCTACAACACTATCAACCTCTACTTAACAGGCATACAACACTACATGCTGACCAGCTATCCCAACAAATCTCCATTCCTAACCTCCTACCCAGTAAAAAGTGTCCTAAGAGGTGTTCACAGATTATCAGCACACAATCCCATCAAGAGACTTTCCATAGACAGTAAACTCTTTAAAAGTATCTTCGATATCCTCAACACATCCCCTTTTGAACACACCACAAACCTAATTATAAAATCCGCAGCTTACTTAGCCTTCTATGGGTTTTTTGAGACCCAAAGAATTTTCAGTGGAGAAAGGAACCGATTCTAAGCTTTGCCTCCAAAAGAAACACCTAGGGGGGCGGGGCCGGGCCGCCGGGCTGACGGGCAGCCACGAGATTTAGCTCCAGACCCGAGCACATGAAAGTGGCCAAAAAAGCGGGTGCAGAGCGCCCCAACGCCGACAAACTCACAAGCATAGTGGAGAGCATAACCCCAGCTACTGTGGGATACCCGCGGGCCACGACGACAATCCGGGAAGGGGAGATGCTGACATCCCCGGCCTACACGCTGCAGGAAGCCTAGATGCAGGTAGCATGAGAGCGGGACCGATGAAGAGGAGGTACCCTGCTGTGGATACCCGCAGTGAGAGACTGAGAATGCACGAACAGTGCCTGCCGGTGGTGCGTCCCCGCTCCCCTGCCTTTTTGGCCGGCGGGGGTTATCCCGGCCGCATGGCGACGGCCCTCCAGAAGACGGGAGCCCCGTGCTGGATCTCAGCCGTTCGCCTACACTGGCACAGGCTGTAAGGAGAACAGCCCGCCAGGAGACCTGAGCGGATGGAGATGGAACCGGAGGCGGAGAAGATTGGTAGTGAGCACGGGGACATCCACCGCGTACACCTCTGGCCCAGCATGTACCACGGGCCTACTTCCCCGCAGACGCTGACACCAGCAAGCAGGATCAAGGAGGCAGCAGATATCAACAGAGGGGTCCTGCCCACGTCTCCTTTTCCAGGACCAGCTAAAATGCTCCTGTGAGTGACCAAAGATGGAGCAAGAATGATAAATACTCACCAAGAGGAGCTGATCAGGACGGTCCGTGAGGACTTTGGCACTGCTGACCGCCAGATGGGTCACCCACACTGACTGCCCGCCCGCTGGAGAGGTGGGTGCCCTTGCTACTGGGTTGGAGGTCCCCGGAAAGCATTGTCCCCGAAGCGGAGAGCCCTGTGGGGCAGGTCTTCGCAGTCCGTCCGGCGGACCCGTGGCCGGGAGGAGTGCGAGCTGGTCCCAAGTATGTGGCCGGCACTCGTTTCACTGAGCTCTGGGTGGCGATGGGGAGGTGCAGGGAGTGGACTGCCCGCGGACTCAAGGTGTGGGGGTCAAGTGGACAGTTTCTGCTCCTGAGTGCCCACAGCGCCACGGGGGGCTCTGACGGTGGGCGGGAGCCGGTGTGGGGAAGACGGCTGGAGGCTTGGCGACCTAAGAGACGTAATGCGGCTTTGCCGGGTGAGGCCCACATCAGACTTCTTCCAAGTCCAGTATTGGTCCCTTAATGTCATCATTTACCCCTTTTTTTTTTTTTTTTATGTTATATGCACCCATCTTTATTGCATACATAGTTTATAATTTATAAATGTAAGGTTCCGTAGCTCTAAAGCAGGAGGTCCATACCCCCATCATAACACCCAATGTTAAGGAACAACCTGCGTACAGTTTAACCGTTCATTGCTTATTTTCTAGATGTGTTTGTAATCACGCACGAACGGATTTTGTGGGTCCAATCTTAGGGACATCGATCACCTCTTACCGGAGGGCACGAATTAAAGACTTACAACATACTACCCGGTTAAACGCGGGGAGAGGAAGCTATACAGCAACCAATTAAGCCCCTAATCCCCCATTATCTAATCATAGAATGTCATGTTAACATCTCAGAGTGAAATACCAACCATTTCTCTGATTTTCTAACGATGAGCCCTTGTGTTATACCATAGTTTAATCCCATCCTGCCAGCATAAGGGGACTCACTAATGGGTTGCTGCGTATTGCTTAATCAAATAAAGTTGAGAATAGACATAAAACATTATTTAACTGGACCCGTTACAATTCAGCGTAGACAACAGTACAAATACCTCGGTTCAGAGTTAGCTAAACATTGTATTGATACCATATGCTGACCGCAAAATAAGATGCAGAGAACGATCCCTTCTAGCTACTGTTGGAATGGATATGCGATATGACATTTGCTTAACCTTAGTTATGTTACCTGTGTTCACATAATTTAACCTTTCTGCCTTATTAGGCTTTGACTGTTCTCATTTGATATAAAGTGCACTCTGTGATACAAGTCTATATCGAAAGCTTATTATGATCCATTTGTCTCCCCTGCGTCATATGCACCAATAAACTTATTCAAAACAAAAGAAACACCTAAACAAAAACCAAGACCACTACGTCTTATCTATTACCCATACCAAGACAAGCCAAACAGGCTTAAAAAATAAAATGCGGCCATGATAGTGCCACTTTAACAGGTGTCCAGATTGTTATTGGGGTAACGGTGGCAGGTTGGATATGGGTCAGTAGTCATTTGAATTGAGGGAATTTGAACTTTAGGCCACATTAGCAAAACTCAGCATGTTTAAGTCTGTGGTTTATGGATCGCCCATTTTGACCTAAATTTAAAAATTCACTTTCAAATTCCAACAATTCTGTCTTTAGTGAATAGCTTTCATGGTATTTTTGCTCACTAGATGCAGAGGCAGTGTTTGAAGATCACCCCGAGGAGAACAAGGTGTGAGAAAAAGCTTACCAGCTGCTTGTTCTGAAACGCCATCTGCGCCTTCTTCTCCTCCGAGGTGCTCATACTGATTTTCATTTCCTCCAACTCGTCTTTCAAGGATCTCACCCGGGTAATCGACTGCTGGACGCTGAAACACACCATAAACAAAGTCAGATTAGTAAAATTAATAACACAAACTTAGAAAGCAGAATATTTAGGTATATACACTCACCCCCCCATCCCAAACACAAATCTAGAGAGAATACAGAGGTACCGAAGTGTGATAAGTGTCTGTTACCTCTTCCATTGACTGCGCAATTCTTCATTCTCCTCCACTAGTCTGTGATTGGTCTCTTCCAAGGCTTCAATTGTGGTCTTCATCTTATGATGCTGCTCCTGTAGTTTCTGATTGTTGTATTGCAGATCTGCAACACATGTTATGAGGTCCGAAGTCTCCCTGTGAAAAGGAGAGGACACTTTCTTGTACTATATTCAGATATAACAATCACAAGAAGAACAAGGGGGCCTCTGGTGTCAGTCCACCCGCCAAGGGGAGCCTCTGGCGTCAGTCCACCCGCCAAGGGGAGCCTCTGGCGTCAGTCCACCCGCCAAGGGGAGCCTCTGGCGTCAGTCCACCCGCCAAGGGGAGCCTCTGGCGTCAGTCCACCCGCCAAGGGGAGCCTCTGGCGTCAGTCCAACCATCTGAGTGCCAAGGCAACCTCTCCCGACGGTCCACCCATCCGTATCCCATTCAGTTCAGCTGCATTAACGCATAGTGTGGACCCACAGATCGCTCAAGCTGCCACGTGGTGGAATAGAGTGTTTTGTTTTGTATACATCATACACACTTTAGCAGCTTTGGTGCAACATTGCTGCCTCACCCAAACATCCGATAGCCTTCAATGTCTCCAACCACTGGGAACCCAGAGCAACTCTGATAGACAATCACTGAAGGCGGTCTTATTCCTGCAAAGTAACTATGGCAATTTCTCAAAACCTGCAAAGTTTTTCATTGCAGGACTAAGTGGGACGGGGCAAGACCACTTCAATGAGATTGTCTGGGTGACTACAGTGTCCCTAAATAAATTCTGCCATCCTTCTCAGAATTATCAATTTGCTTAAAAATAAAAGCAAGTTAGCGGGATGGAGAGGAAAGATAAAAAATTAAAAAGTAACAGAACACTTTTCAAAGAAAGGTTCAAAGCTATTGAGGTCCATAAAATGTATCTTTCCCCCTTTTGTGTTAGTTTTCGTGTTTTATATCCATTTAGCAAGAGTAATACAGCCACTATTCCCCCCCCCTTCCCAGTAGTAGTAGAAGAATTATAAAGTTTGCAATGCAGTCTGCCCTCTAATGGAGGAAAATTACATTACAGGCAAGATTTTAGGGAAAACAAAACATTCGAGGGCGTGTTGCGAAGAAAAACAGTTAATCAACTACAGCAAACATTATCTATACAGATCACAGTATAATTAGAAAGTGATACGTAAACAGAAAATCAAAACCTCTTCATAAACTCAAGTAGAAATGCATTGGAATTGCTGAGGCAACTGCCTTATTTTTCCCTATCATTGCTTAAAGGGTCAGTCCAGGCACCAAAACAATTTAATATAAATGTTGTTATAGTGCCAAGAGGCCCCTGAAGACACACTTACATCAAGGGAGTAAACTGCTCTGGAACAGTTTAAACACAAAGTTGTCACCAACAGCGATGCCAACTTTCCCCCGGCGGCACCGGGCTTCTGAATTTTCATGAATCGCGGACTGCCACCGGGTAGGGATGCAGATGATTGACAGAGTGTTCAGCTGACTGCATTTTATATGTAGCTTTAGGGGAATTGGAATACAAAGAAGTCATCATAAAATCTCAAAAAAATATCCAAAAGAAGGAAAAAGAACGGATTCCTAAAATCTCACGTAACTTCAACTGTCAATATGTTTGAAAAAAGATAGAAAATGGAATCTATAATTAATGGTCCAACGATCCATAACTGCTGGATCATGTACATTAACAAGTTAGACATGAATTGAAAGATGTTACTGAACGCAGACTGAGCGCTAGGGGTGGAGCTGAATAACAAACTTACAGATCGCCTCTGGATACGTCTCCTCCGAACGCCTCCAAGCTTCCCGAAGTAACATTCAGGGTTCCAGAGATCCGTCGCACTGGAATTGCACACAAGAAGCAATATAAAATCAAATACAGAGAATATTTCATGTATTCAAATTTATAGATTCATATTTATACCTGCCATTAAACCTTCACGCAGTTTCAACATGGAGTCTTCCAATCCTGGGACGGAATCTTTCGTTTTATTATCAGCGCTAGAAGAGGAGCAAAATGAGGACATGGTTTAACCCGTCACACTACGGACCGCTAAATAGTGCAGCTTGGGAACCAGGGGAACCAGGTTTATAGCAAGATGTATCGGGCAATAAATATTTACTGCTTCAGTGAATCCATTTATGCAAAGTTGTCAGACAAATTTTAGAAAGTCTCACAACGTCGAGACGCCAAGTCCCCTGAATCGTGATAGGCAAGTAGGTTAAAGAGGAAATGAAATGCAGAATGTTAAATATTATTAAATGGAGTTTCTATTCATTTGAACTGGGCTTGTATTTTAGCATTTGGCAGAGATTTTGGTTAAACAGAGGTGAACGTGTCACAAGGCCAGAAAGCCACCGGTTCCGAGATCTGGAGAGGAAGCCGTTTATTCCTGAAAACTCCAGCTACATCACAGAGCATCCTGAACGCTCCCTGTAGTTACAACATTATCCTAAAGCAGAACCATAAATATAGAATGCTAGCTAAGTATTGATTATACAGTATTGGTGAAATGGCCCTATGGGGGACACCCATCACCACTACCAGCCGGGGACCCCAAATATCGGGTCTGTGTATTGGGGTTTAGAAGAGCAGCTTGTTTTACCCGTTATTCCTGCAATCATCAATCCATTCCTTCATGATGGCATGATACGTGTCCAGGTCCATGGAAATGTCCTGACGTTCAGGATCCAGCATGTTGCACAGCTCGTCCAGCCCACTGTCCTCAGAGCCACGACTCGTGGTGTGACGCAGGTAGTCCACGATCTTCGATACAGCCACCTTACCTGGTTACACAGAGCAAGGGTAAGCCAGGAGACTCGCTGAGCAGTATTTACTTATATGTACGCATGACAATAATACATGTATGCGTTTGTTTTAGATCACTATATAAATCAATTTTTTCATTTTCCAGGGGGCCCAAGCAGCCTACATAACAGGTTTCAATACCAACAGTCAACTAAAAACCAAGTTTACCCCAGCATCCGTAAACTACCGACATATATTAACTCAGATCATTAAATATGCCCCATTCTCCCTCTGCATTAAATTTTCTATTAATATACAATAACAGCGTTATTTACCAAAGGGAGGATTTAAAGGGAATTTTACATTCTGGGCTAAACTTGCCGAACTGGGAGTGTAGCAGAGTTAAAAAATATTGTCCGATTTTGATATTTTGACCTTAAATATGAAATTCTCTTTGAATTCCGTTTAGTGCATTAACCTGTGAACATCATTTTAATATTACATATTAGATTAGGTTTTTATTAAGTGTTCTCGCATAGCAAGACCACTTAAGGTTATCTCACATATACATTATTAAGTGTTCTTGCATAGCAAGACCACTTAATGTTATCTCACATATATATTATTCTTATTATAGCCAAATTTGCCACCCTAACTCCTCCCACAGTTTTTACACTACATAGACAAAAATTTACCAAAACGTGCAGATTGTTCCCGATCGGATTGCTATAACTTTGTGGAACGTTTTGCCGAATGGTTCACGGAATATCGTCATTCTTGTGGCGAAATTTGTCCCATAGGAATGAATGGCAAAGCTAGAGTGGGAGCTGGCAAAAGCTGAAAAATCAGGACAGGATTTCTAAACTGCCTCCACTCCCTTATTTTCAGGCCCACGTACACAAATCTTATATCAAAACGTTCAGCTATCCCTGCTGCCACTAAACATGTCAACGGCTAAGCCATAGTCCTGATAGTTTTCACAATATAATCATTTGTTTGCAACTAACGCCGTTCATTGACATTCATTGAAACTTCACTCTACAAAGCTCAAATTTGAAGTGCAATTTCTAAACTGCGACTGTGCCTTCAATTTTAATACTTCAGAGACATACTATGCATCACAATGTAGGTCTGGGTCTTGTGATTCCCACAATATAAAGCTCTTTGCCGTAGGATTTATAGTTTTTAAAATACGACCGTTTGAAGATGGCAACCGCCAAAATACTCTGACCTGTGTAGGGCTGCAGCAGCAAGTGATGTCATAGACAGGGCCTTTTAAACACCTGCTAATGTTTTTATAAATGTATGGTTTAACCCCTTAAGGATGGAGCCAAATGTACACATTGTTAACAAAACAAAATGTAAACAAATCCTGGCATTTGCGGTACATGTCTGTCCAACCGTAATACACCTCTTTCATAGTAAATGCACCCACCCTTATTATATATCATTTTATTCAGGGGAAACAGGGCTTTCATTTAATATCAAATATTTAGCTATGAAACAATTTAATATGAAAAAAATGGGAGAAAATACGATTTTGTTTGATTTTTTTAGTTCTACATGACATTTTAACGGTCAGTTTCATAATACTGTTTGCTTTAACTGCAATAAAATACACATATTTGTATTCAGTAAAGTCTCACGTGTAAGACAGTACCCCCTATGTACAGGTTTTATGGCATTTTGGGAAGTTACAGGGTCAAATATAGCACGTTACATTTGAAATTTGCCAGATTGGTTACGTTGCCTTTGAGACTGTATAGTAGCCCGGGAATGAAATTTACACCCATAATGGCATACCATTTGCAATAGTAGACAACCCAAGGTATTGCAAATGGGGTATGTCCAGTCTTTTTTAGTAGCCATTTGGTCACAAACACTGGCCAAAGTTAGCGCTAGTATTTGTTTGTGTGGAAAAATGCAAAAAACGCCAATTTTGGCCAGTGTTTGTGACTAAGTGGCTACTAAAAAAGACTGGACATACCCTGTTTGCAATACCTTGGGTTGTCTACTATTGCAAATGGTATGCCATCATAGGGGTAATTTTCATTCTTGGGCTACCATAGGGTCTCAAAGGCAATGTAACCAATCTGGCGAATTTTAATGTGAAAAAAATGAAACACAAGCCTTATATTTGACGCTGTAACTTTTGAAAACACCATAAAACCTGTACATGAGGGGTACTGTTGTACTCGGGAGACTTCGCTGAACACAAATATTTGTGTTTCAAAACAGTAAAAAGTATCACAGCAATAATATTGTCCGTGTAATGCTGTTTGTGCGTGAAAAATGCAAAAAACTTCACTTTTACTGGCGATATCATCGTTGTAATACATTTTACTGTTTTGAAACACTAATATTTGTGTTCAGCGAAGTCTCCCGAGTAGAACAGTACCCCCCATGTACAGGTTTTATGGTGTCTCGGAAAGTTATAGGGTTAAATATAGTGCTAGCAAATTAAATTCCCTTTACTTTCAGCATGGGTTGTCAGGCAGGTCCTGCTAATTGTAATTAATTAAGATACCCAATTATGTAAAAATAATACATAAATAAATATATATATGTATGTGTATATATCTATATAATTTTAAAAAAATATTTTTATTTATATATAGGTATATATAGTGATATATACGTATATCTTTATGTATATAGATATATATATTATTTTGTTCTTGTATTTTGATTATATATATATATATATATATATATATATATATATATATATATATATATATAAATATATATATTAATTTCACAATACAGTTAGAACGAAATAACACATCTATTATATATGATCTAAGTATATATAATTTTTTTTTTTTTTTACACCATTTAATTTGTTTTAATTTTATTTTCAGCCAGCAGGCAGCCCCCCTGCTGGCAATGCAGAAGCCAGCTATCCCCGGCCATGTGATTGTGGGGTCCTCGCTAGGACCCCACTCTCACACGGCCGGGGGGCTTCCTGGAGGACGGACGTGCCGCGGGGGGCTCCCTGGGAGTCCCCCCCCACCGCGATCGCCGGCGTGGGACCGCCGGCGACCGGGTAAGTACCGAAAGACCGGAGGGCGTACTATTACGCCCGGCGGCGTTTAGAGCCGCCTATTAGAGGGCGTAATAGTACGCCCTCTGGTCCCATAGGAATGAATGGCAAAGCTAGAGTAGGAGCTGGCAAAAGCTGAAAAATCAGGACATGATTTCTAAACTGCCTCCACTCCCTTATTTTCAGGCCCACGTACACAAATCTTATATCAAAACGTTCAGCTATCCCTGCTGCCACTAAACATGTCAACGGCTAAGCCATAGTCCTGATAGTTTTCACAATATAATCATTTGATTGCAACGAATGCCGTCCATTGACATTCATTGAAACTTCACTCTGCAAAGCTCAAATTTGAAGCTGAAAAATCAGGACATGATTTCTAAACTGCCTCCACTCCCTTATTTTCAGGCCCACCTACACAAATCTTAAAACGTTCAGCTATCCCTGCTGCCACTAAACATGTCAACGGCTAAGCCATAGTCCTGATAGTTTTCACAATATAATCATTTGTTTGCAACTAACGCCGTCCATTGATATTCATTGAAACTTCACTCTACAAAGCTCAAATTTGAAGTGCAATTTCTAAACTGCGACTGTGCCTTCAATTTTATTACTTCAGAGACATACTATGCATCAAAATGTAGGTCTGGGTCTTGTGATTCTCACAATATAAAGCTCTTCGCTGTAGGATTTATAAAAAATACTCTGACCTGTGCCAGGCTGCAGCAGCAAGTGATGTCATAGAGAGGGCCTTTTGAACACTTGCTAATGTTTTTATAAATGTATGGTTTAATGTAACTGTGCAATAACGTTGCAATTCAATGTGCTATATAAATGATAACAGTTACTCCGCCCACTCCAGTTGTAGACTACTGGTGGAGGCAAGAACACTTCACACAATTTCCCCAGAAATTGTAGCTTTTCTAGTTTAGTAACATTTCCTGACTGGAGGGGGGATTATTCTCACTTTTCTTTACGATTATCTGGTTTATTCACTATGGTGTAAATTGTTGAATTCCGAGGGATTTTTACATTTTAGGCCAATTTAGAGTAACTGGAAACAGTTGTTTTGGGGGTTTTCCCAATTCATTAAAATCTGAATTCACTTGAATTCCTACTTGAGTGATAACTGAACATTTGGAATACCGGCGATTTCACACAATACAGATGGCTCTGTACACGTTTCACCTCAATTCACACCATTAAGTCTGATTCCCAACCTCGGTGATCCGTGTCACACGCGTAGAATATGCTGTTTAGTAGATCCTCCTCGCAGATTAAGCTCACTTCAGACGTCGCCTCCATTTTGTTTTCTGCCACTCTCCTCAGGCCTGCAATACATTAGAGAACACAGAGGTATTTTTAATAAAAGATTATTTAATGGGTCTATTCTCGGATTGGCCTTTAAAAAGGTATACAGTCATTTTAGGTGCTAGCGATATTCAGACAATGTACAGCTCGGGCAGGGGAGGGTGGAGAGACATATTCCACCATACTTCACCAGATAGCCGTATCAACCCACTATCCCACATACAGAGGACAATACCCATTTTATACACATTTACTGCGGTTTTGGGTTATTTTTCTGGTGTCCAGAGTTTTAGGGAGAAAATCCACAAAAAAAAATCAACAGTACAAGTTTATTAATAAAAAAAAACAGGACAAAACTAAGCATGTGCAAGTTACTGAATTACTGCCAATCATGGGCCCTGCATGTCACATCATTTATGGATCCAGGAGAACATGGGAGCAGAGTTATTTTCACTACACAGATTGTTCCCTTAGTGATGTCCTCCTCCTCACCCGGGGAGCACCTTGATGGTAGCGACAGTCTCCAGTTGGTTGGTTTCACCACAAAGATATTACAAAGCCAACATGCACACTAAATACAGAGATAGGAGGTTTGTTTTACATCAAAACCTTTAACCCCTTAAGGACCAAACTTCTGGAATAAAAGGGAATCATGACATGTCATGTGTCCTTAAGGGGTTAAACATCGCTTTTCACAGAGACACAGCAGCATTCTGGTAAAATTTGGGGTATACAGTAAAATTAGTTTAAAATGATAAAAATACACTCTTATCAGCTGAAATATCGGGTGCCGGGTCTTTACCTGCTTCACTCATGGATAGTCTCTTTACCACAGGAGACTGGAGAGGGACAGTTTCAGATTTCCGATCAGCTAAATAAAAACTGTGTGTGGAAGGAATTATCCGGTCATCCATTAGGAGATTCCTACACTCGGAAACAGGAAGAACAGACTGGGGATACTTGAAGGACAGTTCCCTGGGAAAGACCATTGGTGTAGAGCAGCTTTGTGTACGGGCCGATGGCCAGACCCTGGTAAATTTTTCCTTAGATGCCATATTGATGGAATACGTGGCATTGCCCAGAGGAGAATCGCTGTCCGGGATGGGTCGGACACAAGGCGAGGCGACCCTTACATCTGGAGAAAGTCCATAGTTTGGGCTGGAGAAGAGAACCAGGTCTCGATCCGTGTTCTTTACAGTCCGGTTTTTCAGAACCTCCTCTAGGTTCTTCTTTGTACTGGACTGTGGACTATCAAAGTTCCTGGACTGAAATTTGGGAATCTGCAGGTTGGGATTGGAATCTTGATCGCGCATTTGAATGGTCTTGATTTTACGGCAGATGCTGTCCACCGGATTGTGACGTTTGGTTGCGGATCCAGCTTCTGACATTTTTCTTCACTCTGTTTAAATTTAAATTAAAAACTAGAGAAAAAAAAAAATTAAATATAAAAAATTTCTCAAGAAGTGGCATTTAAATAAATATCCCATTACAATACATTGTAAAATATTATGATTACTGTATGTTCGTGTGAATGAGACTTCCTACCAGACTGGAGGAGAAAAGGGAGCTTTGCAGACACCTAGGTTATGTAGGGGCCCAGTACCACAACCACTTTACCAGATAGAACCATTGGCAAACCGTCTGCAATGGTCTAAGGCAGGGGTTCTCAACGTTAGTCCTCAGGACCCCCTTTTTTCCCCTTTTTCTAAACACCTGAGACACACCCAGGTAATCCCCAAATCCTGGACTGGTAGGGGGTCCTGAGGACTGGGTTGAGAACCCCTGGTCTAAGGGATCAGCGGGCAGTGCCGCAGCAGGACAGACAACTAAAGAGAGTCCTCAGTCAATGCAAACAGATATCCTAACCGGGGTCTGTGGGATATTCGTCCATCACTGCCCATGAGACAAGTGAATGCACGCATCTACAGGATGACATCAGAGGTCAGTGATCTGATTCGTTACCGGAGGGGAATTCTCCCCCAAGTAAACAGGGATTACAGATCCAACTGCAGGTGAAACTGTCCTGTCACACACCCATGGGCAGAGAAGGATTGCCCAGAAGGTGACCATTGGCAGCTGCCTAGGGCCCAGAGGTTAGATAGGGGTCTCATCCCCATGGTCTCATATACAAGCTTTATATGAATGGGGGCCCCAAACCAATATCCTGAGCGGGGTCTGTGGGAGGTTCGTCCATCACTACCCATGACACATGGTGAATGCATGGAGTTTAGATCAAATTAAAGCCAACATCTCATTTGGGGGAAAAATAAAAATCCCCAATTAGAATCCGGCTTGGCTATTCGGCCCAAACTTCAGAATTTGGTTTACAGTTCACTAGAACGCACTAGTTCATAGTGAAAGCCTCACGCAGGGTTAATGTGAATTGCTGGGAATTCAGAGTTTATAGTAAATTTAAAGCCCAAATTGGCCAAACAGGAGATAAAGCGGACTCTGAGATCCTTCCCACTTAGTTTGGTTTTAGACAAAAATCTGAAATTCACTTTGAAACCCAGGAATTCACACTTTAGCGAATAATCATGAATTGCTTTGCATTCCTGACAAATCTCACCTTAGTAAACAACAGGTTCAGCAGTTCTGTGTTTGTTTGTAGGCGTTTTTTAAGTCTCAATTAATAAAAAGGGGAGCTTTCTGGTTTTATATACAGTGTCACTCGTTATACTGCGCCGATGGTGGATCAATCATTCTGTATAACGCCTTGTTAGAACGCTCACACACGGACAGAAAGAGGCATTCAGTCCATTAATATATCACACGTGGAGAGAAAAACACACGTTACAAAATCCTGCAATCTATAATCAATAACCAATGTCTGTGTCCACCAACAGCACATAGCTCACGATATCACATGGAAAGTAACCACATCAAGTAACATTGGTGACATTTAAATCTTATGAAAGAGAATTTTGTAAAATATCTATACATTATATCACAGTGTGTAAAATTCCTGTTTACATTTCCGGGGGGAAGTAAAGGTATAATGAAGTATTTGGAGGCAAATTGTACAATCAGGATAGACGACAGAGAACAAACCTTGAATAAAGTGTGATCTCCCAGCAGGATTAGAGAGACTGACTGATTGCAAACAGGTAATTGCTAGAATTAAGCTTTACCGATTAGCAGGGATCAGTACAGGTGGCTGTCTCACCTGGTGACATGCACAGGTTTAAGCCCACAATGGAATGATACAGGGGCAGGCAAGGGCCAACCGAAACACACCAACCCCCAATAAAATCATTGCATTATGTAAGCAGCATTCTGCGTTATTTGCAGTGGGTCAGTCTCACCTTATTCTTACAGGAAGTACACAGAATGAATATGGAGGCTGCCCTTCTTAAAATGTGTGTTTTATAAGATCCCGTAATTAAAGGGGCACAGAGGCGTGTACAAACACTGGGCATTAACAAATCATTACTACCGTCTTCATATTAGCAACTTATTAATGTCCTAATGGTGAAATGCGCACATTAAACAAAGTAGAACGTTAGCTGATTTCATGTGCAATAGACATGGTTATATATTATTTAACACTTTATTTTAAGAGCACATTGTAATGAATATTTTCAATGCAGAGGAGTTCTGTATTTTATATACTATATTGATGGTTTCCACTAAAAGCGGCGCAATGATATGAGAGATTTTTGTACAGCCGAATAGCTGTTGGCTGTGCTGTTTTTTTAACATTTATTTTTTACGTTACAGGCTTTGCTGGGCTTGGCGTGTGTGTTAGATTAACCCCTGCAGTGCTGTGTGTGTGCTGACACCAGCGAAGGAATGCCTTAACGCGCATGCACTAATACAGCATTGCTCTTATAGCCGGCGTGTGCATGAGAGCATCACGGGACAACTAAATCCCCCAGAATGCAGCAGTGTCTGAGTGTATAACAGAGCTCCACAGCAATAATACTCCCAGTAATGTGTCTGTGTATAACAGAGCTCCACATCAATAATACTCCCAGTAATGTGTCTCCGTGTATAACAGAGCTCCACACGGCAATAATACTCCCAGTAATGTGTCTGAGTGTATAACAGAGCCCCACAGCAATAATACTCCCAGTAATGTGTCTGAGTGTATAACAGAGCTCCACAGCAATAATACTCCCTGTAATGTGTCTGAGTGTATAACAGAGCTCCACAGCAATAATACTCCCTGTAATGTGTCTGAGTGTATAACAGAGCTCCACAGCAATAATACTCCCAGTAATGTGTCTGTGTATAACAGAGCTCCACAGCAATAATACTCCCAGTAATGTGTCTGAGTGTATAACAGAGCTCCACAGCAATAATACTCCCAGTAATGTGTCTGAGTGTATAACAGAGCTCCACAGCAATAATACTCCCAGTAATGTGTCTGAGTGTATAACAGAGCTCCACAGCAATAATACTCCCAGTAATGTGTCTGAGTGTATAACAGAGCTCCACAGCAATAATACTCCCAGTAATGTGTCTGAGTGTATAACACAGCTCCACAGCAATAATACTCCCAGTAATGTGTCTGTGTGTATAACAGAGCTCCACAGCAATAATACTCCCAGAAATGTGACTGAGTGTATAACAGAGCTCCACAGCAATAATACTCCCAGTAATGTGTCTGTGTATAACAGAGCTCCACAGCAATAATACTCCCAGTAATGTGACTGAGTGTATAACAGAGCCCCACGGCAATAATACTCCCAGTAATGTGTCTGTGTATAACAGAGCTCCACAGCAATAATACTCCCAGTAATGTGTCTGAGTGTATAACAGAGCTCCACAGCAATAATACTCCCAGTAATGTGTCTGAGTGTATAACAGAGCTCCACAGCAATAATACTCCCAGTAATGTGTCTGAGTGTATAACAGAGCTCCACAGCAATAATACTCCCAGTAATGTGTCTGAGTGTATAACAGAGCTCCACAGCAATAATACTCCCAGTAATGTGTCTGAGTGTATAACAGAGCTCCACAGCAATAATACTCCCAGTAATGTGTCTGAGTATATAACACAGCTCCACAGCAATTATAATCCCAGTAATGTGTATTTAAACTATAATAAATGTCTTTAGAAAGCAGTCTGTATAAATAAGATGCATTGGATGAGATTTATTTTAGTTTTTTTGTATTGGAGAAAGTTTTTCACGTTTTTCTTCAGCTCAGTTTATTAAATCTGTCAGATATTTTTCATCTGTTGCTTATTCTTGTCCCCCGTGGGTGCAGCCATCTTCAATTTTCAGTGCATGCGTGAGTCCATAGAAATTATCTTCTGATAAGCGAGACAATACCTCTAGTGACAAAACCTTTTTATTTACCTTCAGTATTGATCGTAGCCTCTGCTTTGTCTTATGAAAGCGTTCAATGAAATTCCAACACAGTCTCTATCAGCATTTCAAAAGACCGCTTTAAAGGACCAATAATGTCACCCGGCCACTTCATCTTAATATCATCCCTGGAGGGGGAGAGGTGAGCAATGTTAAGGTGGTCTTATTGCTAGAATAAGGTAAGTAAAGGAGCATTTACATTTCTGTCTAGCAAATGGGGGCAGGCTTGAGTCTTTGTAGGGACAGGGTGTCTGCAGTGTGAGGGATTCATGTTTGTAATCCTAAAGCGATAGTGTTCCTTTAATCTAGGAAATGAACCCTTCCTTATTTTACAAGGTGTTCGTTTTGCAGAATTAATTTAATCTCTGCGTATTTCTGCCACAGTCACCATCAGTGATCACAATCTCAGCTTTAAAGGACACATAGCCCGCGGTGACTAAACAGCGCACTCAGTGGGGATCGCACGCTAGCATAGAAATATATTTATTTTATGAACATCAGAATTCCACAATTAGAATGCACAGAGTTACACAACAAGAGCACAGGAATGTGACTGCAAAGTGCCACACCATGGGTTCAATGGCCTGGTCCTGTGAGCTTGCAGTCCAGCGGGAGGCTTGGCGTTGGATCGATGGGAGGAATCAGTGCGTTTGGCTGCGGTTTGTTGATTCTAAGAGGTGTGGCTGTGGGTGTGATGTGTATTTAACGATTACTGACAGCTGTTTAAACCTCTCCTCGCACACTGATAACTAACAACCTTGACATTGCTATAAAATGTGTTTATCAGCAAGATACCGATGGTCAGAAAAACAAAACATGCGCGGCCTTGGCCAGTAAGAGGCTCCTGGTGTTTTTCATTTCCGAACATCCCACGTTTATTTCTCAGAAAGTGACTGGGGGGATTTTAAAATATTTGAGCAGCTGCTCCAAAACTTATTCAGAACTAACTTCCCAAAGTCTGTCAACACGCCGTGTGAGACGCCCAAAATGGAGTCTCCATGGATTCCGTAACCGCCACTCATGTAGCAGGAGTAAACGTTCATTCATCTCCCTCTTCATCACATACTAATATCGGCATTCCTCTCGTCTCTCCATGCCCTCAGGGTTTGTTAACTCCTGCTGTCGGTCCTGTGTCTCTTTAAACAATTAGGGGAACTGCTGATAATTCACCCAAAGCAGCAGTACAAGCCAGCTACGATTGGCCAAAAATGTTTTAATTTCCAGCAATTTACAGAAATGTCAGATTATATAAAAGTGCCGTCACAATATAACAGGATTTGCTTGATCACTTCTCATTTTAACCCTTTCAATGCTGGAGTATCTTCAAATGTAGAAAACTCAAGGCAATTTTTGTTTTAGTTTCCCTAATCTGTTTTAAAGGGACACTGCAGACACCCGACCACTTCAGTGACCCTGCCACAGACCCGATTTAACCATTAGCCGCCCAGGGCCCATGGTAAGACAGTGGCCCCCTGTGTTGCCCTCCCCCCCCCCCAGTGCAGCTCGATGACCCAGAGTACCACAGCCGGCACTCTGAGTCATTGACTGAGCACCTGAAACGCGAGGGCGCTCTCTTAAAATGGCGGCACTTGCTGTGCACATTAGGTTCCCCTGATAGGTACCGGCAGTTGGAATCCAGTAAGTGTTTAAATGGCTATAAAAACCCTTTATATTGCCCGGAAGGAGGGGGTAGAGCGTTCATACAGTGTTAGCAATAAATCTTTATTTATAACACTATAATGCTCCTTTAATTTGCCTCTGCCATTTTAGATACGGTAATGTTTAAATTGTGGGGTTGAACACACCTCTAGTAGCTGTTATACTGACCGCCTCTAGATGGCGCTTCGGCAACGCGAACCAAGTACAACTCAGTTCTTGACGTTCAATATTGCATGAGAACGTTGGTAGGTCAAGCGATACTTATTATAGACAAAGAGTGGATTCAAGGTCCACAATGAGAACCATTGGTTTGGATAAACCTGATGACATCAGCGGAGGCAGACCAGGTCAGTAACGGGTTAATTTACTTGGATTCCAAGAGACCCCATGGTTTACAGACACATTACTGGGAGTATTATTACTGTGGAGCTCTGTTATACACTCAGACACATTACTGGGAGTATTATTGCTGTGGAGCTCTGTTATACACTCAGACACATTACTGGGAGTATTATTGCTGTGGAGCTCTGTTATACACTCAGACACATTACTGGGAGTATTATTGCTGTGGAGCTCTGTTATACACTCAGACACATTACTGGGAGTATTATTGCTGTGGAGCTCTGTTATACACTCAGACACATTACTGGGAGTATTATTGCTGTGAAGCTCTGTTATACACAGACACATTTCTGGGAGTATTATTGCTGTGGAGCTCTGTTATACACTCAGACACATTACTGGGAGTATTATTGCTGTGGAGCTCTGTTATACACTCAGACACATTACTGGGAGTATTATTGCTGTGGAGCTCTGTTATACACTCAGACACATTACTGGGGGTATTATTGCTGTGGAGCTCTGTTATACACTCAGACACATTACTGGGAGTATTATTGCTGTGGAGCTCTGTTATACACTCAGACACATTACTGGGAGTATTATTGCTGTGGAGCTCTGTTATACACACAGACATTACTGGGAGTATTATTGCTGTGGAGCTCTGTATACACTCAGACACATTACTGGGAGTATTATTGCTGTGGAGCTCTGTTATACACTCAGACACATTACTGGGAGTATTATTGCTG